GTGAGCATATTCAGCAGCTTGGTACACAGCTTAATGAGCAGGTTGATGAGCCTACACCTGTGCCTCGTCAACGCGCTTCACCACGCTGTAGTGGCTGTGGGACTGTTGGACATACAATACAAAGCTGCCCTAGTAAATAGCTGGTTATTTTGTCTGTTATATATTTTAATTTAATGGTCTTAGTGGTTGCAAAGCTTCAAATTCGTGGTGGTAGCGGAGGAAGTGGACGGCTCGGCCGTGGATTACGTTAATCCCAATAAAGCTAGCGTGTCCAAGCTTAACGGTGCTGACTCATCCCCTTCGAGAAACTCCGAAAATTCAAGCAACAAAGCTCCGACGCCTATCCTCCTCTAATCCTCTCCAATCGAAATATTCCTTTTCTAGCGACACCCTTCTCTACCGCCATCAACCGCTCAACCGCATAAAACGAAACGAAACGCCATGTCCCGCGAAGCCTACCAAGTCCCCTCCCTCGGCGGCCAGAACGCCTTCGGCGATGGATTCTCCGGCTCCCTGGACGGCCCTGTTGTCGCTTACCTGTGCGGAGAGTGTAACTCGCGCGTGTCGCTGAAGCGGGGCGATCAAATTCGGTGCAAGGAGTGTGGTCATCGGGTGTTGTATAAGGAGCGGACGAAGAGGTTTGTGTTGCCGTTTTGATTTGGGTAGGGGTTGTTTTTGAAAAGGATAAAGACTAATGGGTGTGGTTTTGAACAGAATGGTTCAGTTCGAGGCCCGGTGAAGCGGACTGCGAACGAATTCGGGAGAAATCTTTGTCCCTTACGATTGATGTGCATTATATGGCGCTATGGAGTTTGGAATTTGCAAATACTAGTACTTGAGAATGGCAAGGGTTGCACAGATGTCTTCGCTGGAATTGTGAGCGTGGACTCAGTCCAAGACTACTAGCAATAATGGTATAGACAATTTGCTATGGCATATCTTTCCCTTGACCAAATTCCGTTTGATTCAATGCGCATTTTATTTCCCTGTGCATAAATAAATTATAAGCTGTGTTACTGAACCCCGAAAATGTATTGTCTACGAAAACCCCGAAATGTGTAATGCGAAAAGAAAATAACCAAGAAATATCCAAAGAAACCGTCGTCTCATCATCGAAACATCTTACTGCTGCGGCTCGAGTTTGTTCGTCACTTCGATAAACTCTTCCAGGCATTTGAGGGAGGCGCCGTTCTCGATAGCCCAGCGAGCACGACGAACACCCTCCTTCCAGCGTCCACCGCCAGGGCCACGCTCCGTGATGACCTGGCCATCGTCGCCTTGGCCCATATTGCTGGTATCAACGTCACAGATACCGGAAACGACCAGAAGGGCAGCGACGTTCATAATCACAAAGTCCAGAATGGGGTCATCACGAGGCAGCTCGTTGCGCAGGATGCTCATAAGCTTGGTCGCATTGTCTTTGGGCATCTTCCTTCCGTACACGTCCGTGAGCGGATGAGTCGGAAGACCAAAGTCAGACGGGTGGAGCTGGAATGTTTCCAACTTGACCAGAGTGCGGGGCGTGTCCTCCTCATCACTGCTGGTCTCGTCCGCGTTGTCTGATCCCTGATAGGCGGGATTAGGATACTCAGAGAGCTTCCAGCAGTTGGTCTTGCCCGCGCAGCTAATCTCGTCCATGTCTTCTTCGCCGCAGACGACAAGGGCCTTCTTTGCACCTCCCTGTCGCAAAGCATCTGCAAAGACCGGGCCGAGACTTTGGTAGGCCACTCCAACCATGCGCGCTTCCAGGGCCCAGTCGACAGGATTGGCCAATGGACCCATGAGGTTGAAGATTGTGCGAAGTCCGAGTCCACGTCGCACAGGATTCGCGTAGCCCATACCAGGGTGGAAGTTCGGGGCGAACAGGAACGCATAGTTGGTCGCTTCGTAAACCCGTGCAACGTTGCTTGCATTCACAGCTGAGATCTTCGGTGGAACGGGCGAGATCGCATTGAGAACATCAGCGGATCCGGAAAACGAGGTCTGCGCGCGATTGCCATGTTTGGCTGTCATAAGCAGTGGCGACGCGATAATGGAGGCGGTCGTAGAAACATTGAAGGTAGAATGCGAATCTCCGCCGGTGCCAACGATGTCGCACTAGGTAGTTCAAGAAACAATGTTAGACACCGTAACGCTCAAATTGCAAGGTCGGTCGTAGATATACTTACCAAGCCTCCCCTGTAGTTACCTTCCTTCTTTCCACGAGCCTTGAGGGCCTGCTTCAGAGTAGACTTCTCGACCTGGGAAGCGGCCTCTCTCATGCGGTGCGAACATTTCGCAATGACGTCTGCTTCCTTGTCCTTTCCAGTAGAGTGCAAGAGAGTCAAAAGCGCAGCCATCTGAATAGCGGACAAGCGATCTTCAAAGATCAATGCGAACGCTGAAGCGATTTCATTTGCTGCGACTGGAACCTGAGTCGCGGGGTAGGCAAGTCGCTGGAGGAGGGGCGAGATCGAGACATGTTCCGCCTGCATATCGGCTGGATGGGAAGGCATTGGGAAAGATTGAAACCAGGTAGACCAACTCAGGCTCTAATGATGCTTACAAGAGGTATAAGTGTCTCCAGAGGGGAGAACAAGAGAGAGTATGAGCTGAAGGAAAAGAGTCACCCTTCCTGTAGTGGAACAATGTCTGGCAGAATCACACCGCTTTTGGTAGCCCACTATTCCCTTTTAGGTATCACGATTTCTTTCTCACTCGCTCCGGTTTGTCGACAGTAAATTATCTCTCAGCATTGGCCTCACCGGTTACTGGATAAGGTGTTTGCCCTCTTGTTTGTACTAATTCACGTCCTCTCGGTCTTTTCAATTGACAATTTCAATCCCTCTCCCCCATCAAAATGCCTCCACGGCTACGGGTCTCGAATGCACGCCTTCCACGCTCGCTCCGATGCCAACGAGCACTATACCAACATGAGCTTCCCATCCTCGCACGGTGTGCGAGCACAGCGACGACTCCGGCACCATCGCACGAACAAATGACACAATCTCCTCCTCCGATTGCCAGATACCCTCCCTCTCAGCCCCCCTCCCACCGCAGTCCCGAGTACCGGAGGTCACAACTTCTGCGGCAATACACCTCTCTCATTCGCACCACGCCTCTGATGGTGTTCTTCCAACAAACTAACCTCAAGTCTGTGGAATGGGTCGGAATCCGACGAGAACTGAACAAGGCCATGCGGACTGTGGACGAGAAAATCGCCGCAGAGGGCCGCGCTGCTCCCGCATTGACACCCCACATCAAAATGCAGACCATCCAGACCAACATCTTCGAAGTCGCATTGCGTGTCGTCGAGTACTTCCGCCCCGATCAAGCCGCCATGGCTGCCGGACAGTCCCCCAGCGCTGTTAACCCCGCGTCGCAGACCTCCGCCGAGATCAACCTGGCCGGGTCGAGGGACGACCCGAGTTTGTCCCACGATCTCTCCCGTACCGCCCACGACGCCGTGTTGAACATGAAGAACAAGCACGAGTTTTCGACGCTTCTTGCCGGTCCCATCGCCGTCCTCACCATCCCCCAGGTCTCGCCGGAGCACATAAAGGCAGCGCTTTCGGTCCTCTGCCCCAAGGCCGTTGGCTACCCTTCCCCGACCCGGAGAGCCAATCCCGGATGGCACGAGACTGGCGTGCAGGAGGGTCTGCAGAAGTTGAACTTGCTTGCTGCCCGTGTGGACGGCGATGTGTTCGATCTCGACCAGACCAAGTGGATCGGCAGTATCGAGGGTGGTATGGATGGGTTGCGCTCGCAGCTCGTCATGGCCTTGCAGAGCATGGGATCCAGCGTTACGAATACTTTGGAGGGTGCTGGAAAGAGTCTCTACTTTACTCTCGAGAGCAGGAAGAACGTTTTGGAGGAGGAGCAGAAGGGTCCAGAGGAAGGGAAGAGTGATTCGTGATTTTAGACTGCGATGGTTCATGTGGATGGTTCATGTTCATGTACAATAATGTCTTCTTTTCTCCGTTTTGTCTATTTTAGGTCAAGCTTACAGGATGATGTATATCCCCAAAAATTGAAGACTGTTGACGCTTTATTCTGTGGGGTATAACGATATTACTATTACCTCTCTTGTTAAGTGATATGTGCAGAAAAATTAAAAATAGCACAAAGAAAGACAAGGCCGCAGTTTATGCGCATCTCGACTGTCTCAACTTGAGTCTCGAGTTCATTCCCACGATGCATCGCGCAAGATCCCAATCGCCGTCTTTCCCAACCCAGTCAGTAACCAGGATGCCAGTAGACCAGTCACATTCTCCCTCTGCTCCATGGCGACGACAGAGGTAATCAACCGTCGCAGGGTTCATCTTAGCAGCAATTTTCTCCGGCCACGTCTTGAGCTTGAAGAAGTTGCTTGCGCTCAGGAAATTGATGTAGAACGGGTGGTTCCTGTCGGCATTGGGAGGTAGGATACCAAAAGGGTAACATGTCTGGCTTGCGCGGTGGCATTGCTCGCTCACATATTGGATCTTCTTCTCGATGACTTCTGACTGCAAGACCTCGTAGAAATCCTGAATGCAGAGTTGCCCACCGGGACAGACTGCGTGCGCGCAGTTGTCAGCCCATCCGGCGGCGTCGATGCCCCAACCACGGCCTTCGTGCGCTTGCTTTAGTCGTTCCTGGATGTTGAACCGGCGCATAAGGACAACCTTGCCGCGTACCTCTCCTAGCGTGGGGATTTTGGGTTCTGTATACCACCGACTTTCTGGGGTTGCGTAGTGGTCCGCCACGATGCGACTCAGCTGCTCATCGGTATGAGTGCCAGGACCTTCGCGCTTGAGGCAAATAATGAGGGACTCGGATGGGTTTTTGTCCAGGAAATCGTTGGCCTCGTGCATTAGATCACGGAAGTATTTACGCCAAGTCAGAGCGACGGGGAAGACACTGTGGACCAAGGCCAGTTCATCTCTATCGGCGTCTTCAGGATGTACCGGCTGGACGCGAATGTCAAAGAACCGAACACCGTTCTGGAGCTGCTCGCGTGGGCTCACGGCCTGACAACGAACAGACGGAGGTGCGTGGTGGTGTGTAGGAGCGTTATGTGTGCCAGGAATCGAGAGAGATGACATTAACGTGTCATCTCTCAATTCTTTCATCCACGCATGCAAATTGGCCGAGGAGTAGATCGCGAGGTGCGCTTCAGGAATCACATAGATACCGGTGAATTGGAAGCGAGGGCTGTCGCATAGCGGCTTCATGGTAGATGACTCGGTCGTAGGAACGGGGGTCTGCACTTGGTGTTGCTCTCCTTCTGCTTCGATGGTCCAGCGCAACCGCTCCTTTTTGGAATCAACGAAAGCGGGGAGCTCAGTCTTGACTGTCGTGAACGGTTCTACGCGAATTTCGACCTCCTTCTCGGCGAACGACTCGGTATGAGGGTCGATGACCACGACGCTCTTGCTGTGGGTAGCATTTTTCAAGGTTCCGGTAAGGCATGAGAAGCCATTGTTTGTCGCATGAAATCGCTCAATGCGCTTGACAGTAATCGGCGCGGAGGTGAGGTTGCGAACGGTCAAATGTTTAGCGGCCATGGTGAACTGTATAGGGTGCTTGATGCGATTAGCATTCCATACAGAAAGAAGAGAAAGAGAGAAGAAGAAAATTAGGGGGGGGGGATGGATGATACGAACAAGGAAGCAGCGATTCAGATCAAGAGGACGCGCAGACCCCCTGTCGATATTGGACGATCCGCTCGGGCTGCCATGGAAGGCGCAAATGCATTATTATTATTGGTGAATTCCTTAGAAGATTTTCCAGCCAAGGTCAAAAAAGTGAATTCTTGAGGAGAGTGTGTGCTCCATAGTGTTACTCCGTTCTCTGGTAGGCACCGGGATTGCGAATGCGCGCCAATAAGCGCCGGCGTTGCCCACAGTGGGATCTCCTAGTCGTCAGCAGATCGATCTCAACACACGGCTTAATAGCCTAAGTTTGGCAGTTCGTATGGAGCGTAGGGTAGCATCCAACCATTGTCATTGCCTGAACCATTCCTCGCAGTTCAATGGCTAATGACGATCGACCGCGAGTCCTGAGAGAACTACTGGTGGAGGGTTCCGTACCTGGCGATGAGCACCGGCATATCGGAGGATTTATGGATTGATCTTGAGTCAACTGGATCTCACGGATACCATTGCCTGCCTTAGCAAAAACAAAGATTAATACTGGGTTAGTCTTAAATTCAAATGAACAAGATCATTTTTGCTACCATGTCTTCTGTCGCATACCATGGGACTCGGTCTGCGTACTATAGAAGTATGGTGCAATGAGACGGGTAATGCGCAACATTTAGGGGATTACAGAAGCAGCGTCTATTCTGAAGTATACCAAGCACATCCGTATTCTTTGCCAAAAGAGAGATATGTACTTCTCTAGCTAATCCCAGAAGGAACAACAGATGTCCGAATTCCCGAAATGCGGAGTGACCTGGCACGTGATATCACGGGCTGCTCGGTTATCATCGGCGATAGCAGTACTGCGGAGGTACAGCAGTTGCATATGGGGTACAGCTCCAGCCGGGGATAAATAATAGTACCAACCCAGAATGTCGCTGGACGACCTTCTTTCAGTTTGCTCTACCCCAGATTCGACCACAGATCCAAGATGAATGCTTTGCGGGGTAGCAGAGGTATCGCCTGGGCTACCAGGACTTGCAGGTCCCAGCGATTCCTGCCAACGCTGTCTCCAACATTGTTAACTATCCCTCGTCGCAGATTTCATGCGGCTCCGTCTCTATGGTCAATCAAGTCTCAGGTTCTGAAGGATGTTGGAGAAGGTAGCTCTATCCTATCTTTGGCTTCAGCTCCTGCGGTTGCTTACTCGGATTCTCCCTAGGGATAACGGAGGTTCAGATCATTCAATGGTAAGCCGGTGTGAGAAATGTGAAAGCAAAGCTCCAGAAAGATTCTAATGTCAACGGCTAGGTATGTCGAAGAAGGCGCGCATATCGAGGAATGGAACCCCCTTTGCCAATATCAGTCCGACAAGGCCGTCGATGATGTTCGTTGTCTGTCGTTCTACGTCTGCTTGGATGATCTTCTGACGAGACTAGATTACCGCGAGATACGAAGGGATTGTCAAAAAGCTTCACTTCCAGGCCGACGATACCGTTCCAACAGGCAGGGTAGGAGAGTCCTTTTGACTCTCATTAAAGACCATTTGCTAACAGAAACGCATTTCCATTAGGCTCTCTGTGACATAGAAGTCGACGATGCGAAATATCCAGACGAGGATGCCCAGCCAGCACCAAGCCCGGAACCAGTTCAAACCAGTCCTGTCCCGACAGAGATGCAACACACGCAGCCTATACAACCATCCCAGCCTGCTTCTCCAGAACCTGCCTCGGAGGCACCAAAATCACGTTACGCATCGTTGGCTACACCGGCAGTTCGAGGATTACTCAAACTTCACAATGTCAATATCTTGGACGTTAACGGCACCGGCAAGGATGGACGGGTGCTCAAGGAGGATGTCAATAAGTTCATCGCCATGCGGGATTCAGCACCCACGACACAGCCGGCCGCTGTTAGTACACTAGAGACTGAAAAGGTGGTCAATTTGAGTCCGTTCCAGTCTCAAATGTTTAAGACGATGAGCCGGTCACTCAGCATCCCACATTTTCTTTATGCCGATGAGCTCAATATCAACGATATCACTACGCTGAGGAAGAAGCTAGCCAGTGATCCTAAAGACCCTCAGAAGATCACCTTCCTTTCATTCATCATCAAGGCCGTCTCTCTTGCCCTAGATCAGTACCCCCTCCTGAACGCAAAAGTCGACACGAGCAACCCGGACAAGCCACAACTCATCATGCGTCCTAGACACAACATTGGAGTCGCAGTAGATACTCCAAATGGCTTGATTGTTCCAAACATCAAAGACGTCGCGAACCAGTCGATTCTCAACATCGCAACAGAGCTGTCACGTCTGAGTGCCCTTGGAAAAGAGGGTAAGCTCACACCAGCAGACCTTAGCGGGGGCACCATTACCGTTTCCAACATTGGCAACATCGGGGGAACTTATGTGATGCCCGTGATTGTTCCTAATGAAGTTGCGATTCTGGGAGTCGGCAAATCCAGAACGACGCCCATCTTTGATGATGCGGGTCAAGTCACCAAGGGCGAGCTAGTGAATTTTAGCTGGAGTGCTGACCACCGAGTTGTTGACGGAGCCACCATGGCTAGAATGGCGACCAAGGTCCGACGCTTCATCGAGTCTCCAGAGTTGATGCTTTTGAACCTAAGGTAGCGCTAGCTGTACTATGTAAACTCGATTCGCGCAGAGATTCTTGGCATAACCTTGCACATGCAAGACATTACAAGCATTGTATAGAACAAATTCGATGAAGATATGGTCTTTTCTGTCCCAGCTCCATTCTATCAATTACGGCATGCTTATGGTAATGATATCCAGACAGGTGTTGCTATGGCAGCATTCAACCACCATTCACTATTCTAGGGCTTCCTGGAAACACAAGAGCTGGGCAACGCCTTCACTGTCCTCTCTACCAGTCTTCCTTTTTGTCAATAATACCCCAATTCACTGATATAACCCCTCAATTAGGCACCCTTGTCGACCCCGCCACTATTTCTTGGTCTTCTAGCGCTCAAAAAGTACTGTTGCTGCAGCTGCGCATATCGCTGTTGCCAAACGCGTTCGTTTGTAGGCCCTCCTTGGCTGTATCCCATCTTTTCTTTTTCTTCCCTCTTCTCGCCTCTATCACCTCCCCTCTTTTTTGTTTTCTCCAGTTCCATTTCATCTCTGTGTTTTCTGTGTTTCGCTCCATTCTATTGAGCCCCAAGCCAACATGGGAACCAGAGGACATCTCTTCGTCCGCTGCCGTGGTAGATGGTTTATCTACTATAACCAGTTCGATAGCTACCTTGAGGGCCTAGGGGACGCCATCGTGAAACGGATTCCAACCGACCCTGAGGAATATCATAGTAAGTCCAAAGAAACGATATCGCAAATGAATCGAGCGTCTGACTGGAATCGTTCCAAACAGAATGGCTCGAGTCAATGAGAGAGATCTACACTCGCCTTGCTCTGCAGTTCGAGGAGCACCACCTTCCCGTGGCCGTCGAAGTTGGTCAAGAGGATGCTGAGGTCTCCAAGGAGGAAGTGTATTCGAAGTGTTACTTGGCCATCGATGACCGCCTCGAAAGAGCTCCGATGCTGACCATGTCGATTGACCACATGAACGACTTGTTCATTGAATACACTTACACTGTCGACCTTGATCGCGAGATCTTCTCCGTCGACGACGGCGCTCATTTCAAGCTCTCGAACGTGCCCCACGGTAGAGAGTGGATTAAGTACGTTGGTCAAAACTCCAGGGAGTGCAGGGTACTCAAGCGCGGTACGCCAAAGGAGATAGCCGCCAGCGTGGAATGGAAACCTGACATCGAGAGGAAGCCACGAACCTTGCCCGACGGCTTCAACATCAAGACGGTCACACCAAAGAATTCTGTTGCGTCAGTCAGTGCTCCCTGCCAGCACATCTGGATGAATGCGTTCGATCGTATCAGGGCTACCTATAGTTACCTCTTGACAAGGTATATCTCCAGCTGGGCACCAGAAGAGTTCTCATTCAGGGAGATGGCCTTTGCGATACTCTCCTTGGCGACAGGCGAAGTATCCTTCGAATGCCCTGAGGTCCTGGACAGAAGAAAGAAGGAAGAGGGCTACTTCTTGATTCCGGACGCAAAACTTCGCCCCCCTCAGCAGAAATTGCTTCCACGCTTTCTGGAAGAAAGCCATATCCCTGGCGTTGAGCCTGGATCAGCCCCAAAAAAAACCACTTTCTGGCTCAATAATGTCCTTGTCTACCTTACTGCTTGTCTCAACTCGGTTGAAATCCAAGAAGTGTCCGTTGTTGAAGTGGTCAAGGCCGGTCTGGATCAGGGTCTCAATGATTTCAGCGCCATGGTCTTCTCGATTCTTCATGCTGTCCTAGTCCAGGTCAAAGTCGAAAAGGACGGCACAGTGAATGTGATAAGGTCCCCTTCTTTGCCCCTGTTCTGGAAGTATGACAAAGAGGATGGTCAGGACGATGGTCAGGACGATGATAAGGGTGATGATAAGGGTGATGATCAGGACGAGGATATTGACGAAGAGAACGGTGACGATAACGACGATAATCAGGAAGACGATAATCGTCAAGGCGAGGATATTCACAATAACGACGATGGTCAGGAAAACGATGGTCGTCAGGATGAGAATGATCACGAGGATGATTGGGACGATGACAGCCAGGCCGATGGAGACGAGGCCGATCAGGACAACGACATTCAAGATGACGAGGGCGGAAAACCCCCATACGAGCATTCTAACTTTATCGCACTAATACATTTTTTCAATGCAGCGGAAAGCCAAAAGCTCACGGGGACTAAATCCTCCATCTTCCCTAACGAGGTCCTGTCCATTATCATGCAGTTCTCGGATGTCCACACATACCACACGCTCGCAAAAGTCTCTTCTTACTGCCGGAAGGTGGCCTATACCAATTTTCGGTTGAACAATGACTACGCAGTGGTTGGCAAAGGAGACCGCTATGGTCTGCTGCTGTTGAAGGATCTACAGACTGGAGCCAAAATCAAATCATCGTTCTCGCAAAAAGGGCGTCATGTACTTTCTCAACTTGGCCTTATGGATTCTGATGATGACGAGCCTAATGATAAGGAGCTGTGTATGAGTCCGATGATCGGGATTGCGGATGTCAAAAGAACCAGCATCATGGATCGCATTAAGCTGACCTTCTCGAGCATCGGTCCGAAGGATCCTTTCTCCAAGAAATCCGAGTACCCTGAGCAGTAAGTCTGCCTCAACTTGTTGCTTACCCTACTTGCGAGGTTCCGAAGAAGATTAACAAATCATACAACTACACAGGACCGAGTTCTACTGGACGACCGACCCCAGAGTCAATAAGGCAGAACGTGTCTTGGAAATTCAAGACTACGAATACTCTGGATCCGTCGAAGAGGCCTGGGGCCGCTACCTTAGCGAAATGGTAAAAGGCTCCAACTCGTTCATGGTGGCTGTCGGAGCTGCTACCTTCCGCTGCCTTCTTCGCCCTGGATATCGTGAGTTGAAATTGGACGGCCTCCTTTTCAAAAACGGACTCCGTGCCTTCGTGCGTCGCCCCCGCGATGATTCGCCAAAAGAATGGGAAATGTCACTCGAGTACGCCACCAGTGCACTCGCCCTCGTCGAAGCTACCGGCGATAATCGACGCAACCCTCCAGACGAGCTGCGCGGATGCTTCGCCATCGTGGCCTTCGGAACCAGATACAAGCTGTTCTACTATGTCCACTACGACCCCAACCCGTCTCCGCCTCTCGAGCCCGCTACCAACAACTCGTACAGCAAGCAGATCGCCGCAAAGGTTACCGACCCGGTCTCGGGGAATCGCCTGATCCAGCTCATTCCCGGTGACGAGCCGATGGACCTGCGCAACAGCAAAGGATGGGACAAGTTGGCGCATTGGCTCGGATTGATCAGTGGCAGCTCTCTTGGAAAGGATCAGGTGTACGATCTCATTTCTGACAAGTATGTGTCTACCCCTAAGAAGTCGCCAGAGTAACGTAACGACAACGGGACCTGGCCCTGGACCTCGGTCTGCAACGGAGTCGAGATGTTGAGCATTCACGACTGTCTTTTTTTATTTTTATTTTTTTTTATTTATTTATTTATTTTTTTTTTTTGGCTCGTTCTAACTCGTCATGGGAAATGTGACAGAGAAAGGGAGCTAATTGCGCTATGACATTGTAGGGCTAAACAACAAGAGGGAAAAACAGAGGAGAAGCGCTCAGATTGTATGAGTGTGCAATGACTTTATGTATCTGTTAGTCTAATATGATAGGAAAAATGATTAGGAACACAAATGACAGATGATCTGCAAGGTATCGGTTTTGTCTGGAGTCTACGATAGCATACAAGAGCAACCACGATATTGCAAAAGTCATCAGTAGAAACTAACTTTGAAACAATTGTATTTCACTGGGTATTCGAAATCAAGACGGGGCAAAAGACATGACAAGAAAAGCAGTTCTGCCCCTAAACGACGGGGTATAAATCGTTTCAAACCGACATAAACAATGCAGAAACCAGTAAACAGAAACTCCGAAAATAATGCCGAAAACAGACCTCATGCTTCCCAGCGCATGAGAACTCCGTAGACACCGGGATGGAGACCATGCATGCGTATGCTTTTTAATGTCCCAACCAATACCAAAAGGAAAAACAAACGAAGAACAGCAAGAGAGACGGGGCAAGCGACTACTCATACTCCGCCAACTTGGCCCCAACCAACTCCCACACATTCTTCTGCACATCCTCCTTCGGCCCCTCAACATTAACAGTCAACGCATCCCATTCACCCAGCGGCTCCTCGAGCACCTCAAGCTGCGAATGCACCATCCCACTCTTCATATAATGCGCCTCGCGCTGATTCACCCGCTGGATAAGCACGCTCTCCGACAACCGCAGGTAGATAAAGTGGATCTGGACGAGAGGTGTTCCGTACGCAGCAACGCGCATGACATCACGGTATTTCTGCTTCAGCGCGGAGCAGGCGACGATGACGCCGGAGGGCGGGTGGAAGTTGTTCGAGTCGGAGGGGGAGAGGGAGTCGATGGCGGCTTTGCGCAGGGAGATTAACCAGTCCCAGCGGTCTTCGTCGGTGAGGGGGGCGCCTTGGCTCATTTTTTGTTTGTTGGAGGGGGAGTGGAACTGTTCTTGTTAGCATTTTGTCGTTGTCATTTTGGTGGTTTAGGTATAGGGACTCACGTCGTCACCCTCGAGAAAGGGACAATCTAATTTCCGTTGCAGGCCGAGGCCAACGGTGCTTTTCCCACATCCTGCGGGGCCGGTGATGACCCAGATGTGCTGGATATTCCCAACCTGGTCCATCTCTGGCCAGGTTGCAGTAGAGTGGGCGGAGTGGTTGAGGGCAACGGGTTTTACGGGAGAGTCTAGGACGGCATTGAGAGTCGGCGGCTGAGGCCGTTCACCAGCAGACAACATGGTGGTGGTGTAGAAGAGGAAGAAAGGGACGGAGAAAGATAAAAACAAGTATGACGCCGAGGTGATATGGTTCCGGTGGATTTGAACGGGTGAACCAGAATGCGAGCAGTGGTAAGGTATATATATACAAGGGACGGTCTAGGGAAGAGAAGAAAAAGAGAAACAGAAAAGAGAAAGATGCAAACAGAGCGTTCTTATTCACTCAGCCGTTTCGAATCCGGAATTGGTGGGGCTGTTCTGGAATGTGGTAATTTATCGATAGTACGAAGGGTGGATTCGAAAAGGGATGCGCCGCCGGTTTGGTTGTTAGTTGCCGATCGATCTGTAGAGTTTGGGGCCCCCTAGTATGTAGTAGTACATATATCTCGAGTACATAGCTCTATGATACGGGGTAATGCTCTTTATATTGTGTCTTTGTCTCATGATATACTCTACTTCATACCCTACTGAAAAATGCAAAACCCGAAGAGTAGTCACATGACATCATCCTTGACATGCATACCCGCCGTGACTAATCCGGCTTAGCTCGGTACTCCTGCCCGGGGATTCGGGGCAAGCTTACCTTACGGCCTGTTACCACACCGTATTTCATGACAGACGCCCCCCACGCTATGCCGTTCCGGGTATTGAGTCAGATGCCGACACCTTGCACATATCCGACTTGTCCGTCTACTTGTACTTGTATGTATGCTGCCAGGAAGCCTGCATATGCCGAAATTTTGAGAGATATACTGATGTGGAGACTGCGCTTTTTAATTGTGAAGTTCGGATTGATCTATCCGACTCCATACTGTATTATGAAGTTTCCGTACGGAGTATGTACCTTTGATAACTTTTCCCTCGCCGGACGGTGTTCTCCGGGGTACAGTACGGATTCCCCACGATATAAAGGACCATCTTGCTCCACTACGTCTGCAATTGGAGGCCGGGAATATTCCGTTCAACAAGCGGCCCGGAGGAGGTGTGATTGCAATTGAAGATCCCGGACGGAACACATCCATTGCGGATCCTTGTTCTTCTACTTTGTTAGCCATCGGAACCAAATTTGCCGATATTAGGTTCCGGCGGAAAATGAAGTGCCGGGATCTGTTGGTGAATACTCATACAGGTTTAGCTAGCTACGTGTGACGGAATGGAATACTCCTTCGTGTCCCTCAGGCTATTGATTATCTCGCAAAGAGGGGTAACATGGACCGCCCCTCTATCTGACCGGTTACCTTGAAAGCTCTTTCTAGTATCCTAATGAGTGACGCAGACGGATCTTCATCGCCGGATGACAGGCGCATTGACATCCCTCAAGGATTCTGATCCGGGGTAACCCGTAGTCTCGTAGATAATGCGCCGTCACATTGACCATTGCTGTCAGATATCCGAACACGGTCTTGCCTAGGCAGCATTTATAGTCTGCGCTCTACGGAGCACGAGTACGGAGCACCAGGAGTAAACTCCACCTTGTTGGTGCGGAATAGGAGTCGGCGGAAAACGATTTCCAGTCCTGTTGTTTGCGGATTTGCATATAAATCCGCTTGTACAGATATCACCGTTGAGGAACGGACAAACGTCATGTTTTGATCAGGGTTGTTTGTGATAATGGGACCGAAAGTCGAGGTCTAAAATACAAGGGGCAATTGAAAGAGAGATAACACTACAGCTTGTCGTATAGAGTCTGCATACTCTGTATCCAAAGATGAAATGTCAACCTTCAACCATCCTGCCTTGGTGATCTCGAAGCCTATGGCCATTTGATCTACATACATCTTGTACAGGTACTCCATATTGTAGAGATTTATCTTAGTTTGTTCGTTCATCGTCCAGCGATCTTATCAGCCGCAAGAAGCATAGTTCCGCATACTGCACATACGGAGTACACTACAAGTATGTCAGGCACACCAAGCCATCAGCATCGCCCTCACACTGTTTAGACGTACAGAATCGATTACCTTTGCATTGAATAAAGATACGATCCCAGCATTCAAGCCGTTGATCTAGATTCTCTGTAGAAGAGCTGTTGTTTTGTTGCAATGAAGCTAGACTTACGTAATCCGCGATATGCCAGCTCGCAGCTCGAACCACCGATGAAGCCCGCCAGCGACAAGCCCGACGCAGAGACAAGGCCACGCGACATGGCCATTCGCTATTAATCGATACTCGACGACTAATCACGAATCACAACAAGCTCACGGAATACTGTACGATCTCGCCTAGTTCGCTGCGTCTCGAAACGATCTCCCCTCGCCGCCCGCCATGACTTCCCTCTTCTTCTCCACCCCCGTCGATATCGACGTCGTTCTCGAAGACAGCGATGAGCGCCAAACGGTCGATGTCAAGCTCGACAAGGGCCGCCGTGAGAGGGCCCCGCTGTACATGGATGGAGAGTCCGTCAAGGGTGCTGTGACGGTTAGACCCAAGGATGGGAAACGGTTAGAGCATACGGGAATTAAGGTGCAGTTCATCGGAACGATTGGTACGAGACGTCCACATGAGCACTATACTCCGGTATGATATGATGGCTGACGGGTGTCTGAAGAGATGTTTTACGACCGCGGAAACCACTACGAATTCCTCTCCCTCGTCCAAGAACTCGCAGCTCCCGGCGAACTCCAACACCCCCAGACCTTCCCCTTCAATTTTAAGAACGTCGAGAAGCAATACGAATCTTACAATGGCATCAACGTAAAGCTCCGGTATTTCGTGCGCGTCACCGTCTCCCGCCGTATGGCCGACGTCGTGCGCGAGAAGGATCTTTGGGTCTATTCCTACCGCATGCCGCCAGAGAACAACAGCCCGATTAAGATGGACGTCGGTATCGAGGATTGTCTGCACATCGAGTTTGAGTACTCCAAGTCGAAATACCACCTGAAGGATGTCATTGTCGGGCGTATCTATTTCTTGCTTGTGCGGTTGAAGATCAAGCATATGGAGCTGTCCATTATTCGGAGGGAGACGACTGGATCTCCGCCCAATCAGTATAACGAGAGTGAGACGCTGGTTCGCTTTGAGGTAAGCTCGTCTTACAGATCTGCAAGCTTGACAATGCGTTGGGACCTCGGTTTGGCTAACACGGTGTCACACGGTAGATTATGGATGGTTCGCCTTCACGAGGTGAGTGAGCCTTTTGGTCTTGATGCCAAAGCACATCTGGATCTTCTCGATGTGAAGTAATGAAGAGCATCGCGCTAACCAAGACTCAGGAGAAACCATTCCCATCCGTCTGTTCCTTGGCGGCTTCGATTTGACACCCACCTTCCGTGACGTCAACAAGAAATATTCGACACGTTATTACCTCAGTCTGGTTCTTATTGATGAAGGTAGGTGCTTGCGTTTATTTTATTTTGTTTTTATTTTTATTTTTATTTTTTTTTTTTTTTTTTGCAGAGATTTGGGTCACTCCGAAACTTTGGGGTTGATATGCATTCGTGCCTAAGGCTGTCAGGCTGTCATGGGTATCCCACGCATCTTCAGCATCCCACGGCGGCGTGGATCAATAACCGATCGGTTATTGACTCCCGGTCCCCGGCCTGGTGACTCCCACGCTATACCTGATACAGCTATGGTTTCGCGTGGCTGCCCCACACTACCCGGGTTTTTTCTCTTTGAAACCTTTTTAGTTTTTCCCGAAGTTTCGATTTCATTACAGGCGGAGCCTCGTATGTATCAAAAGTACGACCAATGCTGACTCGTGTTTACTTTCTAGATGCTCGTCGGTACTTCAAGCAATCCGAAATCACTCTCTTCCGCCAGGCTCCCGAGATCGCTGCTACCCCTCAGATCGCCCAGCAGCAACAGATCCAACAACAGCAGATCCAGCAGCAACAGCAGCCTCTGCCGCCCGGTTCGGCCACTGCTGGACCCGGAAGGGGCGAAGCTCATCAGCAACAACAGCAGCAAGCTGTCCCTCCTCCGGCAGCTTAGAGCTTAGAGCTTAGAGCTATGTCGATCGGGTTAGGGGTTGTTTCTTCCGGTTGTGCTTCCGTATTTATGACATGTCAGCTGTTTGGAGTGTTCTTACCATCATTCACATGTACTCTTATACCCTGTCCTTATTGTGTTAGCTTCTTTTATCATGACTCGATGTTGTCAGTCGTCGTATATGATCCGATGTCGTCTTTTTACTTTCGTCTTGCATCCCCAAGTATTGATTTGACGAATGTGTCCATACTTACAAACGAGGATGCAACTTGGACCTATAGTTCTCCGTCTCTCCGTGCATCATGTCAGTAATTATGCTTCTGTGTCTTCTCTTTTTAAGTATTACTTCGTACGTACCATCATCAAAGCACAACAAAGTACGCGTACTGCACATTATTATCCCAGGCCCAACCCTACCAACCCATCAGGACTTGCTACAGAGACGAAACTCTTACAGGCCTAATGAGCCGGCTGAAACGGCGAACTAAGCTCACTGGCAACTCCAGAACCTCTGTCCAGGATTGAAACAACTCGCACAACCCGCCTACCCGCCACGGCGAGTTGCTTCAAGCTCCCCGGATCAAAGCCCTGCGCTACCAGCCGACAGTGCCGCTGCCAGCCTCCCTACCAAGGGCCGGTGTTGTCCTGTGTTGTTTGAGTTGATGATTAATGGTACTATAGTTCTATATACTAAGCACAGAGCTTTCTAGAATAGGCACTTCTCAATGTAATATAAATTACAGCAGTATTTTTTCGTATTTTTGGATAATCTAACATTTAGAGCCAAAGAAAATATACAAAATGTTTAAAAATTGATATATTGCTTCTTACTGTCCATATATATACTACATACCTAGTATTACCCTCCTATATTCGTTGTTGGTGTATATATTTGAGCCTTGAAAAGTGCCGATTAATATGGTATACGCAGGTGGCCGGCTGGCCTGGGTGGCCGACTGGCTCGGGAATTACGTTAGTTAGTTAGTTGGTTAACTAGTTAGCAGAATCGAATTTAAGAAGAGCAAGCACTTGTCCATTACTCAATCATAAGTACAGTATAATGAGGGAAGATCTATATACCACAATGGCCAACTTCCTGCAACACCTCCCCCAGTACCCGAAGAACCTCCCCATCATCCTTTTCCTTCCCTGCTACTTGCACCGCCTTTACGACAAGCGGGTATATCCACTCAAGATGCTTCTTTAGCTGGTGGTTGTCATTCGGTTGGACCAGAGATGCCGCTACACTTCTAACCACAGGAGGTTCTGGGATAGCGCTAGGTACGCTTCGTAGCTCCACCATGCCTCGAAGTAAGTGCAGCAGAACCTTACGCGCGGGTGTTGGCTGCGGCATGAGCCCGCGAAGAGGTTGGTCCGCGATATACGCGCGCAGGGATACGGCGCTTCGAAGAATTAGGTATGGTGAGATGGATCGAGCGAGGAGGGTGTGTGGCTCTTGGTTGTTGTTGTCATCGTCCCCTGGGACGGCTGCGAGTTCAAACATTGCATCAGTCAGAACGTATGCCATCTTCGACCGCGTACTTGGAGGAGGTTCAAAGGTTCTTCCTGGGCGAACATCGTATATCCCCTTGAGAGGGTTGTTCGTCAAGGTTGTGGTGTCGGGGAGATCAAATCGCTTCGGGGCGTATATAAAGGAAGAATCGAACAATGCACATGCGAAGTCCCGTCGAATATCATCTTTGATCACTGCTGCTCCGAGAGATGGGATGATCAAGCTCTTCAGCCTGTTGAAGGCGGTGATATCAAAAGATTCATCCGCGAGCATGTCTGCCATGGAGAGTTCTTGAGTGCGATAACCCTTGGCAGAAACTATACCGCGCACAATGTCCACCACGCATTCCCAGAATCGTGAGGTTTCCCTTTCATTTGGCTTCTCGTATTGTTTCTCCACATAGGTAATCGCAACCTGGAGTATGTCCAGAAATGTTGTGGTCGCCTTCTGCCACAATCTTGGCTCTCGATCCTTGCCTTGCCATTCGTATTTCTGAGAAACGGGGTTGGAGAGATGTTTCAATGCAGTAGCCAGTGACCCATCCGTAAACACATCCTTCTTGATCCCAAAGTCAGCGATATACCAGCGAAGGAGGTCGATTGCACTTTTCGAGAATGCGACAAACGTCGGTCTTCTCGAGTCGCTTCCTGGTGTCCATTTTGATAAAGCAGAGTCGACGTACTCCGCAAGACAAAGAAGAATTTCAGGCTGAGAGTTCTCTTTATCCAGACAAATGGTCTTGGTAGAAGCAATTATCAATGATTGCAGGGTCGAAGAACGGTCTATATCGGGAGAATATCGGGGAGAGACCGAGTTCCACGCAAGCAGTTTCATATGTTCAAGGATGCCCGCTATGCGCTCTCTTGTCAGATCATCCTTATGAAGACGGTATATTTGTTCGAAGGACCGGAGGTATGCCAAGGCAGAGTCCTGATTGGGGCAGTCGAGATCCAACGAGTCCTCCTTACTGGCCGGATGGCCACTATCCCAAAGTGACCATGCAGACTCCAGTGCTTGTTTGCTGAAACCAGTCGGGCTTTCTACCCTAAAAAGGATGTTCGACAAGCTGGAGAACACTGCTTCACTGAATTCCAAAAGATCCAGGCCAATCAATGTCTGGAAATAGCCTAGAAGTCGTTCCCAGGAACGGTCGAATTCTTCGTCTTGGGCAATCGAATCGAAGAAAGTTGTAATCAGTTCAGCAGATCCTTTGATCATCACGACTGTCGTGTCTATCCATGGCTTGAGCTCGTATGAATTTGCCCCGTTCCGTCCTTTCACGACTCCCGTAAGTTCAGCCTCGACGTTCTCGATCATTTGAAAGAGAACTCTATTGAGACACAGCCGCCATGCCTTGGCCGATAATTGTTGGCCATAGGCATCGAAGATCCTTAGCAGCGTGTGGACTGCACAGTTTCTGATTTCGGTTCGGCTATCGGTTGCAAGGTCAACAATTCTCAGTAAGAGTAATAACCATAGAGAATTACGGGATACGGAGACATCGTTGTCCTTGGCTAGCGTCGCAAGGTCTTCTTCTCTAACCGATGCATCGACATGAGATTCAATGGTGAACCGTTCTATTTGTCCCTGGAGAAAATCTGAGACATTCCAGAAAGACGAGGTCGTAGTCAGCGAGATGTTGAAATCTTGTTGCTGTGAGGCAAAGCCTGAAAGAGAATCCACAAGATTCAAACGGCAAGGCGCTGGAAGTAGAGATAAGAAATCAGAGGCTACCAGTTGAAGAGACTTGTAAGCTGCGCGGATAAGGCGGGGCGAATCAGCTAACAACGATGCTTTGCCTCCTGGATTTGTCGTGCTCGTCTCCGATGTCTCCTCGGCCATTACCTCCCCAAAGACGCTGGAAATGAGATCGAAGACAAGGGTCCAGCCATCGGCAAAGGTTTCTGCATACTGCTCTAAGGTGTTTTTCAGGATCTCCAGGCTTTGCTCGTGGATCTCGATAACGACAGCAGGATAAGAACCTGGCAGTTTCGAATTATAGAGAGAATTCATTTGCTTTTTCAAGGTCTCCAGGTTCCTCAGCTGCCGTGTGTTTCGCAAAGAATCGTCGTCGACATCATTCTGCTTCATTGTCTGAAAGACAAGGTTATTGAGAACTTCGCTGGCTCTTAAACGAAGAGCCTGGCTGACTTCGCCATGCGATGCACCTGATATAAGACTGTCCGTAAGGCTCTGCCACGCACGAAGATCGTTCTCATCCAGAGATGACAGTCGTTCCAGGTTCGCTTTAGCTACCTCGTCTGCTTTTTCCAAGACAAATTTCAGCTGTTCATCCTGCGCTTTGGATTTGCCAACTGTGAGCGATACGCGACGGGTACTCTTGCGCATGTGCCCTGGACGCCTAAGAGACTGTGGAGAACGAGGCGTGCCTGATACTTTCTCTGATGGGTCTTGTTGTGTCGTTTCCTCGGTAAACTGTGAAAGACTCAAAAGAGCAACTAAAATGTCTTGGAACGAGTCAGCGGGGTAGCCATTAGTGCTTTCAAACATCTTGTTAGATGCTGTTTGCACGGCAATGATCTCTGCGCCAAGGTTCGCTTTGGGCACGTCGATGCCGGCTGCCGCATCCCCAGGGCTATTAGCTGCGGCACTTGACTTCATTGTAGAAACAGACGATATCCCAATCAACAAATCTGTATCCTGGAGGGTCTCAAGGATAATGGACCAGGCTGGCTGGTCTAGGATTGGCCCCAAAGCGATACCCAAATTCAGCAAGGCACGCAGACATAAAAGGTTTCTCGTGCTTAATAGCACAGAATGGCTGTCTGAAGTGGTACTTGGCGAATCTGCAGGTAATGGGGAACCGATCTCCGCACCCTTACGCCTTTTCTCAGACGCATAGTTGTTCTGGGAATCAGAAACAGGTGCTGTGGAAGTCCCTGATTTAGCACCACCGGTCTCAGGCGGCATAGCAGCTTTCCCTAGAGTCGTCAAGAAAGCGTCACGGGGAACAGAAAGCCTCAGAAGGCCCGCAACATGGGCCAATTTCTGGAAGGATCGCACTAGGCTATGGTAGAATTCGTCATCCAGAGCTGCATATAAGAACGTCGAGCACGTAGCAAGAACAGCAGGCCAGCAGTTCTCGATAATCCCGGCACATGCTTTGATTGCTGAAATCTGCGGGTGGGACTCCAATTCCAAAGGATTGACTGGTATAGGCGACTTTTTAGACTTTAAATTTTGAGTGATTCTCCAAGAATGCGTCCTTTGAAGATCTGGAGATGACGCAATAGGGGAGCTAAGTTCTTGATCAGGGCTTGTGATTCGATTTTTTCGTTTATGCTTGAACTCAGGAACAGTCAAGGGAAGTATGAACTTTGCGAGACCTTCAGCGAATACAGCAATGCAATTGAGTACGAGACTGTAAATATAGGTATCCGGGGGGAGTGGCGCATCAGTCTTGTCGAGGATTTCCATGTAAGGTGTGCGGACCACACTCCACTGGCTGCTGATGCCTGGTACATTTGTATCAGTAGATGGAACGGAGGTTCCAATGACACCAGCCACTCCACCAGCTTCTAGAGTGATTTGTTCCTCAGTGATGGACCTCGAATATTCCGCGCGCGTAGGCACCGTGGATTGGTTGCCGACCCCGATCAAAGACGGTTTCTCGGAGGCCAGACGAACAAGTGAAGCCATATGGTCCCTAAGAACGCTCTTTCTCCCTTCTTTTCCATCGTATAGTGAGTACATCAGTCGGACTAAACCTGGTTCAGCGTACAAGGATCGGAAAAGTTCCATGCAAATCACACGCTTCCAGGGTGCTGTTCCATCCGGTTCGAGTAAGTGTGTCAACAGACCAAGTGCCATCTCACACTCCGCGGTAAGAAGTGACATATGACGTTTCAGACATACAAGAAGGATCCGGGCAACCCGGACTGTTTGAGCAAAATTGTGCCTCTCAGATAAGTACCTGACGGTCAGTGGCATAAGCCGAGCTCGGAGCACCTGCGTAAGTTCCGCATGTCCAACAAACAGGCTGCCATTATTAACCAGGATACTCTCGATAAGTTCCAATGTGAATGTTGGGGAGAGTGATTTCATCCGTAGGAATTGCAGTGGTTCGCCATCTACGAGACGGCAGAGATCATCCAAAACCTTGATACTATATTAGTTTGAAATAATTGGCAACTGGGGATTCAGCTCACCCGTAATGCATCATAAGCGAAGTAGCTAATAGTTACTGGACGGTCGTCGACAGTAACGGTTTCATTTGGTTTGGACGAGTCAAGTATTCCTTGAAAGTCAGCAAACAGCACTGATTGGTGGGGCAATTAAACGCCGGCGACTAACTGTCATCAATGGCAATCCTCTCAAATGTCGACATCACAAGTTGCTGTAGTGTGGCTGCCGCAGTGCTGGACACGGCAAGGGTTTTGCTTGCCTGCAACATCGCACATATTTCTAATGTGCTCACAAGCAGCTCTCCACTGAGCTCATTGGAATAGTGCTGCAACAAAGAAGGCAATGTTTGCAATATTTTGAGTTGGATGTCCAGACCTTGATAGGGTTAGCATCTCAGCGAGTATTGCGGGTCGCCTCGGCTCCATACTCAAGTTGGTGGTTTCCCTTAACCCATTCAGAACATCTCTCAGCCGCTCAGGTGGTAATGAACGTGAAGCCACCAGTCTCTGTAAGCACACAACTCCAATACCAGCAAGCTTGGCATGGCGACTATGGCAAGTTATGATAAACGGGTCGACAAACTTCGGCCTTCGTACCAGGTCTCTTGGTTACTTAGTAACGGGACATCGTAAACAGTGATTGGGGGTTAAGCACACCAGCTGTTGTCTGGGCCTCTGAAGTAGAAGGCAATGCCTTCAATTCATTGAGAGACGTCTCAGCAGCCTGCGCTTTGAGGTTAGCTTGGATAATAAATATTCAAAAAAAGGGAGGTAGCAGACATTTCGCAGGTCAGCATTCTTTCGTTTTGACTCTTGAATGAGATGCAAGAGCTCTGTCTGTAGGAATTGAGAGGACATTTCAGATAAATTGCTGGTTTAGATCATGGCTGACTCGAACTATGGGTATTGAAACCAAATATACTCCGTCCGGAGTTCTCCCGTCGGAGACTATTGGTGAATTGGAGCAGTAGGAGATTAACCACGCTGATTCTCACACACTGCAATAGCGCTAGAGTAGTCAAACCTCCAGCTTGTAAGCAGTTTTCCAGGCAAAGAATCGCCGAAACCTATCTTTAGTCCAGAGGGTTGGTCGATCAACAAAAGCGTCAGGCGTGGCATCTCCAGGAAACGCTAAGGTGGAGATAGTAACCACGTGATAGTTATCATCACGTGGTGACTCAGCGGAGGACCGTTCTGCAGTAGGTAAGTGGGATACAGTGCGTCAGTGCCCCTCTTCCACTTGACGGCCTCTCTTTTTTCTTTTTTTTTTTTTTTTGGCGTTCCTTCTACCAACATTTTGCCGTCTACAGCTGCAGTCGATTGCCTAGTTCTGGAGAAATATCCTGCGCTCACAATGTCGGCGAAAGTTCCCAGGAATTTCAGACTCCTCGAAGAGTTGGAGAAGGGTGAGAAGGGTCTGGGAGCAGGTTAGCATGTCCAACTGGCGATCACTATCGAATTACGCATCATTCCGCTGATACAGGCCCTTTCGGATATACAGAGGCATGCTCGTACGGTCTTGCGGATGGAGAGGATATGATGATGAGCAACTGGAACGGTACAATCCTTGGACCTCCTCACGTTAGTCTGCCGGATATGATCCTATGCTTGTCGATTGCTTTATATCGCTGACTTGGGCTGGTAGAGCGTTCATGAGAACCGGATATACAGTGTCAACATCCACTGCGGCGCCGATTACCCTGACAACCCTCCCTCGATCCAATTCATCTCGCGTGTCAACATTCCATGCGTTGACCAACGAAGTGGAAAGGTACATAAACACTATACAGTTCTGATACTAGGTGGAATATAGCTAATTCATAATCCAGGTTGATCCTACCAAGCTGCCCTGCCTTGCTCAATGGAAGCGTGACTACACCATGGAAACTGTCCTGCTCGAACTCAGAAGGTAACCAGGGCCCCCGTTCCATTTATCTTGCGAAAATTTAGCGGTATTGATCTTTCCTTCAGATACATGGCTCTGCCGCAACACAGAAAGCTGCCTCAGCCGGCTGAAGGCTCCAATTTCTAAGTTTCTTTTCATGCATAGTTTAGAAAATCACGAACGCGGAGTATTGCGGTTGGTTTTTGCTATTTGTTTCTTTCTCTGTTGGCATTGCTAGAGCGTATATAGTCTATGCATACCGGCAGGCATCGGCGCGGTTTCTTCTTCATTAGTGCATGACTTCTTTCGCAACCTTTTCATATACCGCGATGGCTCAATGGTGCTTCCCAGTACCAGAAGCTATCAATGTACCAGTAAACACAAGTAGATAGATGTTTTAAAAACGAGATGTAGTATCACGTGACATATCTGGGGTAATATCGCTCCGTTTCGGAGATCCGATCCACCTTTTCAGAGCACGCTCTGCAAAATGCGCAGAATCACTGCTCCAAAGTTCTCGGGAATCCATCGCTTTGCGTGTAAGCTTTGAACACTTGCTATCACTGTTTGATTGGCCATCGTCCTAACCCACCATACCTTAATCAGGTCTGGCTCTTTACCGGGCACTCCTCCGACAATGCGCAAAACTACCGAGTACTGCACCAACCCTCGGCGAGGTCAAGCCGACGATACAACAGAAGTTCCACAAATATAAGAGCCTCCAAAGCCCGTCGCAAACACTAAACGCTTTGAACGCTGGATACGAGGTACCCATCTTCAGCCCGGGCAGGTTTACAAACTGTTGCTAAATTCTCCGCCCTTCGAGCAAGGCCCTGGATTTAATGCACGTCACTTCCCGAGGAAATGAGAATTTAATCCAACGCATCTCGACACTCATTTCAGAGAGTCAGTCGGAAAAACAAACGAACAGTTCAATCCAACGAGCACTGTCCAAGGCGAAACCCGTGAAACCCAAATCTAAGAAGGAACAGAAGAAGGAAGAAATCCAGGCATTTGAGAAGAGGACCGCGCGACGACATCCAGACGCCATTCCAATTACTTCTCGTCCCCGGCCAGTTGTGAGCGGGAAACGTCGGGTGCCTGTCCTAATTAACGCGCGCGGCGTTCCCTTTTTGCGTATCAAGAAGCCGCAACCGATGAATCTGAGCGGAGCACTTAGGAGCAAACTCGAGAATCGCTGGAGACGTATTGAACGGCGAGAAAGCTTGGAGACGGCATTAGTGATGGCGAGAGCAGAAGATACTTGGGACGAATTGACGCATAGCGAAGAGCCAAACACTTGGTCCCAAGTGATTTCAGATGCTCTGACGGAAGTAAACGATAAGATCCGCGAATCCGATCTGCAGAACAAGAAGCTTGCAAGGGATATGTGGAATGTGGTTCTTGCTGAACGCAAGCTGGCGGCGGAGGAAGAGAAGAGAGCGTCAAATGCATGATCGCGACAAAGGCGATCGATTCCGCCGTTAAAATGACATGCATCGCCTCCGATTTGTATGGCGACCATTTAGCCAGTCAGGATATCAAACGAGGGAGTTGGGTTGTTCCCCGCTGGTTATACCTGCGAGATCCAATATCCTCAACTCTGTCTGTATCATGGGGCCATTCGACCATGGTGCCTCGTATCCGCTGGTTGTCGGGTTGAAATGCTCGATTTTTGCCCCTGCCCCGTTCCGGATGACGGTTTACGGTTTATACCAAAAATCAGGTCCAGGCCCATTACGATGGCCTACTGCGTCTCGGAACTGCTGAACCGAAATCAAATGCCCGATCGTCTTTTGTCGCAGGAGTCATCATTTTCAAGCAACATCCATGGCAGTAACTGGTAGCCAACCTGGTTGGAAAAACAGCATATAGACAACAATCTGAATAGTGGCTTTTTGCCAATCTTTCAATATATGCTTTTCGTAACGAGACTATACACACAGTACCATCTCTATGAGGTTATCTTCATCTTTTCTACAGCCGGCAAAGCATCCTCACCCTCTTCATCGTAATCTCCCTTACCAGCCAAGCCTCTCTCCCATAATTGCCTGCCCGTGAGCTTCTTCTCGTCCCGAGCTGCTGGTTTTCTGCCCTTCTTGTCCTCTGCTTCCTTTTCCTCGCGTTCTCTCTGCTCCTTCCCCTCCACCTCCTTCATAAACCGCTCGCGCCATTCGAGGAATGACTGGATCGTAACAGCTGAGCCCGCAAACTTACGGTTCTCCTCCTCTTCTACCTTGGCAGCTTCCATCTCTTTTAGCGCCTGAGCAGCATTCGCCCGCTCCGACATGAGAAGTTCCGCGCTCTCCTTCAATGCACTGACTAGAGTGAAAACCATCGCCATGCCCATGTTTTCTTCGACAGTTGGCGCCAGCGCTTCAAAGAGTCGGTCCCGGTCCTCTTGGACGTCCAGTCGGGGGTGTTTCGGCGCATTATGCGGGGCTGATATCTCTAGCTCTGGGGCAACGTCGGGGTAATCTGCTGGGTAGGAAACTTGCAGAAGCAGGATAGGTTGTTCTGCGTCTTCTGCGTCTTCTGCGTCTTCGATGGTATCATTTTCGGGTGTGTCGAGAGTTACAGATATCCGGTATGAGGTTTCGGACAGGTCTGGGTGTCAGATCGTAGAGATTAGCGAATGGAACGACAGGATGGTAACCGTGCCAGCTAAGCAATCCCTCTAACCTGTGATTTCTTCTGGGAAAATAGAGTCGAGCACCTCGCGCTCCTCGATTTGATCCTCACGGCCCATCTTGTGTTCGATTCTGCCGCCCAGCGGATTGGAGGGGTATTGCTGTAAATGGACGTTGGAGGATGAAAAGAGAAATCAAGACAACAAATTCTTTCCAACGGAGAATATACGGAGTATATGTCGGTTTAATAGGGGACAATCAACCCTCCTTTAGCTTTTGCAAAGTCGAAGTGCTATTGCTTCGACGCTGAGCGATGCAATATTCAGTCCCACATGCAAACCAAGCAAACAGGGAAAGAGACCCAAAACAATTTTCCGCCGAGTCACTGCTCAACTTTTTTTCTGAAAGTCCAAGAATATATACGCAGTACCAGATTCGAGAATTTTTTGTCGATATAATTCCCCTTTTTGAAAATACAGAGTACGTGACGAGATTATCTACGAGTCGTGAAACCATGGGGAAACCCAGACCTCACAAGAAGAAAGCATCCAAGTCAAAGTCCGCTCTCCGCGCCAGCAATTCGAAAATGAACGAAGACCCTTCGAAACTTCTGGAGCAAGCGACACTACTCCTCCAAACGGGACAGCCAGATGAAGCGCTTTCGGTAGCTCAGCGGGCGCTCGAGCTTGCGTCGAATTCGCCTCTCTCGGCCCTTAACACTGTCGCCGAAGTCTACATCGAACTCGGAGAAATCGATGTCGCGAGAGAACACTTTATGCGCGCGGTGGAATTGGATCCAAATGGCACAATACCGGAATCGCAGGGTGGTGGCTCTGAGAAGTTCCTGTGGTTGTCGCAATTGAGTGAACAGGGAGGTGTGGACAGTGTGAAGTGGTTTGAGAAGGGTGTTTCGTCCCTTAGGCATACTATCCAACAACTGGAGGGGACGAATGACCCGGAGAACCTCACTACTTTGGAAGATAAGAGGAGAAAGATGGCAAATGCCTTGTGCGGTGTTGCTGAGATTTACATGACCGATCTTTCGTAAGTATTGCATTGCTCAAGTGTCGGTTTGCGCAACTAAACTAACAACAACCAGGTGGGAAGAAGATGCGGAGAGTCGCTGCGAAGCTCTCATTACGGAAGCGCTCCAAGTTAATCCCAACGCGCCTGAAGTGTTGCAGACCTTTGCATCCATCCGAATCTCACAACTCCGGACAGACGAGGCCCGGTCAGCGCTTTCGCGGAGTATGGAGCTGTGGAAAGAATTGCCACCAGAAGACCCAACGGTTCCGGAATTCGCGATCAGAATCAGTTTGTCGCGTCTATTAATGGAGGTTGGCATGGAGCTGGAGGCGCTCGAAGTGCTGGAGCGTTTGATCCTCGAAGACGACCAAAGTGTCGAGGCATGGTACCTCGGAGGGTGGTGTTTGAATCTGCTGGCAGAGAAGCAAGAGGCGCCTAAGGATGAAGAGCCCGAACAAGAGACGCCAGAATCGAAACGACTTGCGTCGCTGGTTGCTAGCCGGGAATGGCTCAAACAGAGCTTGACGCTCTATGATACGGTCCAGTATGAGGACGAGAGGCTCAAAGAGCACGCTCTCGAACTTGTCGCAACCATGAACAAAGAACTCCCCGAAGATATCGACGAAGAAGACAAGGAAGGCGAGGAAGGCGAAGGCGACTGGGTGGATGAGATTGAGGCCGAGTCGGACGAAGAGATGGCGGATTGCTAAGAGTTACTGTTATATGCCAATTACTCCGTACATAGAGTCATGTCTTATGAGATGCAAGTTTTGTCATGATACCAATAGAAAGTGCTATGATTTTGCAAATGACTCGCATTGCCCATTTTCTCTCGTAGTAACTGCCTTGTACCTGAATCATTGCCACTTCCCCTTTCGGCTCTTAGTCGCTCGATACTCGGTCCCCGGATAAACTGCATCTCCGACCGCTTTTTCCCCCAGATACATAGTAGTTTTCGCCCCGAAAATCTTCAGCGTGGCGATAAAGCTCAATGTGAGTGATTTCAAGCATTGCCGTCATTGAGGCTGCTGGAAAGCGCGTCCGATCTTTTGTCCTTTTGTGGGATGGACCTGGCACCAGCGCCCAGCGGGGACAGTTCGTCGTTGAAGGAAGCGGTGATTGAGGTGGAAGCCGTCGATATGACTTCCACGGAAACTGAAGAAGCAATGAACCCGGTGATGGCGGAGGAAGAAGAGGAGCTGGCAAAGAAAGAGGACGAGGAAGACCAGAAGTTGCTGTCCGAATATGAAACGGATAGTGAGGCGGGAAGCGATGATTGGGAGACCCAATCTCTATATGAAGATGCGCTGCAGTTCGTCCGCGATGATCAGCTTCGGGAAGGAGGTAATTCTTTTGAAATCCTCCCAAAAGCCAAGGAGAATATCTACTGATGCGCGCTTCTTCGTTCAATATAGTGCCTGGCGCTTGCACGTTAGATGAAGCCGTTGCTTATCGACAACGACTGCATGATATTGGCAAGGCTGCCTTTGTGGAGGAGACAATTGTCCGGGAAACTGTCAGCGCAAAGAAACTATGCACTGCGTTCGGGATACTTCCTCCGCCGTTTCTTGAAGGTGCCCCGGATGAGGCGTACCATCCTCTTCTGGCCATGGGGATATCGCGCGAATTCTCCCGGCGCCAGAAACTCCCGCAATACAACACCATTGATGATGCGGTCAAATTGCTTAAGGAATCTAAGAATATCATCGTGCTAACAGGCGCAGGGGTAAGATTTATGTGCTCTTGGACTTTTCCATTTGCTGGGCTTGCATACTGATTCCATACTTTTAGATCTCTACCAGTCTCGGTATTCCTGATTTTCGGTCCAAGGACACCGGTCTCTACTCTCAGTTGGAGCATCTAGGACTAAGTGATCCTCAGGAGGTCTTTGATATCCATATCTTTCGGGAGGATCCTCGCATTTTCTTTTCGGTTGCGAAGGACATCCTACCTACCGAAAATAAGTTCTCTCCGACTCATGGGTTTATCCGGTTGCTTCAGGATAAGGATAAACTCTTGACCAACTATACTCAGAACATTGACAACATTGAGGCCAATGCGGGTGTTTTTCCTGATAAGATCGTGCAATGCCACGGCTCGTTTGCCACGGCCACTTGTTTCAAGTGCCAGCACAAGGTCCCAGGAGACACGATCATGGAAGACATCAAGAAGGGTGCCATTCCTGAATGTGTCGAGTGCAAGAAGAAACTCGGTGATGGTTTGTTGAAGCCTCAAGGAATGAAGCGGAAGCGAAGCTCCAATGGCACTCAGAAGAACCGCAAAGATCAGGACAGTTCTGAGGATGAGGACGATTACGAACTTCCGACTCCCGGGATCATGAAGGTCAGTCTTTTTTTATATTGGTTCATTATCTATATGCTAATCCGCTTCCAGCCTAATATCACATTCTTTGGAGAAGATCTTCCTGATGAATTTGGTCGCCGTCTTGTTCATCATGACCGTGAACGAGTAGACCTGGTCATTGTCATTGGCACTTCGCTGAAAGTGGCTCCTGTGGCAGAGGTGCCCGGAGTGCTACCTCGCAATGTTCCTCAGATCTACATCTCTCGTACTGTAAGTTCCAAGTCCACGCTGCGCAGAGATATTTGCCGATGCTAATCAAATATTTTAGCCTGTTTCACATACTGGCTTTGATATCGACTTATTAGGTGACTGCGATGTAGTAGTCTCCGAGCTCTGTCGCCGGGCAGGTTGGGATCTGAAGCACGAGATGATTCCCCCAGACGAGAAAGTTGAGGTGAAGCAAGTGGAAGGATACGAGTCACGACATGAGTTCAAGGTCGTCGGCGCATAAATGATAGGTGTTGTTTGGATTGGCGTAACTAGTTTATATGGGCTTGCTTTTCTTTGCGTCTTATTTTCTTTCTTGCCAGGATTCCCTGATGGTTTGGCTGGGTTCAGATTGGTCGTTTTCTTTTGCCGGACTTTGGGTTAATGGAGGAGATTGGGGTTGTTTGCATAGATACGCTTTTGAATTATCGTTTATATCAATGTACAGTTGATTATCAGTACATCTTTCTTATATCTCTCTTATATCTTTCATACTTGCAGGAACTGTCAGTGGCAGTTGCGCGTAGTACACATTCCCCAAGTTCGCTTCTGGTTTTCTTCCTCCCGTCGCCTAACAGCCGAAAAAAATCATCTCCCAACTGAACGATTGAAAATCATCGCCAAACCCCGCGAAATGATTTAGACTGAATACATTAACTCCAGTCGGACCTGAAGATAGTGATAAGACGTGCCGCGATGGAGTTTCTCATTCGCTTCGCCCAGGCGCACGAGACGTTTCGACAGCCGGAGATCGAAGCTCTGGCGTCGCTGGCTGGATTCGATGTCGAATTTCTTTATTACGATAAATTTGTATGTTATTTCCTTTTCGCACTTCCATAAATCAGAAACTGTCACTTTCCGTCTGTTCTGCGGCTTCTGCCATATCGCCTTGCCCCTCGTTGCAGATTTCCTTCGCCCCTCCTCACGTGCCCAAAGAGTACATCCCACTGACAACTACAAACAGTCACCATATGCCGTTGTAAAACTACCAGATGAAGCAGCAGCGCGCACAGTCATCTCCCGCAGCATCCTAGCAAAAGACATCTTCGTACTCTGGGGTCAAGCCACCAATTATGACGACCTCCACGCCGACGTCCGCAGGCGGACGTCGCACCTCTGGGAAGACCTGAAGCAAGTCTCATTCCGATTCACGGTAGACGCATTCGCGGGGAAACACACCGCCGAAGAAACGCGCGATATCATCCAGAGTTTCGCGTACGTGGGCTTCGAGGGTCCGGTCCGACTGAAGAACCCCGACGAGCAATTTTGGGTGTGTGAGGAGTATATCTCTGATGTTGAGGCGCCACGTTCGACGAGGTCTGCAGAGCCGATGCCGGAATTGACGCGTCCCAAGAGGATTTTCCTTGGGCGGTGGTTGGCTCATGGTAGTCGAGATATCATGGGGAAATATGATCTGAAGAAACGGAAGTTTATCAGTACGACATCTATGGATGCGGAATTGACTCTAATAACGGCTAATATGGCCCACGCTGCCCCTGGTAAGCTTTTCTATGATCCGTTCGTGGGGACGGGGAGCTTCTGCGTGGCGGCGGCGCATTTCGGGGCGCTGAATATGGGCTCTGATATTGATGCGCGGAGCTTCAAGGGGAAGGATCCGGCGACGGTGGGAAATAACAAACAGGTCCGTGATGTGAGAACAGGTCGTTCCATTGGGCTGCTCTCAAACTTCGAACAGTATGGGATTGCGAGCAAGTACATGGACGCGTTTACGTCGGATCTGACCAACACGCCTATCCGTCTCGGGAAATTTCTGGATGGTATCGTTTGTGATCCTCCTTATGGTGTTCGTGAGGGACTCCGGGTCTTGGGGACGCGTGATGGTCGTGGTATGGAAGAAGTTCTCATTGATGGAGTTCCTGCTCATTAGTATGTCTCGCCCTTTCTCGGTTTCGCATTGGTTTAACGATGATAGTCTACCCGGGTACATTGCGCCAAAGAAACCATATGGTTTTGAAGCAATGCAGAACGACATTCTCACTTTCGCCTCTCGAACACTAGTCACAGACGGACGCCTATGCATGTGGATGCCCACATCCAACGACGAGGTGGAATTGGTGACTCCCATGCATCCAGATCTGGAGATCGTCAATGTGTCTGTACAGCCATTTAACAACTGTATGTTTTCTCTTTCTCCTGTGAGTTGTGAACTATGTCCGCTGACTTCTTCAGGGTCCCGACGGCTTATTACGTACCGCCGTTTGCCAGAGGGACAGGTCTCAGATGTTTCGTTGGCACGACAAAAGGATGACGCACAGGGTACTTATGCGGATGATTTGAATTCATTCAGAAGAAAAGTAAGTAACCCGCTTGGATCGTTGGAATCGATATCTAATCGACCTAGTACTTCACCAAAAACGAAAAGAAGCTCGCCAAAGAGCAAGAGAAGCCTCACGACGAATAGATATCACCAATTGCATAGACATTCAACAAAAGTTAGATACCAAAATAAAAAGATCATAATTTTCCATCCCCTCTCCTTGTCCGCTCATCACCCCCCGAACCTCCCTCCAAGTCCACCCCTTCTACATCCCTAACCCGCTGAACTTCGCTCGCCAGCTCTTCTCGAATCTCACTGGCTAATTTCTCCCCTTCCTCCTCGTCCAGCTCGTCCCTTTGTCCCCGACCAAACATTACATAGCTCGTCTTGTTTGCACTGGGCGGCTGGTCCAGTGGTGGTCTGGGGACGATGTGGAAGTGGACGTGGGGGACTACTTGGGCGGCTCTTATGCCTATGAGATATATTAGCATTCATTTGATGATATAATGGAATATGGGTGTAGGTATACCATTATTCTGAACCACATTCCAATGTGCCTCAGCATCACCGAAAAGCGTCTTCATCACAGCCCGTGAAATAATGGGTATCCATTGTCCAAGCTATATTCCCTCATCATTAACTCTTCTCCGGAGTAAATAACACAAAGATAAGATGAAAAACGAGGATACATACCTCCCTCCCAGTTGTAACTCCAACATCCCCCACCGTCCCACAATGCTCCCTCGTAGTCACCAAAACATGACCTCGAGTCAACGGCATAATATCCAGAAACGCGAGAACGGATTTCGTCGAAAGAATCAGGTACGCATGCGATGACTCCGACTCTAACTCCGGTTCTGACCTGGACCCTGACCCCGGTCCTGGCTCTGGACGTGTCTCTGCTGTTTCGGCGCGGAGACGCGATGCTAGGGAGTCCGGGGTTGTGATGGTGGCATTTTCAGAGTTAGAGCTGAAGGATGATGGTGAGATGGGGGGGTATTTTGCTGCGATGCTGCAGAAGGGGCAGCGTGTTGAAGTCATGGGTTTGAGAATGTACTCCTGACTCCGGACTTTGTATGGGGTAATGGCTGGAATATATAACAACCGATTGTACTTCAGAATATATATTTTACATCTGTCTGACGATCAGGCATATTCAGTCTGGAGAATTAATAACTTACACCAAGATGAAAACCCCATTAATTTGTGATTCTTTATTCAGATGGTTGTCGAGAAGAGTCGCTTACCGGCGAATCTCACTGAACCTCGGTCTCCGGCGGAGTCCAGACGCATACCCCTGGGGTACAATTTTCTATCTTCAGTCTTTTATTTCTTATTTAGGAACATGTTTTCAATATGATAGAATTGAACCCATATTTACAAAGGAGATTAAATGAATGAACGTAGGGGACCGAAGTGCATCCAAAGAACACATGAAAGGGGTGTACTATCCAGAAAGACCGAATGTTAGAACCATATTAGACTCCCTAAAACACATATTACTCGATCGAATCCTCTTCATCATCTTCATCATCTTCATCTGCCCCTTCTATCACTAACGCGCTCCCCCAGAATAATTAAGCTAAAAGAATGAATATTGTTTCCGGAGCTTCGTTGAGCTCCCTTCTTCGATATCGTGATACCGGCAGCCAGTGCGAAAACTGCGGCAGCATGAGACGCATGGAAACGAGAGGAAACGGAAAATCAAAAGTAGCTTTCTTGAAGAACCAAAAAGAATTGCGAATATATTTCCGTCTTTTGAAAAAACCCACCCCTTTAAAAAAAAAAAAAAAAAAAAAAAAAAAAAAAAAAGATAAAAAAGGTAAGAACGAAAGGTATCCGAACAAACAAGAACACCGACACTTGCCAAAAAATCAATAAGAAGTGAAGGAAGAATAACATAAACAGAAGTCAAGAGCGCCGGACCCCTCCCATCGAAACAAGTAATGCAAGCATAACGCAAATTGAAACACAAAAATGCCCATCATAAACATATGCAAGAGGTGTTTATACCATCAGAGAAAATGCCACATAAAACGAGCCCGATCTCCCGCGGTCGTTCAAACCAGGAAGACATGCGGCATTTTGTTATCGTAATTTGTCTCGTAGCTAGGCACTGTTCTTAAAGAGAGCTGTACGACTGTGCGAGCGAGCTTTTGATGTAGTAGTGGTGATACTTCTTGGCCCACTGTCTCGTGATGATGGAGGCTACATAGGCGTTAGATATAGTGGACATAATGCTCATATGGTGTCATAAGCACTTACCCTTGAGGAACTTCTTGCTAGCGTATTTCTTGAAGAAGGCTTCGTGGCACACAGGACGGTGAAGATAATCGATCATCAAGCGGAAGACAGGGTCGATTTCGTCCTCAGTGTATCCGGCATAGTGGGCCAGGGTAGCATCCTAACACCAGTTAGCTTATGTACGTGTCCACTAGAGAAGAAATAAAGAGAAGGAGAGCATACCCAAGCTCCTTGGTCCAGGATGACGCGGGCAAGGTACATGGCTGATGCGGCGACATGGCTCTGCTGATAGACCAGGAACCGGTGGTCCAAAAGACTGATTTCTATGAGGTATTTCGCCAGAGTTCGGGTCTGAATATCGTAGTTGTCGGCCTTGGAGATACGACGAAGGAAGTTCATGGGGTTGGGGTAGCTCATGTTGTATTCGAGGGTGGCCAGGATGTGACGCTCAGCATCAAGAATCTCCTTGTCCGAGAAAGTCTCATCGGCAACGTGGCTGAAGTTGGCGACGTGAGGCGAGAGAATCTCTTCGTATTTCGAGGCGATGAACATGGCAGTGACTCCAACCAACTGAAGGCGGTCCAGCGCAACAACTTCGGCAGACAGGAAACGGTCAATGATGTTGACAGCCAAGAAGAGAGTCTCAGGAAGCAGGCGGAAGCGAGTGTGAACTTCGATCAACCAGTCGACAAGGATGCCACGCATCTTCCATTCAAGATCGGGTTGGTGCTCGATGTACTCGGGGTTGGGTTGCGTTTCAATTTCAAGGTCCCTGAGGTAGTCGAAGATCTCTACCACGTATTCAGCCACCATCAGGGGGTCGTCCAAGTCCTCAGTGTCCAGGTCGACAACGGCATCCTCAAAAGCCTGCTTAGCGCTGTCCGCCTCAACAGGCACCTCAAGCTTTTCCTTGGCCGTGGAGACCTTCTCCACAGGGGGCTGCTTCTCAGCAGCCTTCTTTTCAACTTCGACCTTTTTGCGTGGCGGTTCCTCAGCCTGCAGCGTCTTTTCTTGCACTGACTTCTGGCTGGAGGTCCGCTTCACCTGTGCGCTACCAGCTCCCGCTACGCGCTTCGTTTCGCTCGAGGGTTTCTTTGCGGTCGCGGTGGCATTGGTGCCAGTGCGAGACGTGTTGGTCCGACTAAGCTTCTGAACCCCACCGGTCTGCGATGTCGCCTTCGAAGTCAGGCCAATCTTGCTTGTAGCCGGCTTCTTGCCTTCCTTGGTCTCGGTGTTCTCAGACTTGGTGACGTTGCTAACGTCCCCAAGGGCGGCACGTCGTCGGGGAGCTCCATTTTTCTCTGTGTTCGTAGCCGCTTTCTTCGTCTGTAGGGGTTTCTTCGCGGGGACATTGGCGGCCTGACCCTCGGTGGACAGAGCAGCAGCCTTGGCTCTGGTCACGCGCGTCGACGGGCCGTTCTCGTCGTTTTCGTTCATCGCGCCTCGTGTACGAAGGCTTCGGACTTGCTTCAGCGACTGTTAGCGTGAATTTGAATAAAAGCAAAGCGAGGAAACATCAATGAGCAAAGGTCAAACGCCAGATGTAGTCCAGACGCGTGTATGAAACAGTCAGGGGAGGGGGGAAGAGCTTACGGGAGGCATGGTCCTGAAGAGAAAGGGAAGGAGCGTGCAGCAAGAGGAATGAACGCTAGAATATACTTGCTGGTCGTCCTGTGGTTACCGTCTTGTCAGCATTCCAACAAAAATCATCCCCGGTGGAGATTAAATATCTGTAAGTACGCACCACGCGTGGATGTAACCTATCACAAGCAACCTTTGAAATGGAAGCAAGGCTCTTTTCGATGAATTCTTCGGCGATCGATTAACAGAGAATCGGTCGTGATGAACTGTTTTGATGGTGGATTCTATATGATAAGGCGCTTAAATGACCCTCTTCACGTAGCTTCAACGGCGCGCGTCACGCTGCCCAACAGGGGTTCGATCGTAGAAACTGTGGGATAAACTGCAAAAATAAAAAGATCCAGAGCAAGTAATGCACGTAATTCAACGCTCTCCGTCGTGTTTCCCGGTCGTAATGGGATGGGGGGCGTCGGAATTCCCAAAGGGTGCTGCTTTTGAGGGGTTGGGAGAGAGTCGAAGAAGAGGTGAAGTTGACAGGGCACAGGCGATGTTTGGCCCTACACTTTAGCGTGGAAATAAGTACTGATGCCCCACACCACACTGCGTCGCGTGGAATTGCGGGTTATCCACGGCCGTAAGTAAGTATTGTTTACCAGTAGGTTCAATTGATAAATCAGGAATATTTGCAGAAAACAGAATTTGAACGATTCTTGAAGGAGGAGAAGAAGAAGAAGAAGAAGAGAAAAACAACAAAACAGAACTTAAGAAGATCCAAACTTGAGGGAAAGAGAGGACGATTGGTTGGTAATATACAGTATCCGTATAGAATTACAGTCTATGCTGTTTTGGGAAGGGGCGTGGAAGGAAAGCAGTATCAATACCGTCAGGAAGGGAATTTCATCTGCGTTTGACAGGCAAGAGATCTGACTGTGACGTATGTTGTTACCAGTCGGTAATAATGTTTACAGTACCAGACGCCATCGCGAGGTAAGAGCGCGGCTCCCACATAAACAACGCCGTCGTTGCCCGGCAACCGTTCCGGCTCTTACTTGTGTCGTGTCGGCGCGCGGTCCTGTGACTTTAACCGAGCCACAATGAATATCTGCGGCGGTGCATACTGAGTCACATGATCTACACCAGCCACAGTTCCGCCGAAACGAGAACATTTTCAGACGGTCGACTGGACCACCGGCTTTGAGCAGCAATTGAGCCCGGGGAGTTGTCACCGGTTTCTAATTATTTCTCCCTTGATGTTTTCCTTTTCATGAAGTATGCTTGAATGATAAATCATCTTGTGTTTTTTGTTCAGTTCAGGGCCAACCACGACGTCTTGATAAAAGACTAGGATTTCTCCCCACGATGCTTCAAGTTCGGATGGCCCTGACGGGCCTCCGTCTTCCCTTCCGATGCCTCCCTTCGCTTTCGCTCCCCGCTCGGGCTTATTCGACAACTATAAATCAGACGGAGAGACCCCCGCAGCAGGAATCAAACCCGTCCAACTTCGACCCCAGCATTGCTTTTGCTCCCCCGCCGACCCGCGAAGATACCGGCGTCCTCCTTCGATCGTATAAACCGCACACACCTGGTATCCGACACTTGCGGAGACCAGTTAACGATCATCTGTGGAAGGGCCGGCCTGTTCAAAAACTGACGTTCCCCAAACGTGGTCATGGTAAGGGTGGTCGTAACCACACCGGTCGAGTGACCATTCGGCACCGTGGTGGTGGTCACAAGCGCCGTATCCGTACCGTTGACTTTTCCCGAATCGCTCCCGGACCACACCTGGTGGAACGGATCGAACATGACCCTGGACGCAGTGCCCATATCGCTCTGCTCCGCAGTCAACAAACCCAGAGGTTGAGCTATATTCTCGCCGCAGAAGGAATGAGGGCTGGTGATGTCGTTCAGAGTTACATGTCCGGTATCCCAGAGGATCTTTGGAAGAGTATGGGTGGTGCTGTGGATCCTGGTGTGCTGGCGGCCAGAACGGCTTGGAGAGGCAACTGCCTACCATTGCATATGATTCCCATCGGTACACTCGTTTTCAACGTTGGGTTATACGCGGGCAAAGGTGGTCAGCTGTGCCGCAGCGCTGGTTCTTTCGCTACGGTTATCGCCAAGGGTGGTGATTTCCAAGGAAGGGCAAACGACACCAGCAGAACCCAGGCCGGAGGGCCGGGAACAGAAGAGGAGAAGAAGCCTTTGTCGCAACGCGAGAAACAAAAGATTGAGCGTGCTACTCAGCATGTCACCATCCGTCTTCAGAGCGGTGAAGTCCGACTCATCCACAAAGACTGCTGTGCCACAGTTGGTGTCGCCAGCAACCCCAACCACCAGTACAGCCAGTTGGGTAAGGCTGGACGATCGCGCTGGCTCAACATCCGTCCGACTGTTCGTGGTCTGGCTATGAACGCTGCGGACCATCCTCACGGAGGTGGACGAGGAAAGTCCAAGGGTAACGTCGATCCGAAGAGTCCTTGGGGTATTCCGGTAAGTTTTTCTTCTCTTAGACTTTGACAGCGAGAATTGGAGCTAACAAGGCCTTCCCTTCTAGACAAAATCAGGATACAAGACTCGTCCCAAGTGGAAGGTCAACAAGGCTGTTGTCGTCCCCCGTGTTCGCAACCAAGGCAAGCGTCGCAGAGGATACAGCTAATGATGTTGCCTTATCGTTTCACTTTTCTTGCTCTTCACGACTGTTCGACTCATACTGTTTCTCTGCAGCTACTCTTGGACCGGGCGCAAAGGATGGATTGTCCGTTTTCCGCTTTCTTGTACTATATCTTCACGCAATATCTAAAAGGAACTTTACGTATATGAAGTTTCCGCTTGTAAATTGCAGAAATCAGAAGTGTATTACTATTTCTTTCTGGCTTTCTTGTAAAGAGAAGTAGGGCATAAAGGACAGCAGTGGCGGTAGTGGCGCTAATCCTGTTTGCCTTCTTCCATCGCGATGTCTTCTTTATAAGGGAACAAGAACATATAATCTCCTTAATATAAGTCCACTTGAAAGCCCTCATTCGTTGTATGCGATTTTGCCTTGATCAGCGGTACGAGCTCGGAGATCCTGATTAGATCACCTCTTGCCGCACGGAGTCGCCGTCAGCGCATGCGATCTTCAACTCATCGTGGGATTAACAGCATAAACGGTCGACTGACGTCTCCTACAACTTTGTTTGTTTTCAAATGTTGAACTGGTCGGTCTTCTGGAACCGTTGATTCTAAGCGGCTTGCCAGCGTTCTCTATCAACACTGCCATCTCTTATCGCCGATAATTCTTTTCCCCATCCACGTCGAGTCACATCCCACCCACCCCAGACCATGGCAGATAACGATCCATCGCAATACTCCGCATTCCAGTCTCTATCCCAGTCCCAATCGCAACCTACCGAGACAGATCACGATGCTGCTGCGTCGCCCGCCGCGACCATAGCGAACGGCAGCGGAGAAGGAAGCAGCAACTACGTCCCCCGTCCCAAGCGTATCGCATGCGTCGTGTGCCGGAGAAGAAAACTGAAATGTGATGGAAAAAAGCCTAGCTGTGGGACTTGTTCGAGATTGGGGCATGCGTGCGCTTATGATGAAGCGCGTAAGAAGAGCGGTCCTAAGCGGGGGTATGTGAAGCAGTTGGAAGCGCGATTAGGTAGGACAACGTTAAGCTTTGTGCTCTGCTTATCTGGATTTGGGATACCTACCTGGGATCTAACTTTTATGGACCCTTTCGCTGACATGGATTATCTGTGAAGCCCAGGTTGAGATTTTGCTTAATGGTCAGGAGCCAACCGCATTACCGGCGTCCCAGACGCAACCCCAACCCCAGGAAACCGCGTTCGATGGCTCGATGCCGAATAGTACTTTGTCGCCCGACTTCCTTTCGATCCCCGCGATTCCAGACGAAGCTGAAATTTGCATTGCACCGGGGGATATAGCTACACAACCCCAACCCGGCCGGGGATACCTACCAGAGCCAGGGTTTAATATGACAGGTAAGTCCACGTGGGACATGATCAGTCTGGGATTAGAGGAGCCACTTCCTGACCAGAATGTGATTGATGAACTGTAAGTTATTGTGTACAAAATGTTGTAGGTTGTTGGTGCTCATTGGTTGCAGACATCGGATTTATTTTGAAAAAGTCCATCCTTCGATACCAGTCGTTCACCGTCCGAGATACTTGGCAGCTTCGAATTTGACACCCAGTTTACGACCTCCTGTGTACTTGCAGTATATCATGTGGTGTCATGCGGCGTCTATCAGCGATAAATACTTCCATTTGCACGGACACTTTTACCAGCGAGCGCGCAAGTATGCTGAATTGGAGGAGATGAGGGGACTTGGGGAAAACATCATTTCTTTGGCCTATTGTCAGAGTTGGCTGTTGATCGCAACATACGAGTCTAAAATGCTGTATTTCCCTCGCGCATGGCTGAGCACTGGAAGATGTGCAAGAATGGCATTGATGATGGGTTTGAATCGGCTGGACGGAGCGGGCCTCAACGTCAAGCAGTCATTACCACCGCCCAAAGATTGGACCGAACGAGAAGAACGAAGGAGGGTCTTTTGGTTGATATTTTGCTGTGATCGATATGCCAGCATTGGGACTTCATGGCCCATGGCGATTGACGAGAGAGATGTTCGTTAACTCCCCACCCCCCTTTATCACCTCACTAACTCAGCCAACAGATTATGACGAACCTCCCTGCCACCGAGGAATCCTTTATTAAAAGCAAGCCACAGCGAGCCTTGCGCCTCGCCGACGCATTGACAGGAGAGGGCAATGCGACTTTGTCGCCGTTGGCAAGCGTCGTGTTGTTGGCGGCACTTTTTGGGAGAAATCTCACTCACCTTCATCGTCCTGATCCCCAGGACAATGATTATGACCTTAATGGAGAATTTTGGAAACGCCACCGATCGTACGATAATTTATTACTCAGCATTGCTTTGCAGCTTCCTAGTCATCTGCGATTACCAACAGGAATGGATGATCCGAACATAATATTTAGCAACATGTGCATACACACATCCACGATATGTCTACACCAAGCGGCGATCTTCAAGGCAGAGAAGAACAAGATGCCCAGTCAGATGATCATCGAAAGTAAGCGGAGGTGCATTGTGGCTGCTGATCAGATCGCGAATATCATGAAGTTGATCAGCCATATGGATCTGACCATTGTGAATATGAAGCGCTCATTGACTACGAGTAAACCAAACTGACTAGCTATAGATGAACCCATTCTTATCGTTCTGCGTGTACGTCGCTGCGCGGATCTTTGTGCAATATCTGAAATCCCGGCCAGATGATTCTATGGTTCAATCTTCATTGCAATTTGTCATGTCTGCTCTCAGAGCTCTGAAGAGCAAACATCCCCTGACGGAGACATTTCTCGTTCAATTGGACATTGACACGGAGGGGAGAGCCTTCCAGGGCGTTCAAACCCCTCCAAACCGAGATGGTCATGGCAATCATTGTGTTCCAGGAGTGGTATGTGCCTTATTTGATTGTCATACATTATGATATCGGATCTCTGACTCGTTTTCACTGCATTTAGGAACTCTGCGCCCCTGAAGTTACAGAATGTCCAGCTTTCCTCGGTCTTCCCGACTCTCACTCCGGCGATGCGCCTGAGAATCCTCCCCAGAGTAGGGCCAGCGATCCCAGCCTCAACAATAACTCAATTCCAAATCAACATAATCGCGGTGGAACACAGCCCAACCTAAATACAGCTTTCATCAGACCATCTCATAATTTCAACCCGGGCATTGATACGACTGGCGCATCGGGAGCAATCATCGACATGGACACTGCACCGAACCTCATGGTGGACGAGAGTAACACACCGCCAAACCACCAATCTCCGTCAACATTAAATTCAATGTCCAGGACAGAAGACTTTACGCCACAAAAGCCTTCTCCCTCTAACACCCACCATCCTACACAACCATTGAACCCATTGGACATGCCATTATCCGCTGGTGGCGGCACCGATCCCAGCCAATTCGGCGATCCCTCGTCTCTTGCCAGACAGTTAAATCAGGACACCGCACCGTTCTATTCCACCGGGCCGGGGACGTCGTTCTCCATACCATCGCCCTCCGCGTGGGACTTTCCGAACCTACAGGCCGGTGTTCCTAGTCCAGGGAATATAACATCGCGGCCAACGGATTCTTACGCCGAAGCGCAATTCGCGCAGTTCATATTGGACACGACGTGGCGAGGTTGAGGTGACGATGTGTCACAACATTATTGACTATGAATACCCCCCACTCTTCTAATTACACAAACGATGTCATGACGTGATGCCTATTCATATTTTCTTTGTTTATTAAAGGCGTCGGTTTTCCGAGTGACATATGACAGGAGTTTTGATATTGGTCGATCAAGTCAGACCAAAGACAGTGACAGTGATGTATAGGAGTTCATGTCATTCAAGATCAAGTATATAATTTGTAAAGTAAATCCTGGAAATATCAAAATTCAAAGTCATCAAAGAACAATCCACAATCCAACAACAGACCACAAACAAAGCCATGCCAAAAAGAACAAACAAAGCCTTGCGCCCTGATAACCTTACAATATGCACAAACGTCTACAAACTTCCACCCGCAGCACCCACAATCTTCAACCCCCCAGCACCACCACTACCCGGCCCATCATTCGTAGTCGAATACGCCAGCCAATACCGCGAAGGATGCCACGCGACAGCCGGAATACCGGTATTACTACCCCCCCCAACAGGAACAGTATACACGCTCTCCCCCGTCTCAGCATGGAAGATCTCAATGCCGTTCCCACCGGAGCCGGCCTCGTCGCACGCACCGCAGAGGAAACGCCCGTCGAAACTCCAGCTGACCCCACGCACTGCTCCGCCGTTGTTACTCGACACAGTGCGTTTGCAGATCCAATCTGCTGTGTCCCAGAGGGAGACAAGCGCGTCGCTGCCGCCGATGGCGAGGTAGCGGCCTGTCGGGGCGAGAGAGATAGAGAGACATGCTGAGGTGTGGGCGTGGAGGGTGTGGAGGATGTCGAAGGATGGGTAGGACATGATTTTGACGGTGCCTTCGCCGGTTGTTGCGAAGAGGTGGAGGTCTGAGGCGGTTGGTGTGGGGATGTGGTGGGAGAAGGTGGTAGCGTTCGTTTGGATAGGTTGGGGATGCGATTCGAGGGCTGTGTAGGTTGTCTTGCCGTCTCGTGAGGAGCCGTTCGAAGTAGTGCCGTCTATGAGCATAGTCGGGCTCGATGGTGATTCGACGGAGACGGGAATCAGAGTATCATCCTAGACGGTCATAGACGCGTTAATAACCTTCTGGAAAAGAGAAACAGAGTATCGTCTCTCCTCACCTTCCGCCCAACCATCAACACACTACCATCTGCCGACCAAGACAGCGTGAATGCCTCGCCGCCCACATCCAAACGGCTCACGCAGGTTTTCGAGCGCACATCCCAAAAGCGCACCGTACCATCTGTCGAGCAACTTGCCAATTCCGACTCTCGAGCCGGGTGAAATAGCACCTTCTCAACGCCAGCGGAGTGGCCGCGGAGGTCGGTCGAATATCTAACAGCCGGGCGCTCGGGGTTCCAAATCCGTAGGGTGCGGTCGGCAGACCCTGTCGCGATTAATTGACCGGTTGGGTTCCATGCTAGCGTGCGGATTCTATAGAAAGGAAAGAATCAGTTGGTGATCGTCCGATTTACGAGCATCGCGCCGATGGTTCGTCTGAAAGAGTAAACGCACGTGTGGGATCCTGGTGCTTTCGACGCGGGATCGTAATAATTCTGGGTTTTGAGAGTCTCAAAGGCGAACGCGAAACGGTCCTTCGAGAGTAGGTTGCGACGAGGAGGCGCCATCACTGCCCGCTGTTGGTAATGATGCTGTTCGTGCTGCCGGCGGACAAGCGATTGCAGCTCTGGAAGCTCACATGCGTGCCCCGTCGGGCCGTGAGTCGGCAGTAGAGAGGATAAATGACTATCTAAGGAGTAGCGGAGCTGGGGAGTTGTCCTAGAAGGACGTTCGATCGCGTTGAAATCTGGAAGTCGAGACGAACTGGGACCGAGACGCGAGATTCTCGGACGATGGACGTTGGCGGAGGTAATGATGCCTCAGGCACATAATAGACGATGGAGAAGATATACACTCTTGATCTATAACTATAAAACCTTCATATTCATAAAACAAGTAATAGATATATAGATTCCTTGATGAGTCCTTTCATTTGTTGTGCTGCTTTGGCATTTGTCTTGCTTTCTCTCTTGCTCTCCTCTTTCGTATCGTCATGGCGCCTGGACTCTGAACAGTAACAAATGACCCAAATTAACTTGGGAACAGCATATGATAGAAAAAGAACTAGCTTAGAAAGCTAGATATTACCAAATGCCACTGATTTCGAAGTTAAGTCGAAGCCAAGTATATTCGTGTGCCTAGTTCCAGATGGTGTTTCCAGTCTCTCTTTTGACAGTGTGGTAGTAACGTTGCGCATGACTAAAACTCATTTGACTAATGTTGGATTCTCATTCATTTCATTATTGTCCATATGTATGTAGCTATGTAAGATATGCATGTCGCTGTCACTGATCGGAGCCATAGGGCTGGAAAAGTGGTCCCAGCGGCGGAGCTTAATCCAACTTCAACCCTCCCATCGAGATTTTCCTGCTCGTCGCTGCCAGGAGCCCACGAGATTTCTTGATTCTATTGAGCAGATTAACACGCAGGCGGGCACATATATCCTCTGTAGCTCACCTGGGAGACAGACTACCATGCTCGATCTGGAGGATGACGCGTCCCGACGCGAAAAGTGCTACACCACGATAACCCAGCTGCCGGCTTATGTTGACCCTAAGCAACCTCCAACAAAGAAATCACCATTCTCTGCGATTTTGTCTCATTCATATGTACATACGGTGCGTATAGACTTGCTTTCTATATGCGCGTGTCTCAGTCGGCTAACAGGACCCAAACAGGTAGAGGCTATCTTACCAGAAGCGCTCTGTTCGAGCATTGGAGACTCTTTAAAAACCAAACTGCAGAAACCGCAATATGCTAGGGTGTTCATGTCACTGGCGTCGTTATTGGAGGGAGAATTTTTCAATGCGTATATCAAGATCGGTGCGTGAAACCTCATGTAGAACGTTTCAACTTGTCGCCTTGGAGTACTAATTCCGTTGACAGGCAACATTCTCATGATATCTGAAGGTCATTCGGGGACGGACAATGTGTTTTCGCTCAGGAATGGTGAGTATCTCGAAGTCTCCTACCCGCCAGATCGATTAGTCTTAACTCATGGATCTGATGGTTAGGTATGTTGAGATTGGAACTTGGGAAAGAGACTCTTGAATGTACAGGCCTTACTGGTAAGCCCGTTCGAGGCGGCGGGAGGAGGCATTCAAAGGAAAGATATCGTATGTAAACCGGCTGATTTACTTGGGACGTCACTTGCTAACCCATACAGTCGTGGAACTTAATTTGCGATTACCATCCATGCTCCATGGCAAGAAAGGATTTGAACGAATCGTCTGGGCGTTTCGGAACGTTCTTACCGAGTCGGTTGCTTGGCTGTTTTGCGACCTGGCATCGGAATCGAATGGCCTACCAAAAGGTTCGATAGTCAAGCATAATGAAGCTTTGTACGTTTCTAACATGGAAAAAGACGTAGAGAATACACCACTACAGAAACATCAGCCTCAAATCGTCGAGTGTGATATGGCTCGCATTTCGCACCGTGAGGTACTGGTCCCGCCTTCCCAAATGGACATCACGGAGTCCACACCGAGTGAAGATGTGCAAGAGCACTGCAATGCACTTTCCGAATGGCTCGCCATGGTTGCTCTCGAGTCCCCGCGAGTAACTGCAAACGACACAATTGACCCTTATCTGAGCCGTTATTCTGTGCCAGATGCAGAGGATTCGAATCCCACAAATCTTATCAGTTTGAAGTGGCATGGTTTCATCAACTCGCGATGGATCACACAACTATTAATTACTTTACTGTATTGATGCCCATTCCTTATATTTACGTTTACCGTTATCGACCATGCTAATTACTCACCCCATTGCGGGTAATCGCGATATAGTGTCGAGACTTCCTCACAAACTGTCGGAGCCCAGTCGTGGTTCGCTCTTTCGTCGAATGCCTTAGGTAGAGAGGCGGTGGACGGAAAGGATGGATATACAATTCTCTCCCAGTCACCCAATGACCACTCTTCCAGCCCCTCTCGAAGACAATGCATCTGCTGGGAATTTGTAGGAGCGTCTACACTCTCGTTATGAAATAAGAAACAACCTTCTCTGCTTTCCCTCTTCTTGTTTCTTGCTCTTACAACTCCCTGTTTCCTTCGTGCTTTCGTTTAACCGATCGCTTCCAAGCGTTTTGCAGCGTCTCAACTTTCGTTTCATCGCCTTTCACCTCTTTACCATTAACGCATCTTTCTGTGCCCGGACAGCAAACTCTCTTTTTATCTGCTTGGGAATCATGCTTGTGACCGACACCACGGACACCAGGAACGGCGGTACGGACCCCAGCAATGACAGCGTCAATCCTGATGGCAATACCACCAATGTGGACGAGGGCGAGGATGCCACTGCTACTGCGCCAGCCACTCAGCTTCCTATTCCACCCGCTACTCCGTCTGCACCTTGTCAAGGTCTTCCAACTGTTCATTCCGAGTCCCCTTGTCGTTATACCCCAACGATGCCTCGTCACAATCGTGTCGCCTCTGCTGGTCTTCGTATCACCATTCCTGACGACAGCGATTATTACACTTATGCTCTTTGTCGCCCACCTGGCTGTGTTTATCCTATCTCCATGCCCACGGGTCCAGAGTTCTTCCAGTTTATTCCGGGACCTATGCTCCCATACCAAGGTTTCCAATACTCAATTCCTCATGTCGGCGTCATCCCAGGATCTATTCCCCCTGATGGATCTATTCATCCCATCGCTGCGCCTACGGACTCAGTGTCCCCTCTTTCTCTACCGGAACCTATGCTTCCACACTCAGTTCCTTATATCGGTTCTATGCTTCCTGCTGGATCTATACTCGTTACAATGGATGACACGTCGATAATCATACCCGCGTCACCATTTTCACAGGGTATCGTGCTGGGCTCCACACTATGGATGGCGATGTTGAACTTCCCACAAGCTCCTCTTGCCAGCTCGGACTTTGCCACTTTTTCGCAATCCCAGGCGGTTCCTCCGGTCCAGGATGATTCGTCTTCTCAGCGGCAACCGAATGAACATGTCTCACCCCCAGAACAGCGAGCATATAAACCCCAGCATACCGCTCCAAAGCGAAAATTCAGCTTTGTTGAGCCTATAGTAACACCGGATTTTGTGGCAAACCCCGATAATCACGGCAGATGGGAGGTTGACGATTATGGCAGGTGGTATCTCTTAAATGTGTCGAGCAATAAAAAACGACGTATTCGATAGCAGGCTGGACTGCAAGCCGGGTTTCTTTACCTTCTTTTCGGAATCATGATACGGACTTTTATTGCATTGTTCTTTATTGGGATTAGATTTCTTCTGGCTCGGTTCATTTTAGGTACTTGTTACTATACAAGGCGTTCAAGGGTTGGGAAAATGCCGGTCGTTAGCTAGTTATCCTGGGGCTGTGGCGGCATTGGTTCTGGTGTTTTATGTTTTCTGTTTAAAAGAGGAAAGAAATGATGGTCATTAAATAAATTTAGATAGCTTAGATAGATCACTACAATCGAAGCAGGGCTTCAAGTCAATTCACAGGCATCTTCCATGGAAATTCAAGTGCATCCCTAGCCAAGTCACACAACTATGCAAGCATGAATGGCAATCCCCGAATTAGAAAAGAAGACTTGGGAAGGAGTGAGATGGAACTGGATAATGTTTTAGGTCCGGCTAAGGCCGTTCTCATGTAAGAGCCAATCGATGCATTGCGAGGGGAATGATATGTATTATTGCTATCCTTCATGGGTTATCAGTGTTCATCAAGTATCCAAAAGGCCCTATTCCATGCACCAACATAAACAGATAAACCAGCGCTGCTGTAAGTCAAGATATAAAAGTGTAATGCAAAAAGCCGTAAGTCATAACAAAAAGACATAATACAAAGATGAAATATCAACCAACAAGGTCATTCACCACGTCCTGCAGAATAGGTCGATTCCCAATGACCCTATTACCGTTCAGTATCTTGGCACCCTTCTTCGCCGGTTGTTTGGCGCCATTGGGGCCTTGTCGACCTTGCACTGGACTGAGAGGGTTGCGAGCAGCCTTGGTCTGAGAGAATTTCTTCTTCGGACTGGGAGATGGTTTGCTCTGAGAAGCATGACGGGGTTGTGTTTGTGTGGCGCTCATGCTATCGTGCTGGAAGACGTGATCCTCAATTGCGCCCTTTGGTAGATTATAGACCCATCCATGGCTTTCCACCAGGTTTATGTATTTACCAAGAAGTTCGTTACCATCACGCAACGTGTTCTTGCTGCCAACCACAAGGAGCTTGGTTCGGGCTCGTGTAAATGCGACGTTGACTCGTCTCCAATCGCTAAGAAGGTCACCAACATAGTTTTCTGTGTTGCTTCGCACGCAGCTCAGGATCACGACTTCTTTGTCTCGTCCTTGGAACTTGTCTGCAGTGTGCATTTCAAGTTCTGGCAAGTGGTGCCGGAGATCTTGCTTCAACACTGAGAGCTGGCTGCGGTAAAAAGTAATAACGCCAATGTTGCGTGCTGATATGCCGCAGGAGGTGAATGCTTCGACGAGCTGAGCACACAGCGCCGACTCGGTTGTGTTCACAACCCTCGATCCCGCTGCTACCTCCGAAGCCGGCATTGCAAGTGTGTCCGTGTTCACAAAACGGGTTTTAGCCGAGGAATCCACGAGATCCCGGAGCCAACAACGGCCTTGATTCGTACCCAAACAGAGCTGCCGCAGAGTCGGAATCTGCGGAAATTGGTCGATGTGATGTTGCTCCAGCCCAGCAATATTGGGGATCTCTAGCGAGCGTGATGCAACCTCGGGCGTGCCACATTTCAGATGCCCCGAATAGATCAGGCTGTTCGAAAGAAGCATGATATCCTCAGCCATTCGATACTGATGTTCCAGGTTCACCACAGATTCTGGATGAGTATCGGACAACAGTTTGAAAAGGCTGACGTCGAGGCCACCCTCTTGAGCCTCTTTGTTCTGTACAAGCGGAGGCAATTGGAAATGATCGCCAACAAGAATGAAGGTTCTCGCCATCCGAATAGGCCCTAAGCAAACGGGAAGAGTAATCTGTGAAGCCTCATCGACAATACAATAGTCGAATATTCGTCGACCGAATATACTATGATTGACTCCCAGGCAGGTTGTCGCAACGATTTGCGAATTCTCATATCTTGCCTGCACCTCTTCGACGGAGCTTTTAGGGGTTGCGGCTAAGTCTACAAACTGCTGGACTTCAGGATGGACCTTAGCAGTAGCCCCAATGCGTAGAATCCGAACGTTCTCGTCACGGATCTTAAGCAGAATGTTATCAACTGCGGTATGAGTATAGGAAGTCAAGAGGACGCTTTTCCCTTGAGACACCAATGCTCGAATAATGTGTGCGATCGTGGTTGTCTTTCCCGTCCCCGGCATTCCAAGAACCAGTGCATAGTCCTTGGCACTCATAACCTTGTCAATGGCCCGTTTTTGATCAATGTTCAGGTTTGACTTGCCAGCGTCTAGCATCTTGTGAGATGGCGTGGGCCTAAACACAGGAGGCTCGCCATCCACTATTAGCCTCCTCAATTGTTTAGCATGGAACAAATCCCTCTCCATCATGGCGACGATATTACTTCGAACAATCGCCATTCCGTTGCTGAACTCATCCTTGTCGAGCCGATATACCATCTCTTCTTCGGAGTCATCCGACTGAGCAGTAGTCGCAGAGGCTCCATTGTCAAGAATCTCCATGACACCCTTGAATGACTGGTTCCACTTGGGATCAAAGCCTGACGTTTTTGTCCTGGCGTTGTGCAGCCTCCGGTCCACTGCAACTGTGATACGCTTGGGACTGACTTGAACCACGTATCCATTCGCGAGGGCGAAATGGCCTTTCTCATCGGATACCACAATCGGCTCCCCCAAAGTAAGCTGGGACTCGGTAAAAGAGAACGACGGAGACGCTTGCTTTTTGATAAACGTGTACCGATACCGATTTATCTTGACATCGTCATTGTCATCTGAAGATGATCCTGGTTCAATAACGACATTGCCGAAGCAGCGCCCAAGAGCTTCTCTCTCACTACTCAGCAGAGTCCAGAGCTCGCGTCGGAATTTCATCATATTTTGCTCCTCCTTCGTCAGAAGCTGGTCCCATTTCTTGAAGAACACTTGGTGCTGGGGAGTCAAATGGTCCGTGTCCTTGTCAAAGTCATCACCCAGTCCACTGGAATCGCCATTCCCATCATCCGCCAACTTGTGATAGATCAAACAAGGTGTCTTTGCGTAGCACTTATTACACATCCCTGGTCTTTTCACCATTGGCGGAAGTTGGAGTCTTTGGCGCACATATCCAGCTAGGCGATTGCGTTCCTGGATCATTTGTAGGAGCTCATGTCGGATACCACGTATACGAAAGATCTTCGACATTTCGAGGTAGTAGAGTAGCCCAAAGTTCACGTCCACATCTGATGATTCACTATTAGCAAAGCGACCCCTCCCCAGTGGATACAACACAGCGGCACTCACCATATCGATCCGAGAGTAACAAAGTATAAAGGGCAGTCTGAGCCCTATGAGCGTGATTTGTATCTCTATTTCCTGTCTTGAGTTCAAGTGGAATGACAAGGTTTTTGTCACCCTCCCCGTCGTTACAGGCAACTTGCACTGTCGCGTCGACATTGCCTTTGAGCCCGTACATCGGAGACCATATATGTTCTTCAACTTCGAGGAGTTTGTTGATACTCAAAAGCATTTTAGAACTATTCCGATCTTCGACAACGGATTCGTTCTAACTTGACATTAGCAAAAATAGAAGGAAGGACTCCAGAGCACCTACCGTGGGTTTGACTCTGAGAAAGGTTTCTGCCCAAGATCTCAAAGCCGGGATTCTCCCCATCACATATTCAACTGCTTGGGCCATAGTCATTTGGATTATATATAGGTCTTCGACGTGTTTGGTCAGGACGCTGGTAGTCAAGCTCTTTAACGAGCTCAAATCCCACTTGTTTGTCTTCATGGCCTCTTGGAAAATTTCATGGAAAACGTTTCCAAAAACTTGCGGCTTTCCAATGTCGCCGGAATATTTGATGCGGTCCTGAAGTACGGCTCGTCGTTGGCAGCTGGTAGAGTCCGAGACGACAGTTGCTGAGATCAAGTGGTCCGGATGCAGAACGATCATGTTTTGAGCATCATCCACGATACAATGCCCTTGTGCATCGAACTCGCCGATTAAGTGGATATACGAATCCTTGCTGCAGGGACTATCGAGCCAGGATTCACGCAGAATGACCACTTTCCTAAGTTTGGACTTCTCATCCTGGACCAAAAGTATCTGTGTATAAAGTCAGCGAGCAGCAATTGTTACTAGAGGGTGCGCATCACATACCTGCTCTGGCTGAATGCGTCCTTTCTGCGTGGTGTACGTATCCTCTGCAGTATCCACGATCAAATAGCGTTTGATAGCCTGTCGACTTCTGATGTTCTATTTTTATATACTTAGCGAACTTCTAAGAGATAACTCCACTAAGAGTGACAAACATGACTTCGTCCATCATCACCTGGATGCCTCATCGACTGTTCGATGGCCTCAAAATCGAAATCTTCATCGTCGAATTCATCACCAGAGGATAAATCTGGTTTCTCAATTTCTTTGGGTGGGTTTGTCGAAGCCGCGTGCTGAGAGGATTCTGGCTTGGCAGAAACAGGCGCTTTACCACATCCATCTAGGACCATGTGTATATTTTCTGGTAGCTCGTCATCGTCATCGAATTCATCAATATCATTGGTAGCATTTTTATTGTTCATGCCCACACTGGTACCCTGAGGCATTGTCTCCATGCTGTGGTCGTAACTCTGGGGTTCCTTTGAGACAGGCTTCTTTGTGAATACAGGTTTTACTGACTGCACAGTACTGCGTGACTGCGTTGGCTCCGTGAATGAATCCAAGGTGGTATCCACGAATTCAAGGAGATCCATATCTAAGTCGTCATCCTCAAATTCAGATGAAGACCCTTGGGGAGTCGTCTCTCGCAACTCTCGAGAATCTGGCCCAAGAGCGTTTGTCATATCTGCCCTTCCAGAAACTTCCAAGGCCGTTTTATCTTCAGTCGGGGATATCGATCGGTTCCGTTGTTGTATATTCGCGCGCACAGGCACAGGTGACAAGCTGTGTGGATCTGCAGGAACAGCTGGGGCTTTGTGAAGACTTTCCATCTTTTCGACGAGAGACCTGAGGCTTGTAGTCTTCGCACTTCCCGAATCGACAACGTTGCTTCTAGATCGAGAGAATATGTTGCGGCCGGTTCTCGAGCCATCTCCATCCACTCTTCTCCGCTTGGCTTTCGATGTTGGCCAATCGACATTACAGCTGATGGCACGTCTCAAACCTGATGAATCTCGACCTTTCTTGGCTGATGCCGGAGTTTGGGGGGATGATGACAGGAGATTTTGCAGGCGGGGCGGAGGGAGGTCACCGTTGCCGTTCAGAACACCTTTCCCGACGTAATTGTTCCATAGATCAGTGGCCAAATCATTCTGTGGCGTTTTGAGCAATGCTTGGGCGGATTGCATGTCGACGGGTTCTTGATTCGCGTACTTCGAATTGTCTGCCAGAGGAGAACTGCTCGGGGTTGAACTGTGACGACGCTTCTTGCCTCGTGACGATCGAGACACCGAGCCTGAATTGGAACTCGTAGGGACATGCTGCCAAATAACATGATCTTCGGGAGTAAATTCTTGTCCTGGAGCCTGGCTGATGGCATCTTCCGCATTGCCAATTAAATCTGCCAAAGGGAGCCTGTTCACGGGAGTCTGGGGGCACTCTTTAACTTGCTTGGTTTCTGCAGTTTGGCTCGAAGGTTGTTCTTTGCCGGGCCGCGGCTCCTCTTGTTCCACCACATCATTTAGCCACGACGCTTGGTTCTCCTTGGTTGCATGGTCTGATTTCGATGGCGACTTGGCTGGCGACTTGGAAGGCGACCTCTCAGGACTTTGCTCTGCATTGTCGTCATATCGGAAGGCGTCCAATTTCGTGCGGGACTTCGAAGAAATCGGGTACGAATTGAGGGGTTTCGACATGGTTGTTGTACTATACAGGACTCAATTGCATTCGTGGAGGTAATGGCAAAGCATGTCGATAGCGAGACTTCGTAGGCTGTACTAGGGGTACTCTGTACTCCATAGTTAGGTTAGTATCAGAATGCACCAGCCGATTAACAAAGGCGTACCGTTCAGTTCATAAAGAAGCTGGGAGACAACCAAAAAGAGAAATCCCGTCCATTGGATTCTACAATTATCGACCAGAGTACGGAAATTTCTCCGTACTTTCCTCTTGGTGTCCTTGCTGGTCTGTGTTCTCAAAAGATGGGCTGCAGGAACGGAAGGCGATAAGACGCGTCGCGTCAATTTCTCTAGTTAGCCTCAGGCATATATTTCTGCCTTGATAGTAAGGCACAAATGCGGCATGGGATTAGTTATGGCCCGTTCAGGATTAGCGCCCAACTCCTGGCTTGGCACCCGTGACTCCGGGCTTTTGCGGCTTCTGAACATCACCGCTGACCACACCAATCACCCCTCCGTCCATCGCGGCTCCCACGATAGCTACGCAGACTTGAGACGATTCAACCGAAGACAATCGTTTTCGCTGGTCGAAAGGGCGTCTAATTATTGTCTTTCTGTCCCAACGGTTCCTGTCCTATTCCGACCGACAGGGGTCCCTAAACCACCAATACCCGCACGTCAGACCCCAAAGTTTTACCGAAACCTCCATATTCCACAATGTCTGCCCGTCTCTTCTCGAATCGCCTTCGCTCTTCTCTCCTCGCTCGGAGGCCGCAAAATGTCCAGGGCTTTTCTACCCGGAGCAACCTCCGTGCCGCTGACCACGGTGACCACTACGATCCTCCTACCGGATACCTTTTCGGTGTCAAGCCGGGCCAGAAATATGTGAAGGAAGGCTGGGAGAACCTTTGGTACTACGGATTCATTGGAAGCTTGCTCGTTGCCGGTGTCGCATATATCTTCAAGCCGGACACTTCGTACGTGTTCCCCATGGTTCTCAGCTGGGCTATGTCATCATACTTTTCATATCACGGTATGGGCGTATCATGAAAGGACTAAGGGCTGACTTATTAACAGGATACAAACATGGGCTCTGGAAGAGGCACGGCGACGACTGGAAGCTGAGGGCATCCTGGAGGACCCAGACAAGACCGAGAGGAAGTAGAGCCCATCATATATTCTGGGGATTATTCTGTACTTTGTACATAGAGGGATTGGGCTTGTATGGCAATCTGGGTTGACGCTTGCACCCACGACGACGATTACGGTGTGCCGGTCCACTTTTACTTTAGACAGGTCGTTTTATTGCATTTTTCTTTGTCTGTTCTTTCTACCTTCTTGCGTGTACTATGTCACTTAATTCCCTGAAATGTTATAATCAGTTCGTTCCGGGAATCTTCCAGAAAAGTCCATTTGCTCACTGCAACATCGACACTGTGTCTACATTGCGCCTCGCTACGGTGAGAAGGGAAAAAGGCAGCAGAAGCCCTGACTTCTGGCTATGTAGGATGCAATGTATTCAACTATGTACACGACAACGGTAGGACGGGGCTGCTTCACAACTTTGGCCATCATACTTCCGGATATATATCAGTTCTCCTTAGCAGCGGAATCTCTTTACGGATCTTGGCCAAAAGATCCAAATCGATTTCTGCAGTTGCAATTTGCGGTTCCCTGTATTCATCACCGAGATTGGCCACAACTTCTCCCCATGGGTTAACAATCATCGAATGGCCATAGCTCCTTCGTTTCTCATTATGAGGCCCAGCCTGTGCTGCTGCTATCACATATGACTGCGTCTCTATGGCCCTTGCGCGAAGAAGAGCCTCCCAGTGGGCATTCCCTGTTGGGACAGTGAATGCTGAAGGGTACGTGATTATTTCCGCGTTCTGGCGCTTCAACGCCAGACTGACCTCGGGGAAGCGTAGCTGTAGGGTATAATGTGAGCTTGACTCACTCTATTGTCCCATACCTGCGATACACAGAAAGTAAGGTGGTTCATTTCTCTTACATCAAAGCATATAGACAGACCAACGCGTCCCACGGGAGTTGCAAATGGACGCAAAATCTCCATGCCTTTCTCAACACTCCTTCAGACGAAGTCAGTACAACATAAAATGCTTTCGCTTGCTTGGCTCTCAAGGGATATCACTTACGCGCTCTCTTTCAGCATAGGTCCGCCTTTAATATCGACATCGAAGAGGTGGACTTTCTGATATCGCTGTGTAATATCTCCCTTCTCGTTGATCCATACAAGAGTATTTTTCACCCTGCCACCCTGCGCAGGCTCATGGATCCCAACATTGATATGAATGTTTGCCTGCTGAGCCTCCTTTTGGAGACCTAGGACGAATTCACTGTCCTGTACCGAGCGTGCCAGTGATATCGTCTCTGCTGTCGAGGAGCCAATGTAGTCCGAGGCTTCGGGTAGAAACAGCGCCTAGAGAAGTGTCAAATAAAGACGTAGATGGATCAGGCTCAAAAGTACCTTAACACCAGCAGCGACTGCCTTTCGTACCAATGTTTGGCATTGAGCGAGGTTTGCAGTCATGCTCGCAGTCGAGCATAGTTGCCCCACGGCCTGAACTCATACATCAGTAGCTTATTGCAGGTATGGAAATAGAGTTCTTGTAACCGTACTGCAATGACCATTGTTATAAATTTAGAGATTTCGTCCAGATACAAAAATTACCTAAGAGATTCGAGGTGCAACGTTGTAATGATGGGGAATGTGCTTCAGTTGGATGTCGCTGATGTGTCGGCAGACCTTCCTGATTTGGAACTGATATCGCTCGACCTGCAATTCCGCGCGGAGTCCGAACATCACGGTGCCGGGCTCTTTTCTCTTCAACTTCACGACAACCAGAAATCAAGTTTCTACAAAACTCTCATTGATCTGCTGCTAAGCCGGAGACGACCAGCGCAGCAATTCAGTAGAGATTCAAAATGAAAAGTTTGCGAAGAGATTTCTCTTCGAACCCGCAAGCCGCAAATGTTAGCAGCAAAGTCTTTGTGAGGTCCACGAAAAGTGGAAAGGTGCAAAAGATCGTTCGTGAGCTTTACTTGAGACAGGATATTCCTTGCTCATCGAAGCTATGTTCGACATGCCCGTCGGTCGCACCTGCAGATGCAAATGGGAATAGTGAGAAACAACTTATTTCGCGACGACGGACCAACTTGGCTAACGTGCAATAGTTGCGCCTTTCGTTCTCTCCGATAAACCCGCCGGCACGGCCGCCTTTCCTCAAGGGCATTACCTTGTCCCCGATACGAATGCGCTGTTGAATGGGATGGATCTGTTTGAGCACACCGGGGCGTTCTACGATGTGATCATTCTGCAAACCGTTCTCGAAGAGTTGAAAAACCAGTCGTTACCGCTCTACAACCGCCTGCTGTCATTGATTAAGACTGACGAGAAGCGCTTTTATCTCTTCTTCAACGAATTCAGATTGGAGACGCACGTTCGAAGGGGCCCTGAGGAGTCGATCAACGACAGAAATGACCGAGCCGTGCGGACCGTGGCTAAGTGGTATTCGGAACACCTTCGCCTCGCAGCCAAGAAGAAAAAGGATAGGGCTTTGCCGGCTATTGTCATGATAACGGATGATAGGGGGAGTCTACAGAAAGCAAAGGATGAGGATGTGACGGCGTTGTCGCTGGCTGATTATGTGTCAGGCTTGGAGGATTCTGACAGGTTACTGGACATGATTAATGAGGCCAAAGAGGCAAGGGATACCAAGGATGCTCGTGGGCAGCTGTTTTACCCAGAGTATTACTCTATGTCGAAGCTGATGACAGGTCTGAGGGCTGGTACATTACACCAGGGTGTTTTCAATGTATCGCCGTACAATTATCTGGAAGGATCGGTCAACGCCGCGGCGTTTGATAAGCCTCTTCTTATCTTGGGTCGGGATAACAGCAATAGAGCCATCGCCGGTGATGTCGTTGGGATTGAAGTCCTCCCAAAAGACCAATGGAAGTCTCCATCGACGAAGATTGTCGACGAAGAAGCGGTTACCAAAAACGATAACCCCGACACTGAGGATACAGAACCAGTGGTGACGGATAGGGAGCGTAAGGCATTGCAAGAGGAGGCCCGCAAAGCCCATGGCAAAAACTCCGAAGGTCAACCACAGCCCACAGCTCGAGTTGTTGGGGTTATCAAGCGGAACTGGAGGCAATACGTTGGACATGTCGACTCAGGCTCGACAGGCGTGCAAGCTAGTTCTGGTCGGCGACAGCAGAATGTCTTCGTGCTACCTATGGATAAGAAGGTTCCCAAGATCAGGGTCCGAACTCGCCAAGCAGGGGATTTATTGGGCCATCGGATCCTGGTCACGATTGACGCCTGGGATCGGGATTCTCGGTATCCCACTGGACACTTTATACGTTCTTTGGGTGAACTGGAGACGAAGGGCGCGGAGACGGAAGCTTTACTTCTCGAATACGACGTCCAGTACAAGCCCTTTCCCAAAGTGGTTCTCGATTGCCTCCCACCTCAAGGGCACGACTGGAAGGTCCCTGCGAGCAAGGAAGATGTCGGGTGGAAGGGACGGAGAGATCTTAGAGATCTCCTCATTTGCAGTATTGACCCGCCTGGCTGTCAAGATATTGATGACGCCCTTCACGCACGGCCTCTGCCGAACGGTAATTTCGAGGTGGGTGTCCACATTGCCGATGTGTCTCACTTTGTCAAGCCAAACAATGCAATGGACCTCGAGGCAAGCCTTCGTGGAACCACTGTGTATCTAGTCGACAAGCGTATTGATATGCTTCCGCATCTGCTTGGTACAGACCTTTGCTCTCTCAAGCCATACGTGGAACGCTATGCTTTCTCGGTCCTGTGGGAGATGACACCCAACGCCGAAGTTGTTTCGGCAGACTTTACCAAGTCCGTGATTAGGTCACACGAGGCCTTCAGTTACGAGCAAGCACAGTTGCGCATCGATGATAAGTCCCAGAATGACGAACTGACGCAGAGCATGCGGACCTTGCTCCATATGTCCAAAATCCTTCGCCAGAAGCGTATGGATGCGGGTGCACTGAACCTCGCCTCGCCAGAAGTCCGGATTGAGACGGATAACGACGAAGTCGGGGATCCCTTGACGGATGTCAAGACCAAAGCGATGCTTGAGACCAATAGTCTAGTTGAGGAATTCATGCTTCACGCCAATATCACGGTTGCCGCCAAAATATATAGCGCCTTCTCCCAAACAGCCTTATTGCGGCGACACGCCACTCCCCCGCCGCAGAATTTTGAAGAACTCATCAATCAGCTCGCCAAGAAGCGGAACATGGAACTTGATGTATCCAGCTCCAGGGCACTCGCTGACTCGTTGGATCGTTGCGCGGACGCGAAGAATCCGTTCTTCAACACACTCGTTCGTATTCTGGCGACTCGTTGCATGACCTCTGCAGAGTATTTCTCCGCTGGCGCTCATGCTGAATCTGAGTTCCGCCACTATGGTTTGGCATCGCCCATCTACACGCACTTCACCTCGCCCATTCGACGATATGCGGATTTGATGGTCCACCGACAACTCGCGTCCGCCATTGGTTATGAGGGCGAAGATGGCCGAGCCGCAATTGAAGGTATCACCACCCGCAATAGGCTCGAAGATATCTGCCGTAACATCAACTACCGTCATCGCAATGGCCAATTCGCCGGACGTGCTAGCATCGAGTACTACGTCGGACAGGCCCTGAAGGCTCGTGGTGAGAAGCTCGCGGCCGACGGCATTGACACTGGCATTGATGAGGAGGGATACGTCATGCGAGTGTTTGAGAACGGCGTAGTGGTCTTTGTGCCCCGGTTTGGTATCGAGGGTGTCGTTCGTCTGGAGGACTTTGTGCTCCCTGGTGAGTCGGCGGTGCGGTCAGTCGAAGACCGACGCGAGCTGGCTATCCGTCGGGAGACAGAGTTCGACCGGGAGGAGTATACCTTGCAGGTATCAGAGAAGGGTCACCCGGAGAAGGAACGGGGCGTGACGATTGAGCTCTTCCAGAAGGTGCAGGTGAATGTCAGCTCGATCAAGGAGGAAGGCCGGGGTGCTGGGAAGAGAAGGGTACGGATTTTGGTGACGGGGCCAGGAAGATAAAAGTATTTCTCTGTATTCGTTTTAAGGATGATAGATGAACTACATGATTAATTATATTCAGTCTATTTAACAATATGAACCTGCATTATGCACATGGTTATGCATATGCATAACGGCGCTGATTCAGCTATTACCCCGCGTTGCCCGTGACAGCGTTTGTTTGTTTTGCAAAGAGGACAAATGGAACAAACACTGCAAACATGGTCCCGGCGTCGCAGCAACCGTGGTTGATATAAAGAACCCCAGGGGAAATATTTCCCCTCGGATACTAATTAAAGATGAAGCAAGTTTTAGTGAAAGAAATGATCTCCAGCTAAGAAAAGACCGAGCGCGGCAATCGTTTCAGGCTAATATTTAAGCGGCCGATCTAACAATTACAATTGACCTCTCAGATGCATAAAAAGAAGCGTCTAGGCGTATTATCTGTACAGTGACTTCATCGCCCTGCCAAGTCACATCTCCACGCTGTCTGTCGGTAACCTTCTCTCTCTCTATCTCTCCTCCTTCTTCCACTCCCCCTGCATCCTCTCTTACTTCTTCTGTACATATTCCGTGCCTCTTCTCAGTCCCGGATGAAATATCCTCAATCTACCCAGACATGATGATCCAGAGACATCATCAACACCATCATTCTCTCCGAGATGGCCAGCGGAAGGTCTCTCCTCCCGGTCCGTCATACATGTCCGATGACCAGTTCGGTAAGATGCTAGTCGGAATTCGCTGAGTCATTCACATTCCTGTGTCGCTGGGAAGCGTTGGCAGAGTGACACCGTTGTTGTTCTATTCTTTTTCTTTTCTGTTTCATGTTGAGAGAGCTTCGTTGCTGATTGAGGTCTCGTTGCTTCCCTTCCAGCCAACTACTTGAAAGATCTCCGGACAAATCGACCGCTTCGTCCTAGCGGTTCCAGACCGCTTCCATCCAAACCACCGGGTTCCACCGCTCAGCAAGTTAAGGGGAATTCACCACCACGAGCGTCTTCCGCCATGTCGTCGTATGCTGTGGCCAGTGGACAGCCTGTCGAGTCTGCTGTCGAGGAAGGTTCGCCGCCGCGGGCTTCACCACCACGAGCTACCAGCGCCATGTCTCACTGCCGTTCAAGCCCCTCACGGATGTCCTACGGAAGCTCCGCGGGCCGGCCCTTAGTTCAGGAACCAAAGACTACTGAGCCAAGAACTATTCCCATCCGGAAGAATATCTCGCCCCCTCAAATATTTTCTCGTCCCATTTCGGTCTCGCCCAATGCGGCCTATAAAGAAAGTGACCAACGGCGAATGGAAAAGGAAGAGGCACGGTCTTTGAGGGATGCGCTGGAGGAGGTGGATCTTCATGACGATGTTCATCTTCACCAAGCGGCTCAGGATGAAGCCACGGAGCTCGTTTGGATGCACCAGAATCCCGGCGTGCCTTACAAGAACCCTGGTGCCCCGTATAGAAACCCCGACATAGAGAAGCGTGGTCAAAGTCCAGATAAAACCAATCGCTCCCCAAGCCAGTACCGTGGATTTCGAAAGAATTTCATGTCTTCCCCGCGACGGAATAGCCGCCAGTCGGCATCAGATAGTTCCTCTGACGGGCTCCATGGTCTTGGCCTGGAGGACTCACCCAGCAGACAAAGCCAGACGGATTCAAATGGGGAGGGGTTTAGCCCCAAGAGGAACAGTTTATTCCGCAAGAACTTGAAGGTGAATTTTGCGTTGCCATCTGAGGAGACTTCGTTCACGCCCGCAGTTGACACCATCGGGACCAACAAGACCACGTTCAGCAGCGAGGCATCAAAAGGAGTTTTTCGCAATCCGAATGATCAGATCTACGAGGAGCCAGATGAATCACAGTCCAATCCCACCAATGATCGGCCCGACTTTTCTAGATCCGACTCGTCTGCTTTGAGGAACAGACCACGGAATATTTTCCCGCGAGGCTCTCGACCACTTCCTAGTCGTTTCGGCAGTCTTTCTTTTGTGGACAAACTCGCCAAGTTCGACCTCCACAAAAACTCCCAGACCCAGTCGCGAAATCCAGAATACATGGTGAACGAGCCTATCACCCAACCTGACCCTGTGGCAAAGGTTGCAGAAGAGGAGACTGTTCAAACAGAAGGTGGGCTTGAGATTCGGGGTGATGATATTCGTGCAGCCACGAGCAAGAAACGCACAGATCGAAGTTCAAATCTCCCTATGCCGAGTGCTGTCAGTGACCGGACTGGTAGGCCTATCGTGAGCTTTGATCCCACCTGGAAGCCGACTGAGGCAGCATCACCCGGTCGTAATCGCGATAGTCTGATAGGCCGTGAATCTTCTTCCCCAACACCACCGCCGACAGCCCCTACGATTCAAGTATCTGATGCTCCCACGATTCAAGTATCGGAGGCACCCTCAATCCAAGTGTCTGAAGCACCTTCGATCCCGGTGATCAACCTTCCTGACAATAAGGAGCCAACAATCTCGGAGATAGAAGCCAGCTCAAGGCCTCTACCGGAGCCGACAAGGGACAGCAGTCGACGCCCGACCTCCCCCAGGAAACAGCCAGCGGCACCGCAGAATCGATGGTACTCTCCGTACACCCGCGCTGGTGTTCCAACCGCAAAATGTGAATCGTGCACCCTCCCCATTGCAGGAAAAATCGTTACAGCAGCTGGATCCCGATTCCATCCAGAATGCTTCGTGTGCTCCCATTGCCAAACTCCTCTGGAATGTATTGGGTTCTACCAAGAGCCTGAGACCAAGCGGAATGAAAGATTAGCGCAAACACCAGTTGAAGATGAAGAAGCGCGTGCCGTCCGATTCTACTGCCATCTGGACTTCCACGAACTGTTTAGCCCGAGATGTAAGAGCTGTAAAACCCCCATTGAAGGCGAAGTGGTTGTGGCTTGTGGATCCGAATGGCATGTCGGCCACTTCTTCTGCGCTGAATGTGGTGATGTAAGTATTCTCTCTATTATTGATTACGGTCCCAATCACTAACTGTCACAGCCATTCGATTCGCAAACACCATTTGTTGAAAAGGACGGTTTCGCTTGGTGCCTTCAATGCTACTCTCGCCGTACAGCTCCCAAATGCATGGGCTGCAAGAAGCCCGTGCAGGAGGATTTGGTTATCTCTGCCATTGGCGGGCAATGGCATGACGAGTGCTTCAACTGCCACGAGTGTGGCCATGGCTTCGGTCCCAACGGTCGGTTCTTCGTGCGGGAGGGCGAACCCAAGCGGACCGCCAAAGGCCGGATCATTGGAGGTCCGGTTCAGTTGGCCTTTTGCGAGGACTGCGAGTCCATCCGGCTTAAGTCGGCTTCACTCAGGTACTGATTGCAGCGGCTGGCTTCGGCTTGGACAATTATTGGCATTTTGAGGAGACATATTTTTTTTTTTTTTTGTATTTATCTATGTTCATGGTATATGAGGTATGGCTATATTGAATTTGGAGTATGGTCTTGTATTGTATTGTTTAGCATGAATCTGTATATCTATTTCTTTGATATCTATTTTTTTTTTTTTTTTTTTTTTTTTTTTTTTGCATTTACGGGTCAAATTGCATTGCATGTGATAGCAAGCGGGAGTCATCTTTGTCAAGTTCTTATCGATATAACATTGCATGTATTTTAGCAGCCAGCGTTAGACTCCGTCGTTTGGAGTTTGTTAGTTTAGACGAATGTTAGCAGAATGTTAGTAGTAGACTGTTGGCTCTTCTATAGTATTGGAATTCTTTCACTGCAAAGCCTCATTGTTTCCTTATTAGACCTTCCTCCCCATGCCAATTTCTCGTCCTTTCTATTCACTGAAGTCTTATTCTCTACACTACACCTCCTTGTCAATCCTTGCAGCCCTTTATTGGTACCATAGCATCTTTTTGGCCCAATACCGTTGAGTCCTGAGTTCCCTGTCTGGCTTATTGATGAGTATGCCATGTCTATCAGACACGTCTAGGGGTTTGAACGCCCTGCAATATCTTGCTCCTTGTTAGCCCCTGGGTAGCGAGAACCCTTATCCTTAACCTTCTTCTGCTTCTTTTCTGCGACTGGAGGCGGGTAAGCCTTTAACGTAATCTCCTGTCACTCAGGCCGCTTGGTAGGCCGCCTGAATAGGTGCCATCAGGCTAGTTATGCCGGGCACATCACGATATAGCTTTAGGCTAAATGACATATACGTACAATGTCGTTTGTGTAATCATCCTTCAGCTGCTTGATATCGGTATATATCAAGGGCTCGGTATCTTTGCGCTCTGCTTGAAATTCTTTCTGGTCTTCGAGGGCGGCTGCTGAGAGAAAGATAAATTCGACTAATGCAATAAGACTGTTCTTCGACAACTCGAGGAGCCGCCTCTGCTTTAAGGATTTTCTTGGAAATGGTCTCAGGAGGGTCGAAGAGGTCGATCTTGCTATCTAGCCCCAGCAATTTCAGTATTAATAGCTGCCCGTGGTAAAGGAATGACCTAGAGAACATACTTTGGTCGCTAGAGCTCATCTTGCCTCCACTGAGACCCGCAACCATCGGCGTGATCAGATTCGCGCGCTAGATCAGATAATTTAGTGGAGAGATCATTTAGGAGGGCAGGCTTTCTTACCGTGCGATATCCGAGTTTGGGAAACCACTCTGTTGCCGCCATGAAAAGCTTTCTCTGGTCCATGCCTATATCCATTTAGTATAATACAAAACAGAAATAAGTCTTTGCGCGCACTTGTACCTCCCAGTTCGGTATCGGCTCGAAGGTACTCTTCGTCGAGTACCTGAAGGATAGGGTAGAGGAGGCCACTCAATCGCGCATTCGATGACTGCTTCAAAATTTCTGCGCCTGCCTTCTTCGCGTCAAGTTCACTAACCAAGGACGAGAGGCGGTAGACATCCATGATGTAATTGGGGCTCTTCTGGTAAGAGCCTCCGAGCACAACCTCGAGCTTGTCAGTCGACACACCGACAGCCTCAAGAATTGCCGTGATGAATTTCTGGTAGTATTTCGCGCGGTTCTCGACAAGCTCGATAGGCGCTTTGAGGTTTTCCAAAAAGGCATGTGTCAGCCAAAAGCACGACCACTTCGCATCCTGAATCCAGTAGTTGAGCATGAGGTCGTCCTGTTGTGGCAGTTCCCATAATCTAGACGCATTTCCGAGCTATCGAAGTCAAATAGAATAGCTTGAGCAACCTCTGGGCGGCCGCCGCGAGCAACATATCTCGGTTAGCCGAAGTATACGAGTAGTACTAGTGTATAAGTGAACTGTTTTTCTGCAAGTTCCGTCCGGTTGCCCGATACGGGTGCCGCCGCTTTTATGAGGTCAGCACGTGAGTGCTCTGTGAGCGTTCTGGGCCACTCACTGATTGCTCACTGAGTACGCACCGGCCACTCCGGCCGCTCCTGGATACCTCTAGCAGGCTCAGTGAGTGATCTGGGGGCAGCTCCTCCTTTCCCCATGTTGTCTCACATGACTACTGCTAGGTCTCTAAAGTGTGTACAGGCTAAAGCTTCCTGGTCTATGACACAGCCCATCACTTTCATGAGGACATCACAAAGACAAAAGCTGAGTAACTTAATTTGGTCACTGCACACAATGGTTATTCAAAGCATGCTTTCTGGTTGAATTAGGAGGAAGTGGAGGAGGGAAGTAATTCCCATCATGGGTCTACTTTAGAAGCTTTTCACCCTGATTTTGAATATACATACAGCATACATGCCTTGATGCCACTCATTCTTACAGTCTTACTTCTCACTCTTAAAATCTCATCTTGCATGCATTGTCTACTACATCTCCCTTTGTGACTTCTATGCTTGTATTGCGATTGACCTCAATTGCAGCATTCAAAAATGGCCAAATGTTCTGACTCATGGAAGGCATCTCAGCTTGAAAAGAAAAGAAAAGCTTGCCATAAACATCATCAAGAGTGGAAATATGATGCAAATGCCCATTGACAGAGAGATGCTGAATGAACTAGGGGTAGAGCAACAATGAAGATCAAAGAGAGATATAGAGAAAGGATATGCAAGTATGAGGAGTATGTCTCTATGTCATTTGGACATAAGCCGCTCTACTCACATTCATCTATCAGGTTTCTCGTTGAGGAGAAGAACATGCCTGAAGGCTATAAGGTTGGAGAGGGACATCTGGCTCTGACACTCAAGGAACTCAAAGAGTTTATCTGCTGGCTCATTGAGTCTATGGAAGGCAGACTTGCTTCTAATGGACAACTGACCATACAATGTCACGGCTCGATAACTAGTAGATAATAACGAAATAGTATTCCTATCTAGACTAGGTAGTAGCCTCTCGACGAGAATATCGAATCTGGAGAGGGAAAGAAGAAGAAAGGAAGCCGTCTGGCAAGACAAAGGAAAACTATCTATCCATCGTGCGACCACGTGTGATGGAGCTATCGCTTGTCGTTTGCTCATATTGCCCTGTCGGCAGTGTTTGCCATTATCGGCAGTTGGTCGTTAGCTGTTGACCGTCACACATTTCAACAAAGATGCCACTGTATCAAGAGTAGAAGGCGGCTTTTTGTAGCATTATTAATTGGTCCTGAAGCTCCTGGGCGTCTGAAGAGCGAGTGGCGATCAGGCATGCAGTATATTGCATAGACTGTTCATACATGTATAGAGTTGACTTCCACTCATTCCTCATCACCTCTAATTCCTTTCCTCTCCCTTCACCAACCTCACCTTGTTCAAGGTCAATCAACCTGGCACATGTATCTTTATAGAGCTTCAGTGCACGGGCCCCAATGGGGGATAGTCTTCTATTTGAATTGCGCAACACCTGGTCTGTGTAAACCAGTCGGTCTTGAAGATTTTGTGATGTGTAATTGCGGTCTACAACCAGCAAAGGTGGAGCAGGACCAGAGGATTGATCACCGTTGCCCTGAGCGTCAGAGCGCTTTTGACCTCTTAGCGGCCGAGGAGATTATTTCAGGGACAAAGTCAACATGTTGCTCCTGATGCTCCTGACAGGCGAGGGTGGTTGGTTAGGAGGGGCTTTTGTAGCAAAATTGGGATTCCTTTGGGTGTACATACACTGTAATCCTTGCAGAACCTTTGCTCTCAATATAGTAGTCGTATTTCTGATAAAAAATAGAACAGATTCAGGGTAATGATGTGCGGAACCCGGCTCAGCTCAACGGCGTAGGGCGTAGCCAGAGCCCTTGCAAGGTGCAGTGAAAATTAGATCCTCTGCTGTCTCACAAACAACAGAGCCGAGCGATCTATCACCAGCAAGCTGAAAAAAAGTAAGAAACAACAAGACGAGGAAATTGGAGCACAGGAGAAAATCGGTAGGTGTCAATTTCTGGTGATGATTCATGGCTTCCTGATGCTAGATGGTCTACCTGAATCTATTGACAACGCTTTCGGAGAATCTTATACTGTTGCTTGTGGCAGCACCAAAATGTCTAACAGAAGACGGTCTATGATCACCACCAATACAACCGTCCTTGAGTCACCTTTTGACCATGCAGAGGAGACTGTCTATGTCTACTGCAACTACCCTAAGAGATCCTACGAGTGTGAAAATATCTTCCACAAAAACGCTGAAAACACGATTATCAAGTTACCGGATCATGTCGGGGAAGGTCCGTTTGCACGTGTTGTCTCTATTGAACGTGCCCCGGAAAGCTATCAGCTACCTCACCATCACATCCGGGCTCGTGCGCTCGAAAGCAATGATAACGAGGTATACGAACTCAAGTTCGGCTACAAATTCCACCTGATCAAGCACGACGATGGCCCAATCAGCACTTTCAACTTCTCTGCCACCGTGACTAGGTCTATTGGAAGAGACAAAGCCCAACATACAACTACAAGTATGGTGACTACCTCTACTATAATCTAGGATATTGTGGCTTTGCCGATATTCTCGGTGATACCTGGAACTGGCATTACCAGCCTGTCTATCTCTATAGCACCTGGGCATGGAATATATCTTGGAGTTGTTCCAGCCCTCTAGGTAGCAAGGAAGGCGGGAGATCAGAAACCAGTCACTATCCCGCTTCAAATGACTACAGCTGTGACGGCTACGGCCATCACCAACGGCCAGCGCTTGCAAACGATGCCAATGATCAATCTAGACAAACAGAGCCCTAGCCCTCCCATATGCGGCGTTGGCCTCCGCAATAAATCACCTGCCATCTGCGACCGCCCACGAGCAAGACAAACGAGATTCCACGGATGACCAAAGAGGATCCATTCAAGGTCTGGCAGTCATTTCAATGCCCTGCAGAGTCTTGATTACAGCATGATGATTATGATGACGATGATAGTGCCAATCAATAGTCTAGTCTGCTTGATAACGACTCTTTCTGATCCATTTATAGGGCAGCTCAATGTCTCGATGTTCCGGTGTGGATGTACAAGGAACGGCAAGATATTCTGGCCACTTTTGTGCAGCAGATCACAGTGTCTACAGAAGCTATACAGCCTCGCATCTTTCAGGTTCGTTCAAGGCGAGAATGATCTCGTCACAGATTTATTCCATTGCAGTGAGAGCACATGAAACACATTACTGCTTCAGGTTCCTGGTCACTACTTGCACTTAACTGGGTCATGCATCGACCGAAATGCTGCATGGCATGGTTGGACTCAAACCTGTGGTGATAGTGCAGTTGGTCAATAATATCATGCAAATGTTGTTAATTGATGATTCTTCATGAGTCTGTCCACTGGAATATACTGCAGAGATGATTGTATTTTACAGCAAGATGTTAAGTAACAAAATACAAAGATTATAGCCTCACTTTCTCACTTATGCAAAGGATATACATTCTTCACTCGCCGCAAAAACAAAAACATACAACAGCCGGGATTCGCTGGTGGTCACCCACCCAACTACTAACAAGATACATCACCAGAAAACTGTCCGCTCAATTTAGGTCCACTTGCCGATCAAATGCAGTCGAATCTGGCTTTACAGACAGAAATGCCAAGCTTGAGTGGCATCGGTGCTGTCTGACCCTCCTTTTTGTTCAACATTTAATACCACTTTTATCTTTATTTACCGTTCGCAAAGGCCAATTTAACGTACGCTTTATTTAAATACGATAAATTGCTATCCTACCCTCTTGCCTATCGGTTTGCTTGCTCGTAAATCTCCGTGCATTCTTGGATGTGTCGACTCGCTCAGAGTCAGTCAGGTCTGATACCGGCCGAACAATTCATTGAAAGTAGGTGACTGAACTTCACCAGAATCAACCTTCAGCGGGTACCTTTATCACACTGTGCATGCTGATTTTTCTCTGACGCCACCAAACTCTACACTTTTCCTAGATGGAAACCATCCAGCTACATTCTATATAAGTCGTGATTGACACCGCAACTAGCCGAACTGATCGACGTCAGTTCCACACACTCAGTATCCAGCAGCTGGTCGGAGTATTTAACCAAAGCCAAAGATCCAATTGGATCATACAGCACCGAGAGTGGCAATCCCATCGGATGCGTGGCTGTCCGCCCGCTGACGCCGAAACTGGGTGCGGCGCCGGCGCCTTCCCTGACGCGAAGAGCACATGTTGTGAGATGGAGCGGCTGTATGTCTCGCCGGAGGCGCGAAGTATGAGGTTGGGAAGAGCATTGATAGATGCGATTGTGCAACGAGCCCGGGAGCTGGGGTATCCAGTTGTATAGGCGGGTGGGCTTCGTCAAGATAGGTCCTTATTACCAGGCACCATTGGAAGGGACACTGTTTCTTGGGTTGGATCTCTCATTATTCTCTGCTTTTCATTGCAATGCTCACCAATGCTACACGGTCTGCGGCAAGAATTGCCAGCATGTAGGCTGTGCTAGTGAAAAATCGATTACAGTTTTTAGTTCTAAATTTTTACGAAAGGAAGGGATGTACCCACTGTTTCATCTGTTCTCCAAACATAAGGAATACACCTCGACCAACATATCGTAGATTGAATACATGATATACACATTTATAATGCAATCAAAACCGCTGCTCAATATCCCCCATCTGCTCCACGCACTGCCTCGCCTCATCCCGCGTACTCTCCTTGAGAGTCTTCACCGTCGTCACCCACTCAAACCGCTTCTTCCAGTACTCCCATCGCTCCCTGGACCAAATCTGCTGGCCCTTCCACTTCGAGTCTCTCACGTTTCCCAACTGCCCCTCCTACTGATAGATCCGCGAGCCGCAGTGGCGGATCCATATCGCGGCAGCAGGCATATACCCATCCAGACTCCCCATATCCCACTGCTGCCAATTCCTCTCGAGTGCCTTCTGCAGCACGCGGCCGCCGCGATAGATCGCCCAGCTGTCGGGGAGCCCAACCGCGGCCAACTTGGCGGTGTAGGCGTTCAGATTGAACCAGGTTTGGCGGTTTTGTTGCCGAGCACCGCCTCCGTCGTGGACTGATCATTAAAAGATATTAGGTCATAGAGGGAAGGAGGAGACGAGAGGAGTGGAGAAAGTCATACGGCCCCACGAAAACTCATCAATTTCCATAGCTAATCCATCTAAATTCTTATATTCTCCCCCTGGAGACCCCTCCAATGCCTCAGTGAAATCTACTAGCCGGTTGTTCATCTCAGTCAAGTTCTTGACCGCATCTATTAGCATGGCGTAGAGGATCTCTGTTATAGGGGGCTTTGGTTCCGGGGCGTAGGCGTGCTCCCGTGGAAGTGGGTTGACGGCTTCATGGGCGAGATCAATGGCTGGGATGGTGGGATCCGTCAGGAGCTTGGTGAAGGCAGAGAGAAGCGTGGGAGGGGCGCCGCTTTTGGTGGGGATGTCTTTTCCTTCGGCCCAGGCGTTGAGAAGGAGATGCAGGCATCTGTCATTTTGTTGATTGAGTTTTCAGTAGAGCGGTAGGGTATACTCTGAGTATGTATTGGACCTTTCTGCTTTTTTTATAGAACAGGTTGATTGATCGACTGGTATGACTCACCAATTTGGAATGATGTCAACCTAGAAAAAATTACCATTCAGCCACAACATACAAAAGAAAAAAAAAAAAAAAATGTCATGCTGCCTGATTGGATATAATTAGTTATTTCTTCCCTGCATCTGCTAGTTATTATGGAGACGCGCCAGGATTATGGTGCTGCAGAAGCCTAGAGGCGGTGGTGACCCGTGTTTTAATTCAGAGGAAGGCTGGTTATTTTTCTGAGGGAATACGAGAGGCGTCACAAATTGAGTCAGTCTTACAACTAAAGCTACTGCAAAAGACGTCGATGAAAACGAACATGACAAAGAGGGCAGTCTTGGGCCAGCCAACAGACTTGAAGTAATAGCGATAGACGTCCAGGTCGCTTGCTCTGCTTAGGTCGTTCAGCTCATTTCCTTCTGAGACTCTCTCCTAGTCCTCTGAGCCATGTGGCATGCTTGGACTCTGTATTGGAGGAAGGACATACGATCTATGAACAGGATCTGCAAATCACGGCTAGCCTATAACGGAATTGTTTATAGTTGAAGCGAGGCACTAGTCAAAAAGAAGTATCTCAGATGAGTGACATTTCAATTTCCAGTCTTAATTCCCAGCCTACATCCGGCTGTACTGCGTATAGCGTGCTGCTACCCCTGATAATGACAGTGAGAATTCCCCCAATTACTTGATCCAGCAAAAGGCTGTCAGGGGCGACAACGCTCATCGAGAGTACGGCACCCGTACTTACGGCTTCAATCATAAAGACTATTTTTCCGCGTCCTGGATATGCCAGGATCACGCCACCATCATCCCCAGGGAATGGCCGTGGACGCGACGGGATCGAATGGAGTCAGAAGTACACGAAACTTGATTTACGTGATCCAAGGCAAGACGGTATGATAGCGCAATTAATTCTAGTGACACCGAATACGCACCCATTCAATTTCCCCTTTGCCATGCGGACTATCCACCCTGCTTGACAGGTGTTTGTTGCGATTTGCTGATCCAGTAGGCCTCGAATTTCGGCATCGTGACAGGTAGGCAGAGCTGTTTCTTAGAATCTCGCAAGCGCGGTGAGGTTCTCATCTTTTCCGGGCCTTCTGCTGCCGACATGTACTGCATCACAGAATGTGGAAGAGCAGCAAGATTGTTTAAGCCATGTCAGTAAGCGATGCGACTGTGTCTCATGGCAAGGTGCCTCGAATGATAAGAGCACCACGGTGACCACAGAGGTGAAGAACACCGAAATTCGTACTGGTATCTCAATGGACCGATTGCAGTCTATGAGCCAGTTAAATAGGTCCCTTGCATTCACCTAATAAATGAATTCCTAGGGAGTGTGCTACAGAAGGAAATGACAACAAAAGAATCCGAAATGAAAAAAAAACAGAACTCTGGGCGGCAGCTAGTGGATCCCTTTCTATCTCTGCTAGTGCCAGTTACATGGGCATACAAGTCGCAGCCGAGACGAAAATAGAAGGAGGAATCAAGACCGAAAAGAATACCAGCAAAATTATTGAGTCTAGCGCAAAAGGGATCATACCACCTAAAACACCTTGCTTTGAAGTAATGGACGGCATGATGCTTAAGATGAAAAGAGTTTAACTACTCTTTTTATCTCAAATGAGAACGACACCGAAGAATTCAACCGATATGGCTCGTTGCCCCCCTTAGGGCCAACCAAGACGAAGCAAATGATGATACTGACCAAGAGATAGATTCCTCTTTTTCTTTTCTCTCCAGATTCGATATTCTCGTCGATGGCTACTAGTTAGTTTAAATATGAATACCATTCGTTTTATCTACTAGCTACCGAGCCCGTGACAGTTGTGACTATGTAATTGGGAAAATCTCCTGATTCTGCTGATTGGCCAGTCAAGGGGTTGAGAGCACATGACATCTTTGCCATAGCTAGTCGCCGGTCTGACTCCTCCTTCTGAGGAACTCAGTAACGCTCCCCTCGCTCCATCTTCTCAAATCGTCGTTCGCGACGCTCCATATCGGCTTGGTGGATAAGGTTGGGTTTAGGCCGTTGCAGGATCTGCTTTGGTGCTTCCAGATATTGCTTGCTCATGATATCATCCATGGGGCTTCATTGCTCGGGCCAGACCAGCCTCCAGTTCCGCACATCTAGCCACACATCATGGCGATCAAACCACTTCCTTCCAATGATCAAATCATGCTGGCCCAGGTCCGCGATCAGAAAGGGTTGATTCAAGAAACGTCGTCCGCCAATAAGCAAGTGGCACACTATGGCATGGGTAATTGCTGCCCCAGCTCGTCCATCATACCCTTTGGTACCTATTGATGTCTTCAGTCGGTGGGTGGGAATCTCAAAGAATTTCGCTAATTCTATCTCACGTTTGGTGTGTATGAAAAGATAACTGTTTGCTCCAGTGTCGGCCAAGGTAGTCAAGGGGAAGTATAGTTAAGGGAGGTGTATGGAAAGAAGAGCAACAGAAGCAAGGAATCGAACTTATTGAATTTATGAATTACCCGACAAACTGCAGAAAATAGAGGTGATGACTTGTGTCTATTTCGCTTAAATACCAGAATAGTTATACGCTCTCAATCAAGCCAGAGAATGCTAGTTACATATATATACAACTAAGCAAGACTAAGCAGGCCACTCCGGATCAACCTTGCGGCGAAATACAGCCACAAACTTATGACCCTTATTCCTCGTGACCTTCTTCCCTTCCTCCGTTGCTTCTTTCATAACCTGCACGCAAGGATCACGCCCTAATTCCTCCTCAGACACCCTCTCAAAAAGATCTGTAACATCACCAACAGTACCGGTCTCAGTCTCACCCGCAGCACCGCCATCCTCCTGCGCTACCGACTTCTCCTGCCGAAAATGCCTAAGAATCCAGTGATAATACTCCTCCACATCAGTGATAGTGTACATCAAACCACCAGGCCGCAGCACATATGCGTATTCAGCATTAAGAGTCTCAGATATGATACGGGCTTTGTGCTTGCGCATTTTGAAGTGCGGGTCCGGGAAACAGATGAAGATCTTCGATAGCTGGCTTCTGGCAAAGAAGTTGGGGAGGAATTTCATCGTGTTGCTGCGGATTGCGGAGATGTTCTCGTAGTTGCCGGGTATGACAGTGGTGGAGGTATCGTCAGATGTGGCCGAAGGGTCAAGGCCGGGTTGTTGTTCGGGGGAAGTGGGCTCTTGGGGTTGAGAGGTTGATGAGGCGGAGGAGTTCTTGAGTTGGCTCTGTTGGTACCGGAGGGCTCGGACGCGGGTTCGTACATAATCGAGGACTTGGGTACGGATTTCCATTCCTTGTGCTATGTTAGCCATAATCGTTTCTCCATGGTCCGTCAAGTAACTAACCAAGCAACAAAGTATCCGGCATCAACGGCGCAAGGCCAACGAGTAACCCGCCAAATCCACACCCGATATCGACAACCTCAACATCCTTCAATAGCTTGCGCGCACCGCTCAGGTTTATCTTGGACGAATCTGGATCCACGAACGCCGGGTAATGAGGTGACCAATCCATGTGCGCTGGGCTTAGAGGACTAGGTTTAGTTAGCAGCGCATCCTTTAACATTGATCAATAGACGTACTAATCCAATCGGTGATCCGAGAATGGGTTCGCATGCGCACGTTGCCGGTAGAATCTCTTCTTGGGCATCTTAATCTCTTCATTGTTGTTATCATTCTTTTCCTCACTCAATTGCGTCGCGGCCGCATCTTCCGCGACGCGCTTTTGGCGCTTCGAGGGGGGTGGTGTCATGGTGTAGCAATAACTCTGTCGGGACAGAAGGGGGAGAGCGATTATCGATACCCGGAAAGAAAACCTTGCTCTGTGGGGGATTAATGGCATGCAGTTTCGCAAAGGCGATGTAGTTGCAGTGGGTTACTTTTTGCGGAGAATTTTGTCAAGGCGGAGATATTTACTGCCGGTGGGACAGATCTATGCCAACCATCCACTCCTCACCATCCTCCTACGTCGGCTTCTTGGTTCATATGGCGGCTTCAGCTGAAGCATCCTGCACAGTGAATTGCCTGACACCTCATTACTCTTCTAGCACTAGGATAATATGTCCAAAATAGTAGGTGTACTCGATATGTAGCCCTAAATAGGTAACGGCACGTCACCGCCTCCAAGGCGGTGACCGATGCGATGATACTATTTTGCCTGATTAATTGGCTTCATCGACTTATCACCATACAAACGGTGTTTGGATTTTGTCTATGATACATCTCGAATGATTGTCGATCTGCTTTGTCTTTATTTTGGCCTGATAGTATTTAGTTTCAACCATAAATATTCTCTCAACCTGCTGTCGTTCCAATAAGATCTCGACTACCGACCCCTCCTCCGCATTCGATTTCGAATCAGTAGTGCGAGTTCTCGATTCCCTACTTCTGTGTACCATACTAAACAAACCTATCAGTTCCAAAGAGCTCGCTCAGTATGGTTACCCCATCTACAACCTCCTTCCAATTCCCCCCAACCTACTCCTTCCCACCCTTCTTCACCCCGCAACCAAACACCTCAACCCGCCTCTCGCAACTCCAAAAATGGTCATCACTAATCCAATCCTACTGCCGTCACCATCGCATTTACCGCCTCTCCCTCATAGAAGCCGTCGAGAGCCCACTATTCCATAACGCCGCGCTCCGGAAACGTCTGGGTCTTAGTGAGGCAGTGGCTGTGTTGGATTGGATGGCCAAGGCAGAGGAAGAAGGGGGTGGGGGGAAGAGAGCAGAGTGGATTGATGGGGGGAGTAAGACGGTTGCGTGGGTTTGGTGGAGGAGGCCGGAGGAGTGGGCGGGGATATTGGCCGATTGGGTTGAGGCAACTGGGCAGAAAAATACGGTGCTTACGGTATATGAGTTAATTGAGGGCGAAGGTACCGCTTCACAAGGTGTGTTCGCTCTATCTCCGCTGGTTCAAGCAGTTGCTAATTTTCCTAGAATGGCACGGAATGGAACAGGAGGTCATGTTTAGATCTCTCAATGTCCTGGTCAAGCGCGGCAAGGCTCAGGTCTTTGGCAGTGAAGGTCAGGAAGGTGTCAAGTTCTTCTAGAAGGAGAATCTTTTGAGGTGCGCATGTCGCGGAGATTTCATGATTTCATTAAACCAGGTTACAACAACAGCGGAAATATTTGTACAAGAAATGTCCATGGCGATATACTAAAACGTGGTATATACAAGGTTGGTTTCCACATCCAAATGGATCAACAATTGTTAACATCGTCACCAGAAAACTAGCTCTGCTCGACCGTTTCTTCGTCCAACTCGTAATTGTCTGCTGCATGCAGCTCCTGCGACATAGCCATATCGAGCAGCCAATCGACGCGCACAATCCGCGGTGTCTTGCCAATCTCTTCCACCATCTGGCGGAACCGCGGCCATAGCTTTTGGTGCTCAGGAGCAACGCTGCTGAGCAGATAAACTTCCTTCTCGCCTAACTCTTCATCGCTGTCCTGCTGCTGTACCTTGTGCGAAACACGCCCCCGGAACAGAAGGCAGTTGCCGCCGTTCGCATCGACGATGGACTTGAACGCATCAAAGCCTCCGCGGATGGTTTCAACACAGTAGATGTTGTAGCCTTGCAAAAGCTTGTTTTTGTTTTGCTTCGCTCTGATGGCTGCTTCCTTGAGCGAAAAGGAGAACCGCTCTTCGGCAGCTTTATCCACTAATTCGAAGTCTCTGGGGTCCAGGAGCTCGTTCTTCTTCAGACACTGAGTGATGAACTCAATGTTGACAATGGCGGGAGCGTAGGCTAGGGCATTGACGAATTTGGGCGTTCGAAGGATAGACGGGGCGGCGAGATGGCTGCATTTTCGTGCATCTTGAACGACCAAGATTCCAAGGTCTCGAAGTTGTCGCTGTCCATGGTTAGCAATTGTTGTGTCTATTCAATGCATTGTCGAGAGAACAAACCTTATCCGTATCCTCTTTCCTCAAGTTTCCTACCCACTTCTGATACCCAGTAATCAACAGGTGCATGGCAACAGGAGGCTTCGACTTCTTCTGTCTTTTGGCATCCGTAGTCTCCTCTGCATCGCTTTCCTCTTGAGGTTCAACTGATCTCCGCTTCTTGCGATTGTCCAGTTCTACTCTGTCTTCGTCCGTCTTCTTCCGACCACCGTAAATCACACCACCAACACGCTTCATCTCCTTCTCGTACAAGGCAAAATCAGGTGCGTATCCATGCAGCTTGGCGGTAGCGGCGTCCTTAGATTTCCGGCTGCTCGTCGAGGATGGCGTTTCGTTCTCCTTGCCCTCAGAGGCAAGTCGTGCGCTGGCGGGTGTCTGTAGCTTTTTATGGCTGTTCTCCAAGTTCTTCCGTGAGGTGGTGGTTGCTCGCGGGGTAGCGATCGCTGGCTCCGGGGAATCAATGTCCATCTTCGACGACTCTTCGGGAGCAGGGGCTGTTGTGGTATTCTGGTCCTTATTCTTCATAGCCCGTCGTGGACTCGATGGTGCCTGTTCCTGAGGAGATTCCGAAGATGGGAAGAAGAGATTCTCGGCAACTGATCGATCTACCCTTGTCTGACCAACTACCTCGCCCAGGTTGGTCCTTCTGGGGAAATGTGTATATCGGGGTTCCGAGGTCGATAGCAACTTCCATTTCGCATAGCTCTCCTCCAACCATAGGTGGTTAACTACATGTAATCCCCATTCCCTTGCTGCTGTGCATTTCTCACTGTGACCGTGGGCAGTGATGAGATGGGTATTTTCTTGCTTCAGTGTCCTTGTGCATTCCGCACCCGTCGCAACAATGAGGTTTTCCAAGTAGACTCTTGCTTCGCCGATGTAGTTGGACAAGCTGACCTTCAGTCCCTTGAACCCGGGAATTCCAGTACGAGCGATGGGGTAATGCAACAGTCGGCGCATTGGTGAGGTCCAGGTGTTGTACGTCATAAGGTGATAGAGCCAGGCCAAGTTTCCGACTTCCTTGTTCAATCTCGACGCGACCCGATATTCGACCCCCTCTCTGTAGCGACAGATGAACATGTCCGCTTCATAGACGTCCGATGTTATGAATCCCCCGCCTTCTGTGATGATCTCCTCAATTGTCTCGCGAAGATGCGAGCCAATACCGAGGTCTTTCGAGAACATGACGTTTTTACCACCAAACACGTCGAGATGCGGTCGTGTCTCTGGGGATGCGACAGGGGTAGGCAAGGTTGAAGGGGCAGGTGTTGATGCACCGATGATATCTCTGTTTTCTGACGAGCGAATTGGCGCATTGGGGGCAGCACGTAGGATTTCCGGGTCGGGGAGAGTGTACGGACGCTCGTCGATGCGTCTTCCGAGCTTCAAGCAGTCATCGAACCTGCGATGCGATTAATTCAGAACCATTATGCAACCATTGCAAACGCAATACTTACCAATGCGGCAACACAACTTTCACATTCGGTCTCTTGCCCAAGACCACCCGAGCCTTATCAGAGTCCGCTGTCAAGTCCACCAAATGCGTAACCGCATTCGTCACCTTGGGACTGTAGATGCCACCCTTTGCCAGAACCCCACCGATAATGGCATCCTTATCACCCTCCGGAATATCACCACAGGTGACAACCACATCGTTCAAGAAGAGGCGCGGGTCGGGGCTGTATTGGCGGGGATTGGCCACCTTCTTCTTTTCCAAAGACGCGCGCAGCCATTGAGGCTTCACCACGGGTTTCAGGGCATCGACGGCAGCATCGAAAGCGGCGAAGTCGATAGTAAAGCTGATAAGGTGGGAGAATTCCTCCAGGGGTGGGAATGAAGATGGAGGTTCCCAGATGACCGATTCTCCGCCGTATTCTTCGAGCGTGGAAGCGAGCTGCAACCCATGGAATGATTAGATATTCGTAGTAATGCACAAGAATGGTAATCCGATAAGTGCACGTACCTGCTGCGCCGTATCCTGAGAAAGGTCCTTTGAACAGATGATGCAGACTTTACAGTTGCTGAAAAGCTGCTCCCCCTCTTCGTCCGCCATGGCTGGGTAATATTCTTTCTCTCTGTCGATCTCTAGATTCAAAATGAAGAAGTATAATATGGGGATTAGATAGATTAGATAGAACGCCGCACTGAGAATAGAAAAGTCTGACTGTATGTTCCAGAACAAACTGGATGATCTCGAAATGCGACGCGACGCGAAAGAGCGACGCCTGGTCACGTGCGACAGCACGCTTTACTCGGATTGGACATGACGAAGCAATGGCAAACAATTAGTATGTAGTATTTGTGTTAATAGCAAGGAATCAATATCATTCATGGATTTATATTTTGCAGCTTTTTTCCCTTTCTTCTTTTAGTCTTGTAGTGTCTTGTAGCATGTCTAAATCGCTGCTGCAGTGTTATGGTGATCACCAACCACGAGGTGCCGCAACTCTATCTAATCCTTAAACAAACAACGATACAATGATGATATTCATACGAATAGGCGGTTCGCAGTTCATAGAAGCTGATTTCCAGCTATAAAATCGACCGTTTACCATCCGCGGTTGTTTCTCCGTGCCTCGGCTCGTCGGAAGCCAGAGATCAGCGACAGCCCGTGGGGAAGTGCCCCGTACTACGGAGTAATAATGTTCTCAACAACTGATACCATGCGCAGCTCCTGGAATACAAGTACATAATTCCCAGTATATCCCTCTGCATTTCACGCAAGGCCTTATTGATTTCACATTTCCGGGACCATGGCTACATCCGGCCCCTTTCGCATCGTCGAACATGTCGTCCCCGGCGAGCATATCCGAGAGTACCCTGCAGCCACGGCGAACGAACAGGAAGAGACGCTGTATTTGGCCGTGAAACAATATATTCCTCTGGATAATCCGAATCCGCAACCGGGAGACGTCACTATTATCGGAACGCATGCGAATGGGTTTCCCAAGGTAAGATATTCTTATCCCGGAGGGTTGAGGCTCGTATTGACAAGCTAACACAAGACTTTTTTTTGTCAATAGGAACTATACGAGCCTCTTTGGGAAGAGATATACAAACTCTCGAAAGTAAATGGGTTTCGCATCCGAAGTGTCTGGATGGCCGATGTCGCGCATCAAGGCCGGAGCAGCGTTGTCAACGAGGATCGCCTGGGGAATGACCGTATGTTTGTCGCATTGGGATGACAATGAGTCCATACATCTGACAATGAACAGCTAGCTGGTTCGACCACCCGCGGGATCTACTTAATTTCATCAACCTGAAGCGCGATGAGATGCCCCGTCCTCTCATTGGAATCGGGCATAGCATGGGCGGAGCGCATCTGTTAGTTCCCCTCCATTCACGAAGCGTTTCTACATGACATCAACTAACTCTTGAACTTCCTCCTGCAGCGCGCAACTTTCCCTAATCCACCCCCGTCTCTTCCACACCCTCATCCTCCTAGACCCCGTCATCCAACGCCAATCCAGCACACTGGAACCCCCAAGCTCCCAGCCTACCAAGCCTGCAAGTCTAATCGCCAAAACAACCCAACTCTCCACCTACCGCCGAGACATCTGGCCTTCGCGTAAAGCCGCCGCAGAATCATACAAGAAGAGCCCGTTCTATCAAGCCTGGGATCCTCGCGTCCTAGATCGTTGGATGAAATACGGTCTCCGTGATTTACCGACAGCCATCCACCCACTCGGTGAGTCGCAGCTGAAAGGGAAAGACGCCAAAGACAAATACGAGAACCACCCAGTTACATTGACCAGCACCCTCCATCAAGAAGTCTTTACCTTTTCGCGGCCAAACTACGATAGGCCACCCGGAACGAATATCCCCGTAAACAAAGTGACGCATCCCGATCTAGATCCGAAGTCGTTAGATGCATACCCGTTCTACCGACCAGAATCGACACGGATCTTTGCGCAGCTCCCGCATCTCAGACCGAGTGTTCTATATATTTTCGGCTCTCAGTCGGATATCTCTCTCCCGGAGGTCAATGCGGAGAAAATGGCTACGACGGGGACTGGTGTCGGTGGAAGTGGTGGTGTCCAGGCTGGACGAGTACGCGACGTCACCCTCGACAAAATTGGGCACCTTGTTGCGCAGGAAGCGCCCATTCAATGCGCCGAAGCTGGCAGTACCTGGTTAGGTCAAGAGTTGCAGCGGTGGCGGGATGAAGATCAGGCTTTTAGGGTTGAGTGGAGTAAGAAGTCCAAGATTCAAAAGGTTACCGTTGATGCGAGATGGAAGGAACACGTTCCTCCTCCTGTGAGGAAACCCAAGAAGACGCCATCCAAGCTGTGATCATTCTGTCCGTCATACACATTATACGAGAGTATAGAGATGTTGCATCATACATTAGGACTTGTTTTGTCGGTATTATGTATATATAGACCAGGTCTATAAGTTAATAGATTGGCGATTCAAACGCCAATGTTCCGGCAAAGTCCAATGGACACACTTAGTGAGACATCAAAGACTTCTCCTGGAGCTCCTGGCCCCAGCAACGTTAGAGGGAATCATTTTAAATATAAAACACCAGACAAGATAACTCCCAAGAAAAGAGCCTCAGTTCGACTTCTTCACCGATCCGTTTTCGTGCTGGCTATCGTTGATACGGATCACTTCGGGAATGTTCCAAGTATGAGGCCACCATAAGTAGTATTCCTCCTGACGACGGTTTAAGCAATGACGCAACCAAATTCCCCAAATGATATATAAGTACGCGCCAAGACCGGTCATGATGTGCCTGTTGACTTATCAGCTTGCAGTCGAGGTTTAGATAAGAAAGCAACATACCACCAGCCGTGACCCTCGAGGAAAATACCCCAAGGAAGCCCTACGGTCTTCCGCAATTGCCTAATCTGACTGCAGAAGATGTTGTCCAGATTCCAGATAGCAAACCCACCAAGGAACATGCTCAATCCGTAGCCAACCATATACCACATGGTCTTGAGAATCTTCATATCGCGAACGTTCTCGTAGTGTTGGTTCTCCCTGGTCGGAACCAGCAGGCCCTGTTTCTCGCGTGCAAGGCGATCCTCCTCGCGCGTACCCCGCCATTTTGGACGAAGGGTCTTCTCCATGGTATACATACTCCGAATAATCACAACCGCGGTCAAAATTGCGTACGCATTTTGGTGGAACACGGGATCTTGTAGGTAATGATAGTAGAGGGTGATGAAAACGGCGAGTGAGGTCAGGGAAATCGCCAGAGCAAAACGGATGCCTGTTGGCCTCGAGTAGGAAAAGGACGCATAGGCCATCAAACATGTGGTGTAGATCATGGAGAGCTCATCGACAAGCTGCATGGGATCTAAATGTCACAAAACGCGGTCAGCATGGACGGTTCCCCGCGCACCAGTATCACACGCTCCGAAGGATCCGGGACACTTGCATTTAAGGGTCGAATGGAACAGGAAGCTCCCGGTGCCAACGACAAGATAACCACAGTAGGCGATGAGGAAAATCTGGTCATGCTTATGCCTGCGACAGCTCAAAATTCCCTTGACCCCGAGCCACATAAACAACAAGTTGGTCAGTGTATTGATGATCTCGGCGGCGTAGATGGTCGCATAGTAGTCCTATCATAGCGCTCGATCATTAGCTCACTAAGTATACAGAGAGCAGAGACATAGGTTCCGTACCTCTTCACACCAGTTCAGGGTCGATGTAACAGGGCTCCAGTACCCATCCTTGGAAGGCGGGTACGGATAGAACGGCAGGGAGGGCCACTGCATTATGGAGGGATGGACGCTGTCTCTCTCAGTCTCTCCGGAAGGGATTGTCTATTTCTGTTGAAATAGCAGGGCGGAGAGATGAGAGGAAGATACCCGGGGAAGACAAAGGGTAGGCAGAAGGAAATGAGAGGGAGAGAAAGAGCGAGAGTCGAATCGCCGACTTTCCGTTTCTGGGTTGGTAACTCGCAGCAGAACATGTGACGTCGTCCAGTGACACTGGCGGATTTGCCGGGCACTGATTGGTCAGCTCGGGACTGCGCGGATTGCCGGTGGTTGGTGTTTAGGAATGTATGCTGACAGGCACAGTTTTATGAGGGGAATTGTACAGAGAACTATGCAGAGTAGAGTCAGATAAAGCATTGAGTGTCTCAGACTGAACTATCTACAATTACAGACAGTGGTGTGGCAGAGGACGGAGTACTACTCCGTACTCCGCATACATAGCTGCACATACTCCGTACAATACTATTAAGACCCGCTAACCAGAGACAGCAATTGATAATCCTCTTGATCAACCTGGACATTATTATGTATTGTGATTATAATCGAGCATTATTTGTGCATAAACACTAGTACGCCCTGTATAGATCTTCCGACCAATCACAGGCCGCCTGCCCGATGACCTCAACTTCTCTGGTGACATCCACCGCAGTTTCAACATTTCAGGAACTGCAAACATTACAATTGGAATGTGCTCTCTGCTCTATACATGACCAGTCGGTCCTCTTGACATTGATTAATTGATTTCTTATGATCCTTGTTGCTCTGTGATGGAACACCATTGAACCCCTCACACTTCCACTCATCCCACCACCTCCATCCAAGCCTCGCAGGTTAACAGGACCAACCTGCGGAGCTTCCGAAGAAATGTCAAACAATGCTGCATATGCTGTGTCGCCTCAGGTGAAGAAACCCTCTACATGTACGTCGCCTACCCCTCTCCATTCTGCAGTGCATATCTAACCCCTCCGTCTCCGGATAGCATCAAAATCCACCTTCCACTTCGCCGCCGGCCTCTGTTCCGGCCTCACATCCTCCATCCTTCTCCAACCAGCTGACCTTCTCAAAACCCGTGTCCAACAATCCCATCAAACTGCCGCCCTACTCCCAACCCTCAAAGCCATCCTTTCCTCCTCCAATCCGATCCGCGGGTTATGGCGTGGTACCCTCCCCTCCGCACTCCGCACGGGCTTCGGGTCAGCCTTGTATTTCACGAGTCTTAATGCCCTGCGACAAGGGCTAGCGCAGAATGGCTCTTCGATGCTCATCGCCAACAATAATGGCGTTAATACTTCAGCTCTTCCGAAACTCTCCAACTCGGGAAACCTAGCCACAGGAGCCGCGGCTCGGGTAGCCGCAGGGTTCGTCATGATGCCGGTCACTGTGATCAAGGTGCGCTACGAGTCGGATTACTACGCATATCGCACTTTATACGGGGCGGGGCGGGATATCGTCCGCACAGAGGGGATGCGGGGTCTATTCTCAGGGTTCGGGGCAACCGCCGCGCGTGATGCACCGTATGCTGGACTCTACGTCCTGCTTTATGAGCAGTTGAAGCGCCGTTTCGCCCTATTATCTGCTCCTAATGGGGATGCACCCACGACATCCTCGTCGTCGATTAACTTCGTCTCGGGTGGGTTAGCCGCTGGTTTGGCTACGACCATTACCAACCCGTTTGATGCCGTTAAGACCCGGCTGCAGCTTATGCCGGGGAAATACGGGAATATGCTCCGTGCGGTTAGCTTGATGATTCATGAAGACGGTGTGCGCAGTCTGTTGGGTGGTCTTGGGCTGCGGATCGGGAGGAAAGCATTAAGTTCGGCCCTCGCTTGGACCGTGTATGAGGAACTCATCCTCCGCGCTGAGAACCACTGGGCTGCTCAAAATCAGATCCATCTGTGATGGTCTACGTTGGTTATATACGCTTGGGTTTTGATTATCTCCAGCCCGTTTTGGGCTGATGACACTTTCTTTTGCATGGGTTATACGGAGTAACGGACTGTTTGGGTTTTATCTTGGTCATTGGCAATGTGCATGATATGCAAGAACAAAAGCGTAACATTTCATCTCAATCATGCTGTATCATATCATCATATACTTGCTCTCATCAAAAAATCCCAACTCAACGAAGAAAACGGATATCAGAAAAGAAATCCAAACAAAAGAAATCAACGTATATAGTCATCAAAAAGTGCAAACTGCAAATTTATATACCTCCACAATCATGTGAAGATCCACGAACGACGGCCAGGGCTCTTCTTCCGCACAAGGTACATCTTGTCCTTATGCCGGTCGTTGACCTTCAGCTCCGTCAGCGAGCTGGAATTCTGCGCGACTAGTCTACCGTCGCGCAGACGTCTGGTGTGCGCAAAGAGCTCATCCTGGAAGTCCTCGGAGATCCATTGCTTGATGATGATGTAGTTGGGGTCGATCTGCGATTGTTAGTATGAAATTGTGCAGAGCGTTTGGGTGGAGAAGGGCTTACCTCGTCCCAGTCCCATGGCAGACGATAGGCCATCAGCGTGTCCGGGATGAGATGCTTGCGGTGGACCTAGTATGAGGTTAGCGCGTGGTAATGGCATTGAGGGAAGGGAATGCCTCGTACCTTGATCCATGTTGCGCGGTGGTGAGGTTCCTCCTTCTCCTCTTTCTTTTCTTCCTCGGCCGGCAGAGCAGGAGGAGGCGGAGGCTGCTCTGGCGTCTTGCTCTTGACAATGAGGTCTTGGATTGCTCCTTCATCGTAGCCAAATTCCATCCTCAGCCTCTCTTTGAACTCATGGTCCCTGAGTTCCTGGGCCCTGCGCTCAGCCGTGATCCGCCGTTCTTCTTCAGCCTTCCATTCCGCGACAGCAGCCTCCTTCATCGCGGCCTCCTGCGCCGCACGTTCCTGCTCCTGGAGGAGCTTCCTGGCCTCCTCCTCGCGAATCTCCTGCTTGATGCGCTCCTTTTCTTCATCTTCTTCGATCTTGCGTTTGAGCTCCTGGAGCTTCTCCTCTTGGATCTTGGCCTGCATGCGTTCGCGCTCTTTCTCCTCTGCGATCCGGAGCTGGAGTTCTTTCATCTTTTCTTCGTGGATCTTGGCTTGGACTTCCTCCTGCTCCGCCGCTTCGCGCTCCGCTTCTTCAAAGCGCTTCATCTTAAGGTTGTACTCAGCCCGGGAGCGCTCTTCTTCCATTCGCTCCTTCTTCTCGAATCGGTCGAGTCGCTTCATCCGCTCACTAATCTCGTCTTCGTACCACAAGTCTTCCTCGCGGACGAGACGGTGCTCGTGACGATGATCCAAGCGTTCATCATTGTGGGCTTCGTGCTCCTCACGACGACGCGCGAGCTCCCGTTCCAACCGTTCAATCTCCGCTTGCTGCTTCATGAGCTCCATGTCCTGTCGAGCATCGTTCCGCTGTAGCAGCCGTTGGTCGACAAGCATGTCGTAGTCCCGCTGTGGGTGTTCGGGCTCCCGACCCCACGGCGAATAGTCTCGTGGGGTTGGGGCGTGAGTCTGAGGCGGAACCTGAGGCGGGGCCGGGGTTGGGGCCGCGACAGGGACAGGGACAGGGGCGGCGGGCGCGGTGGGCGGGTGCGAGACATGAGCGTACTGGTACTCCCATGGATACGGGTGCCCCCGATAATACTCATGAGGATGCTCTCGCTCCCGCGAGACACCAGGGCTGGGTCTCCTCGGGGTAGCTTTCGCCCGTCGGTGATTCCGCAGCATGGACTCATCCTCAGACTCCTCTGAGTCGCTTGTCTCGAGCTGCAGCTGCGAACGCCGGGCCTTGTTGGAACTGCGGTCGCGGGTGTTGTTGATATCCACCACGATTTGCGGGGGCTGGTCCCGCTCTCGCGCCCATTCCCGGTGATTGTCGCGGTGGTCACGGTTGGCTAGGTTGGGTCGACGGCCGCCCGTCGAGGCGGACCTCTGTAGACCACCAAGGTCCTGGACGACCGGGCTCAAATGGGCGTTGCTATAGTCGGGCTGGCGCTGACGGGACACAGAGCGTCTTCTGAATGACATACGTCGACGCGGGGAACGGGCTTCAATGGAGATATCTGTGTCGGAGTAGTCTGTCTCGCTTTCGGAGACGATGGGGATAGTAGGATAGCGAGGCATTTTGATATCTTCTAATACTGCCTTCGAACTGGGTATATTTTGAACTGAAAAGAAAAAGGTAGAGATAAGTGATGACCTTGATAGACTCGGTGGCGGGTTATCGGTCAGGCGGGGGTGACTTGAGTCAGGTATACAGTGCACAAGGACAAACAAGCGTTAAAACAGGGGCAAAGATGGGATGAAAGAAAACGCAGTCAAGGGATATATAGCACAAAAAGAAAAGACCACAAACACGCTGGAAAACAGGTGACCAGCACGACTCGACTTGAAGGAAGTCGTGACGATGATGAAACACAGAAAGGTGAGGGAAGAGAGAGAAAAAGAAACCGGAGGGGAGGCTGGAGGGTTTTAAACCCGGGTTCTTTTATTTTATTCTTATTTTAAATCTCTTTTGTATTTTTTTCTATGGCCAGTCAAAGCCAAAGGAACAACAGGAAAAATGGACCGGTACAGAGTAACCAGTCAGCCTTGCGATCAGCGACTGGCAGAAAGCTGTGGCTGTACTGCTGGCTGCCTATACAGAGTGCAGTAGTACTGCTGGCGGTTATCTTTAGGTGCCTGGTCATTCCACGATGACTCTTCTCTGTACAGTCATTGCTCAATTCCATCCTATCAAACTAGACGGCATTGATCCTTTCCGTCCGGAAGTGTGGCTTTACTGTGTAGCCGCCGAGGGACGATGATGTGGTGGCCCGTGATTTGCGGGGCATCGATACTACCGGGAATGCTTCTTTTTTGTACGGCGCATAGAGAAAATATACTTCTATGTTGTTCCTGTGGTGTTGATGTTGTTGTATAGATATGCTATTCAAACCCAAGGAAACATTCGCTTCCATCCATGGATCGATGCGGACCAACTGACCACACAAAGTGACTTGGATCTCATCTGCCACAGCCACATGACGCCGCCTACAAATCATGTTTGCACCGGATCGCCAAATGTGATGTAGTGAGAAATCCTGCATTGTCATTCGTGATTATAATTATCTTTGTTTGGCTAATTCCACTCCAATAGACATTGGCCGTCTTCCTGGTCGACAATAATATCCAGCCAAAAATATACGTCGTACATGTTCTTGCATATGCGCCGGCCATGTGCATAAAGCGAATCGCGGGTATCTGAGCGGCTGTCTAACGGCCTCGGTTTCCCTGGTCTTTTCCAGAGAACGCACATAACATGGCAAAACCAACGACATGCGTGGCCGTCAGTAGGCTCTTACGTTGCCTCAATGTCCGTCTCCCCTTCCTATATGTTCACCCCTTTCCCCTATCCATTAAATACTCGTAATGCATATATTGTAAGTCAAGTATCCCTTAGCCAGCCCGAACGGTCGGACTTGTCTCCGCAACACTATCCGGTCATCTACTTGCGCGGTTTCAAAATTGCCTCCAGGTTCTCGCGGGCCTTCGTATGTGTCGTCTCAAAGTAGTCCAGTTTCTTTTCCAAGCCAGAAATGTCGGTCTTCAACGTGGTATTCTCGGACGACATGCGCTTGTCGACAGCTTGCATCGGGACACCAACGAACCTGTTCGTAGACATCTGTCAAACACGCCACCTCCATTACCCTTATCCAACAAGAATAGAAGACCTACATCTTGCCCACACCCTCATACACCTTGGTCTCCTTCGGCAGCGTGCTAAGTTCCTTCGATGTCAACTCGAGGAGACGGGCGTTCTTCTGCTTGGCTGTGATTTGCGCCTTGGTGATGTTCAGTTGCTGCTGCGAGGTGATGGCCTGGGTCTCGATTTCTTGCAGTAGCTATAAACAGTAAATATCAGCTTCAATCCTCCACCAATATGAGCATCAAGGTTTACCTTCTGCAGAGCTTCGTTGGGAATCGACATCGTTGGGTTAACGTGTCGAGCGGGGAGAACGGAACGGGCGATTGAAGCGCGACTGTGAAAGGTACAAAAGTCCAAGAAGATCCGGTGCCAGAAGACTATTGATCAGATCTTTCGGTGACTATCTGGACAAAAATGATTAAACAAAAAGGCTCGTTTTTTTTTTTCTTTTTTTCTTCCCAAGTGTTCTTTGATCCCAGATAGGAGATGACCGCATTCTGCGGGATGTCCGGGCGGTGAAGGGGTTCTTTCTACATTGGGATTATATGTAGGGCTTAGGGTACTCATCTACCTACTCCCCATTCAAATCGACAACACATTATCACTCAAACTTATATATAGGTATGTCACTCATTAATACAACATCGCCATCCGCATTAGGTGATAAACAGCCACAGTAGTCGGCTCGTACTTGGCCGGCTCCTTTTCACTCATGCAAGACGGAATGCACCCTATGAGAGCATCCGTATCACCACATACAAAGGAATCGAGAAGCGCTCGTGAGTCATTCCATTCTCACCATCAAACCGATCGGAGAGAGGCAGCAGCGTCACACGATGGTTGGTTGATTTGAGTTTGTCTGTGGTCAGGTCAGCCCTGGCAGTTCCCGGTACAAACCAGACAAAACATGATACGTACTGTTACTCCACATCTGCAAGACGTCTCTTGCATTCACAACGACTGCATTCTTGATAGGTGCGGCGGGAATGAATGTGCCTGGTTTGGGAACGTCTTCTAGCTCAAGCCCACCGCAATCATCTTGAAAGAGCAGGGTAAGCGTGCTCCAGTCGGTATGGGCCATGCAGCGAGAGGCACGTTCTTTCTCTAGATCCTCAGCGGGGACTGGCAGGTAATGCAGCAACCGTTGATGATGGTTCTCGCCTGAGTGCTTCTTGGCTAGATAGGCTTTGTCTTCCAGGTCGAGTCCAACGGCAATTGCACGCAGGACTTCATCTGCGACTTGGCCGCACTCCCAGTAGAACTGGTTCATGAAGTCCCGAAAGCCTGGAAGCGTGTCCTCGGGAAGCCATTGGTTTGGTTGGTGGAAATTTCTTTCGCTGCCCATGTCGTATATTTCCTTACATGGGTCCGTGCAAGGATAGTTTATCAATCGGACCAATTAATGCTCACCTTGACATCAGGGACCTGCTTCATCTCCTTCAACAACTCGTCATTATTTCCCGCACTAACATGCGAGATTTTCTCCAGTCCTGGCCATGAATATCCCCGGTACACTGCCCATCCTTCGGGATGAGGTGCCTTCATTTTGTCTTCCTCGAACAGGGAGAAGAAGCATTTGGTCCAGTCAAACGTTTCATCGAGTACAATTCCCGGCAGAGAATGGTTAACGAGATACACAAAGCCCACATTTTTGAACGTGTCGACGATCTCTTGAGCTACCTGCGGATGGCCAGTTCTGTCTTGAGGGTCTTTCCAGGGCGAGAAGTCGACGACGGGGATGTTCATCGCGGAGGTGATTTTGGAAGGCATACTGGATCATGGCTTTACCACAGGTGATTGCCGTATGATAGTCTCCTGTCAGGTGCTCCATTTGGGATATAAATGTCTACAGGAGGACAAGTGAGGGGTCTATATCTGGCATGCTTCATTGGGGTTATCCGATGTCCATCAACGAGGCCAAAGAGACAAAGAGACGACTCCAAATCGCTTGATACTCAACTATACACACACACTAAAACTGATCGCTAAACCATATCCATCTAGAAGATGTAGATAGCTACCTAGAGGAGCAATCGCGACAATACTCCGTGTGTCATGTCAAGCGTTGTCTGAACGTGCCATCGACTAAGCTTTCTTTAAGGGTGTGTTTCTTTGTACTCTCGGGACGAACTATTGATCTCGCCAAGACATGTACCGCACCTTCTTAGCATTTCCGCGTCAATGCGCATGACTTCTTTCCCACGGTGTGTTTCTGTCTTGTCTTTGGGTGCTAGATGATGCTTTGTTTATGCGGGCATAGTAGGAATAAATCGGCTGCAGAGGTAAACTTATATCAATGTACTCCATACGCTACGGATTATATCTCTAAATTTGACAGAAGTAAGTGAAGAATTTCATACATATTCAAATTCCATCTAATCTCAAGATATCGTCGACATACCATGTACGATCTGGGCGTACATCAATTGGACCCTGAAGCCCCACAATCCAGTGGAATCTCCGATGTTCTTACCGTGGATCTCTAATCCATACTCCATACCATACTGATATACATCACTCCTCTACTTCTACTCATACGATTCACATAATGCCCAATTTCATATTAATTAGCAGTAAGCATTGTCGGTGAAACTCGCAGTTGGGCATCGCCGACGATGCTCCGTTGCTGTGGCAGGGGATTTCCGCAGTGGAGCCGTCTGAATCAAAACCACTGTAAAAAGAAGATGGCTGGGCACCATGTCAGCAGCCTCGATTCCGGTGAAGGATTGACCTGGAAAGAAGAAATTTGTCTTTTGGTTATTCCTGGCATTTGATTTCATCATCACTTTTTGTTATACCGCTGAAACCTGCTTGAATGCGAGTTATTGATCGTCGATAATCTACTGCTACACTCTAATCGCATGCGATAGCAGTCCATTAAACAAGACAAGATCCCAAGCTCTTCATACGAACATAACGACAAAATGAAGACCTCGTGGCTTCTTCCAGCCCTCTCCCTCATCTCAACCGCCCTCTCAGCCGAATCAATCCCCTTCCACGAACCCGTCGCTGCTTCAGAACAAAAACGAGCCTTTGAAGTCCTCCAAGTCCTCAACAAGCGAGTCGCTAACAACTGTCCTGGAGGCTACAACCCCTGCTCGAACCTCAACAACCTCAACGTCTGCTGCCGTACCGACGCCCACTGCGCCCGCGATGGAGCCAACAACATCGCCTGTTGTCCGAACGGAGCCAGCTGCACAGGCAGCCTCGCTGCAGCGACAGGAACGACAAGCAGCTTCATGTTCCCACAGACTGCGACCGCGACGGCAACGGGCGATGCGACTTCAACGACGAATGGGATTTCGATTACGGGGTCGACTATGAACGGTGCTTATCCGTTTGTCCATGTGCCGACGACTTTTGCGGATGCAGCCACCTGTTCGGCCTATTATTCGAGATGTCAGAGTGACTACACCCAGTGTACTTCGAGTTTGGGGAATAACGGACAATATGCGGTTACTGTGGCTGGAAATAACGGGGCCGGGGTTACGGTTCAGGGAGGAGAAGCAACGCCGGTGGTGTCTGCTTGCTCGAATCTGAGGTTGCAGGCGTGCCATGGGTTGAACTTGGGCTACTGTGATGATGCTTACGGCTCGGGAGGTGGTAATGAGAATGCGGCGGCGTCATTCCGGGGGCCGACGAGTCTAACGGACCTTACGTTCGGGATGGTTGTCGGTGTTGCTGGGATGTTTATCTGATGGTAATAATGGCCATGGCTATGATTATGATGACTACGATAATGCTATATTCAAAACATGTGCTATGAGATTTACTAGACTGAGCAGCTCTTGTTTACCCTTTACTGTCCATAATACAGAATTATCATGAAAATAACAACCATGCGAGACTCACCGCTGAATGGCTTTCAGCTGGAACTAGCTTACCCCTACAGGCACCATACCCCATACATCTTCGCTGGCAGGGCAATCACAAAATACTCCGTACACCGTTCTCTTGACAATTGTGAAATGACCGCCTGACACGTAGATTTAGACATGCAGAAACCACCGCCGTCCGGGCAAATCGCATAAAATCCGGCCTCCGGCAAACTGAGTCGATCCCTTTTTCCAAAGTGATGCTGTCAGGGACTGACTACCTAATGTCAAAATTATGTATGCCGTATGTACTCCGGTGCTCCGGTGGATACAGGTACAGGTACAGGTACGTACGGTGTAGGAAATTTTTAACCGGAACGCACGGGCAAAAATAGGGTAGACAGGGACTGGACTTTGTATATCACCGTAAACACCCACTATCATTGGACGTAGTTACCAACCACCCGATTATTTGTCGAGGATAAACTCAGATAGACTCCATTTCTATATAAAAAAAAAAAAAAAAAGGAACCAATTGGTTCAATCACTGTCACAAAAAATAGGGTGGTTGGGTAACTATTCATAGTACCACCAATTTAGTGTATACAAAACAGTTGCTAAGACAGAGGAGGCTGGGAGACCATCAGCTTTGCTCACCGCGATACACTCCCACAACTCCCTCCCCCCTCTGTTCTCTGTCTTCCATTATTCGTGTCTTTTCCATTCCTTCTTTCATTCTCACTTTATTTTTCTGCCTATTCAATACTCCTCGCGATCTTGTTTTGCACATTCCATCAAAACGTTATCGTGGTTATCGCATCTAGATAACCCTCGGCACAACAATCGCTCAGCAGCCTGCAAGGCGGTTGACCACGTTGCTGTGGTTCGGAGTTTTCTTCAGGCCAGGGTTTTATAAGAACAGACCAGACGACTAAAAAAATTTAAAAAAAGGCTTACACTCGGTTACCTACGTCAAACCCTGGTTTGATTTGAACAACCACAGACGACCTACCTATTCGCCATGCGGGCCTTCCAGTTGATACCGGCGGTCGTCTCGTCGCTGGTGTTACTGTCGCAACATGCTGCTGCGAGTCCTATGGATATGGAAGGAGGCAATCTCGATAGGCGAGGTTGCTCCAATCCGTGCGGCTTTTACAGTCAGCTCTGCTGCACGTCGGGCCAGACCTGCATCACCAATGGTGGTCAAGCAGTTTGCTCTGACTCGGGGAGTGGCGACGGCGACTATGATTACCACACCACCACCTGGACGGAGACTGATACTAAGACCTATACCTCGACATGGGACAGCCAGCGCGCGACCCAAACCGCAGTTGCTGGAGGTGGCTCGGGCTCAGACTCTGGGAGCTGCGATTCCTCCATCGGCGAAGAAAAGTGCGGAAGTACCTGTTGCGGTGCTGCGTATGTTTGCAGTAACGGACAATGCATCATCGGAAGCTCCTCCATCTGGGCCACTGCCACGGCCACACCTCCGGTGCGAGGTACTAGCAGCGGCTTGTCGACTGTCACCGAGACCGGAAATCCAACAACCACGCAGGCTTTCGACACGCCTGTGAACACAGATGGGTCGCCCGCGATTGGTGTCAAAGCTCCAGATGATGATGGACTTAGTGGTGGTGCAATCGCCGGTATTGTCATCGGTACCATTGCAGGTGTCGCTCTCCTCCTGCTGGTGTGCGCTTGCTTGTGTTGTCGTGGAGCCTTGGTCGGTTTGGCCGCATGCTTGGGGATTGGACGGAAGCGAAACCAAGATGACCGTTACTCGCAGGGCGGCAAGCCTGAGGGACGTGCTTGGTTTGGAGCTAAACCACCTGCTCAGAACGAGGCCGGCGGCGAAAAGAAGTCCAGATGGGGCGGTCTGGCAACCATCGGAATCGTCCTCGGTGCGCTTGCGTTGTGCCTGGGTTTGAAGAGACACAGGGACAGAGAGCATGACGAGAAGAGCAGTTACTCCTACCCAAGCTCATACTATTATTCCGACTATTACACCAATTCGAGTATGTCTTGCACTTCCCAACGTCCCATGACGTCTGATGCTAACTGGTTTATAGGCAGCGCAAGCTCGGATAGGCGGACAAGAGATACGAGACGAACAAGAGACTCGAGGGGCACGAGAGCCACGAGAGACACAAGAGATACGCGGCGGACTAGAAGATCTCGCGCGCGTTCGGGGCGGTCATAACGAACGGACACGACATTCAACGACCTTTTCGACCTTAAAATCATATTTCCCTGCTATCGACCCAAGTATTTCGAATCGATTACGGATACGCATAGAATAGTACCGCCTCCGATATTACGTGTACCATGATTATTATTTCCTGATGTTATGTTTTGATGGATTTCGATACCTTTTTCCTTTGTCTGGACGAAATTGACGGTGTACATACGACGAGGACCGGGGAAACTGATGATAGATAATCCTTTATGACAATTTGTATGTTAGTATGAATATATGAGCAATTAATGATATCCACCTGCATTATAAAGAGGCTTCTCACCTGATTTGTAACAATCCAACTCATCAGTTGAAACAAGGCATTGACCATCTCGTGCCTGCAAATTCCGCTCCTGCGAGTCCAGTGCAACCTGCATGCACTGTGTCAGTAAGTAGAGGGATAGCATAATCGCCGCCTGATGCCCCTGACGGCCGTCAGCTGAATCACCTGTCTGGTGATATGTAACAATCAAAGGATCATATTGAGGTCTATCCTCAATAACGGCAGTAGTAATAGTGGAGTGCGGACACAACAAGGCAGAGTCGAAGACTGGCAGAATAGCGGAGCACATGACTTGGTGCCTCCCCGCCTCCCGAACCTTCGTTCTCCTCGACACAACCCGAACTGCACTCACTCCGACCAACTCGCCTTTACTGCTAAAGAAAACCAAATTCGTCCATGAATCTCTCGTTGGTATTTAATTCTTGACATTTTACAAATATCCTATACAGCATTGTCGCCCTTCATCGCCCTTCGTCGCCCATTGGTCGCTGTCGATTCTCGCAAGTGTCATCCCTCTGAGTGCTAGCAAGACCGAACACTTCGACCCCCGTCATGCTCCAAACGCAGACTCATCACGTCTTTTCCCATCAGCATCAGTACCCGCAAGCTGATCCATCGTGGCTGCACCAACAGCAACAGCAACAACATCACCAAGCCGCCCAGCAACATCCGCACCAACAGCAGCATTCGCTGGTAGCCCAGCAACATGCCCAGGTCCAGGCTGCAGCGGCCGCGGCAGCAGCTGCTCAACAACAACACTATAGTCGAATTGCGATGGCCGGAGCTGCCGGTGCCGCGAACCCACCACAAGGTTCCGGCGCTGGAGGAATGGGCGGAGATGCAGGCTTGTCCGGTGCGATTTCGGTGATCGACGGTGGAATCAGTGAGGAGAATCGCAAGGTTTTCATCTGGGTCGCGGAGCTGCTGGATCCCAATCGTCGAGAGGCGGCGCTTATGGAACTCAGCAAAAAGCGGGAGCAGGTGCCTGAACTTGCGCTGGTTATCTGGCATTCTTTTGGTACGAATTCTCTTCCCCTTCTATGCCGTGATCACTGCAAAAACGCTAACTGTTTGAGCTTCTAGGCGTTATGACCGCCCTTCTCCAAGAGATAATTTCTGTTTACCCGTTGTTGAATCCCTCCCAGTTGACTGCAGCTGCGTCGAATCGTGTCTGCAATGCACTCGCTCTGCTCCAATGTGTTGCGTCTCACAACGAGACCCGTACTTTATTCCTTAATGGTATGTGAAGGGAAAAAGCTTTTGATATTTTTCTTTGAATAGGTCTTGCTGACGCTCTTTCTTCAAATAGCTCATATTCCTCTGTTTCTCTATCCTTTTCTCAACACCACCTCCAAGTCGCGCCCCTTTGAATATCTTCGTCTTACCTCCTTGGGTGTTATCGGTGCTCTGGTGAAGAATGACTCGTCTGATGTCATCAACTTCCTCCTTACCACGGAGATCATTCCCCTTTGTCTCCGCATTATGGAGACCGGCTCGGAATTGAGCAAGACCGTCGCCATCTTCATTGTACAGAAAATTTTACTCGACGATATCGGCCTTGCATACATTTGTGCTACTTATGAGAGATTCTATGCCGTCGGGACGGTTTTGAGCAACATGGTCACACAGCTTGTTGAGCAACAGACAGTGAGGTTACTGAAGCACGTTGTGCGCTGCTTCCTTCGGTAAGTGCGATGGTTATACTCATATCTCGTGGTGAACATCCATTTTGACCGTTTCCAGCTTGAGTGACAATAGCAGAGCCCGGGAGGCCTTGCGTCAATGTCTTCCCGAACCACTCCGGGATGCCACCTTCTCCTCCGTCCTTCGCGATGACGCAGCCACGAAACGCTGCCTTGCACAGCTCCTCATTAATCTCTCTGACAACGTGTCCGACGGCGCTCCGGGTATTGCGATGTAAATCACGAGGCACAAAAAAGCATCACTTCATTTTTCTTCCTTTCGTTCTAATCTACTTTGATATATTCGACACTTTTTTACGAATGCATGGGTCGGGCTAAGGCGAACAACGGTTGATCAGGCGCATATAATGTGAAACACGGCACAAAAAAGAAAAGAAAAAGAGACATGCGGTCGACGAGGCCACGGAATACTACGAAAAAGAGGAAAAAAAGGATAGCTTCTCTTTTGGTTTGTCTGTTGCACTGAATTTTATACCGGAAAATTTTTGGGATCTTGGGGATTATCACGTCCACTGTGTACTAAAACTGTGCTTTTCCTACTTTTCGCTTCCTGGCTTTGTTCTGTTTTCTTCTTTTCTATTGTTACCCTATTTTTTTTTTTTTTTTTTTTTCATATTTTTCCCCCCTTGTTGTTCCTGCGTGTGTCATCATCATGGTATAG